TTCTGAACCTTTAGTTATTCTGTTCACGTACGTGCGGCCTTTCCTAGTTGAATTAATCAATGGTTACCACGTATTTAAGTCATGCATATTGGCGCCTTTTCCCTCCTACTCCACACATGTGCAAGTTAAATTGCATCTGTTATTTTGAAAGCATGCACTTGACAGAGGCTATTCCTTGACAAGCCGTTCAACTGGTAAGATCTGCAAGTTATAGCTTGCAAATAAGCGTATCTGCTCAGTTTGAATTTGAATTATACTATTAATCCAACTGATATCGATCTAAGCCTAACGACGAAGGCGAATCGTCGGACTAAGGTATGGTAAATATATACATATATATATGTATAAACATACATTCTTTATTTTGATTTGCCATGACCTCCAGCTTTTCCGCTCAACGGCTTCTTTCCGAACTTACAAAATGGTTTAAATACTCTTTTCTTTCATACTCCAGCCCTCGAGACTCGGCTGCAAACTCTGAGAGCTTATTCGCACCGGATAAATTCAGTTTGTTTCGAGTCGTACATGGCACGATACTATAGGCCGATTAAATTTATTAAGACGATCAGAAAGTGAAACAACAGCTATATTTACGACTAAAATTTTTTGCAAACAGGAAGACTTTGGAGTAAGTATGCAGAGATGATGTATTTTATACTTTTCATCTTCATTGATTTTGAGTATCAAGTAGTTTCATTTGTTTTATCATGGTACTTGCTATCTACAAAGCTGTTCTAATTTGAACAAAACACTCATAGAACGTAAAAACTTTATGGGAATATGACAAGGCAAAAGCTTATTTTTCAATTTTTTTTTTATTATGGAGAGTTCAAGGCTAAAATCAAAACTGGCAATTGAGATTATTACGTAACGGTGAAAGTTTTTGCTCCCTCTGAAGTCGATATCAATTTACTTTACTTTTACGCTAATGTTTTGTTTAACGACTTTCAGCCAGCCTCTATTGTGAAAGTAGATCACCATCCTTTAAAAATATTTTTTAATGCAAATGCCAAACTTTGAATAATGTGAATGATTGATTTCTAAATTGATTCGTTTCTGACCTCTTATAAGCTATCGTATTTACAGAGCCTGCACGCGAGGTCTTTATCGACCCGGCCTTAAAACCAACACAACTAGAATTGAAATAGAGACATTTCATCGCCAAATTTTTGAAAATGAAATCAGACGCTTTTGACGAGTTTGCGCCGCAAATGTGTGTACTTCTTCATATCTAAGTCTTATTTTGTAATGACAATAGCAGGAACAGATATGTTTATTTATAAAAATATCATAAATATCTTAATTACTTCTTCCTGACTGACGTATCATTCGAGGGTAGCAAAAAGGAAGCGAGGAGGGGTTGGGGGGGTTTTGATCCCGTTTCACGTATTTATTTCTCAAAAATTCACGCGTCAAGTGTAATTCAAACAACATTTCAGGCGTCACGAATTCAAAAAGTAAAACTTAAAATCCCACAGTAAAAATTCTCACGTCGCGTAGTAATTTCAGGCTTTGTCACGCATCACGTATAAACTCTTTGCATAATATTGTCACCCTCTCATTGAAATTTATACAACTGTAAATTTTGCTTGAGGATATAAAGTGATCTAACTGGCTAAAGTCACAATTTGAAGTAGAAATAGCTAACCGGAATAAAAGTACGATAAAAGTGTTAGATAGAGAGAGTGCTTGTCATTAGTCTGATTTCGTTGAAGGCAAACACCATGGACCTTTAGCAAACCACTACGGCGACGGTAACGAGAACGTGGCAAAACAAAAGATCTAATCAGCAGAACAATAGCTCAGCACGTGCGTTTTAAAACTGTGTACATTTCTTAGCCGTCATCTGAAAAATAACAACGTAAATTCATCAAACTTTGCGTGGTTCGAGAAAGGAAACCCCGACAGCAAATTATTTAAGTTTTCATTTGGAACTCAACGCCGCTCTCATACGTTATGCTGAGGTTAACTTGTGGCGCTGTAAGAGAAGGTAAACACATCCAGTAATTCGCGAGATTCCAACTAAAATATATATTTCTTTTTAAATCGAAGTCTCTCTTGGCGTTGCCGTACTAACTGCTAAAGGTCCCTATTAGCTGATATCCTTCGCCAATAAATTCATCTACACAAGAGACCAAATAGGATACACAGTTTCACTTATTCTGAACTTGGCTTTTGGTTAATTAATGACTTCCGCAGTAGGTGAAACTGTTTTGAACCTGGGACGAAATCAGAAAAACCAACCAACAAACAAACGGAATAGCAGAGCAAAACAATCAAATGAGCAGGGGCACATGGGCAGAGCATTGGTTTAGAGAGCGAAGGAAAGAGACTGGGAAACAAAGTGAGTGATTCCCCGTGATCCCCTCTGGCTTACGAAATGAATTTGTGACCACGCCATTCCCGACCGTTCGGGCCGTTCTTCAAGCAGCGCTTGCACCCAGCTCTCTCTCGACAATTTTAAAACTAACTTTTAATCCCAAAAAAAAAAAAAAAAAAAAAAAATTATAAAACGTGTAAAGAAAGAAAAAGGAAAATTGCTTATAGTATAATTTATTTCTTGCTAATACACATTAACAAATTATTTTAAAATGTATCGATATTTCAAAGTTAGGAAAAAAATCCTAGAACAAAACAAACGAAAACAACCGAAACACAAAAGGAAAAAAATACTGTCTGCGCGAGGCAAAAATTGTCGCCTTTAGGTTGTTATTTGATGTTGTTTTTTCGCTCTAACGGTGTACCAGCGCACTCTACTTGCGGCGGAAATGAAGTAAACTCTCATGACCAATCAACAGAACTCATGCCATAATTTATTTGATAAATCTTCGTTTTACCTAAGTGAAAGTAAAGAGACTTCTTTTAAACCCGTCAACACATTTTATAGTTTTTTCCCTTATTCCTCAAGTCGTTTTTTCCCCCCTTTTTTTTAAAACGTACCAAGGAAGACGTACAGATTCATGACGCTGATCACGGCTTTGAGACCATTCATGCTTAATTGCTCACTTACTACGTTTGTTTCGAGTTATTGTTTACCTCTGATCTGCTTTGTATTAATTCTTTTCAAGTCTCTCTTTACTAAGAACGAAAGTATTTTACGTGGACCTAGAGCTGAGCAATTTTAGCAGGAAAAATGTAAAATAAGCTATGAACAACAAAACACCTGCAATGAACTAATCTTCAGCAACTGGATTATCACCCGGCTCCAATGGAGGAGACTGAGCTCAGATATCTACGCACCAGAGCAACTGCAATCCGGCCAAGTTACAGTGTTTTATAGATTCAAGATAGAAATTTGAGCTAGTCTTTACTCAGGCGTGCACATTACTTATTTGAGAGTGGTCCAACATTTCTGACTAGAATCGAACGCATGTAATTGCATAGATAGATGATCTCTTTTATTTATGTATGTTCATTGATAAACCAATTCCGAGCTATCGATTAATTTGCCAAAGAAGATTGTAGGAGGAAGCATTTATTATGCGACTGTAAATAATATTTAAATACCCAAATATTGAGGTATCTTTCGTACTTCAATCTCCTTTTTGGCCATACACTGTTTTCGTAAGAAGATCGTGAGGTCGACGTCTGAACAAATGCCACAGTATTTGCCAGGTACTTGTAATTAAAAAAATTTGCCCTGGGAAACGTCTCTTTCTTTTGTTTTGTTTCTTTTTTCGTCGTATTCTATCGTAGCGTCTGACTGATATCGAACAAAAAAGAAAGGTTTGTTGAGTACAACTGGTCAAACCATTGAAGTTTTTACTCAAAATCCAGCTCGACTACATCCTGAAAATTGTGTGGCGCTTTTCTGTGAATTTATCAACCAACCGCGACAAAAAAGCCAGCTGTCTTGCGCATTTGAGCACAGGAAGCCTTAAGGAGTTTCATTGAATAGGAAAACGACATTGTCATATTGGCTGGGCATTGCTTTGTCAACAGGCGAGCGACGCGCGCTGTTCGATGCCAATGAGCAAGATCAACTCGGAGGTGAGAATTTAGTTCTATTTATTCTGAACCACTCATAACAATCCAGCTAGAATTTTTTCTCTGTTCAACCGAGCAGCTGTTTACGAGAATGTTACCTGCTCAAAGAACTTTCCTTTCAAGGGTCATTGGAAGGTATCAGACAAAGGAAGCAGCTAAGCGACAAATTACCAGTGCTTTGTACAAGTTGCGACGCAAAACTGGTGATTCTACGGGTACTTCTGCTGTACCGTTTCCCTCAAAACTCAATTTCAAGTACTGTTCTCCAAAGAATCTTCAATCATTCGATGATATACCGCGTTCATCATGATGCAACTCAGCTATCTCGATATCAGATCAAAGGTTCGTGAACAAAAGATCGTAAAAAAGTTCGATTCCACGCATGAGCGGATAATGCGATAACTTGTTGAATAAATTCTATTGAACTTCATTGAGGCTGGCTTTAAATACGATATCTGACAGCCTATCGCAAACAAATGCGTAATACTTTGAAAACCAATCTTTGACACGTTTGTTAACTGTCCTTGCTTTACAGAATAGCATTTGTTGTTGCTGGGTCGATCGAGTCGAGAGGCACGCCTCTTTATGCACGGAACAGACATTGAGCGAGCGTTGATAAAAAGGCCATTCGAAGGAAAAGCGGAGAACGATTACGAAGGAAACTGCTTAATAATTCACGATCGCTATTATTATGACCTAATTGACATTAGTTCATGCCGGTACGATAAGAAATCTTGCTTCGAAACGAATAAAATAGCATTAGACCTCAGGGCATATATTGGCCAGACACGACACATAGGAAAGCTGAGGTCGGTTTCAATCTTGCTTCCGTTGTCATAAATTACTCTTACAATCGAGCGAGTTTGCACGCGTTGAAAGCATGTAATAAAAGGCTGCCTCGCAGTCACGCCTCTTTGGCGGGTAACAAAGAAAAAACTACCTAACACGCGCTGTGATTGGTTAACGCTTTAAATGTCAACCTCACTAACCAGCTGTTTGCTTGTTTTACATCAGCTGAATAGGACAGTGGCTTGCATTTCCACCGAAGTTGCGGGCGACTTCAACGGAAGAGCCTCCTGGAGCCAAGAAGCTGGACTTCGCTTTAAAGGCACCGTTGCGAAGCTGGCCTTCCCAGGCTAAGGCCAGACTCACAAGCGTTTCAAGAAACTGACTTAAAACAATTTAAAAGCTCTTGGATCGAGGCGAATTTCCCCTTAACAAATGCTGGCGAGTGATAACCTTTCGCTAATTCGCAGTCGGTCTATGGAAACAATGGTCCCTCAATGCAAGGCCTTTGTCCGAGAAATTGAAATTCTCTCCGACGATGAAGCAGCTTTAGTCCAAGTCTCAAAACTTCTCGGAAGTGGAGGATTTGGCTCAGTCTACGAAGGAAAATACCTCGGGAAAACTGTGGCGGTTAAAAAAATGAATACGAACTCAAAAAATCCTCGAGCAGTGTTGCAGAGCTTTCAAGCGGAGACCTCTATAGCATCCTTTTGTCATCCTCATATCGTTCGAACTCTAGCAGCCTCGAGTCTAGATTGTCCTTTATCCGAGAGAGTGATCGTCATGGAGTTTGCTGGGCCAAGAACATTAAGAAATATTTTGGACAATGAGAAGGAGGATATTAATGAAGAAAGACGAATGAAATTCGCTTCTCACATAACAATGGCCTTGGAGTTTATTCATGCACAGGATATAGCGCATTTAGACGTTAAACCGGCCAATATTTTGGTGGATTCTAAGGACATTTGCAAACTGGGCGATTTCGGTTGTAGTCAAGTGTTAGACGAAGGCGATGAGAATCTACCTGCTAGCCCAACCTATTCATACCTGACAGGGACGTTTGCCTATAGAGCACCAGAACTGCTGAAAGGAGAACCACCAACTCCTAAAGCTGACATCTATTCCCTGGGAATTTGTTTATGGCAATTGTTAACAAGAGAACAGCCTTATGGATCAGAAAATCTTTATGTTGTTGTCTTCGGCGTTGTTGCCTACAATTTACGACCACGTGTACCAAGTGGAGACGCGACGTCGTGCCATTATCAACAACTAGTGGAAAGTCTTTGGCAGGCTAGTCCGTGTTTGCGACCCACCGCTAATGACACTAAAAAAATTTTACGATCACTACATAGACATCCGAGTGCGATTTGAGCAAACTGCTGCCGAGGTATATTTCTTTTCTGCTCTACACATGTGGGGAATTCCTAGCCGTTGATGTCAAACAGAACCAATTAACATTTAATGTGGTCGCGTGAATCATCTTCACAAATGAGTCATTTTCTTGCCTCCAAAGTCGTCTCAAAAACAGCCTTTTCATGAAGGTAGAAACACATCGACTTAATTCAACGTCAAGTATCTTAATTTTTAGATAGCGGAATTTTATGTCATAATTCGCTCTTAGAAATCACACTCGCTAAATGTAACACTGACATTTCGGCTGAGAAAGCGTGATTTTATCTTAACTGCTTCTCACAGACTTTTCCTTCCTTAGCGAGCATGTCAGGGTTATCGCTTAAACTCTTGGAAATTTAGATTGCAAAATTGTCTCAAATTAAATTGTTAAAGATAAATTCTCTTTCCTACCACAGGGAAATTAACAAAGACATTGCGCGAAAGTCTCTTTCGTTTGCTGTTTTGTGATACGAATTCATTTGCTTAAATTGTTTGTAGAGACCGTCTTTCTCTCATCTTCAGTAATAGGAGGAAAAACTGCAGTAATTTGACGAAATAACAAAGGTATTTTTGAGGTGTTTTTTTTTTGCGTATCGGTTAACTATCATTTCATTTCTTCTCGCAGCTTGAGTCGCTGTTGGGCGAAGCGGTTTAGTTATCTACGAGTCTTTAGCAAAGGGCGAAAGGAAAACCGTTTATCTAATTATTATAAAGATTCTAAGAGTCGGCATTGAACGAGTGCAAACCACTTTTGACAATAATAGCAAAAAATAATAACCTTTTCCGGCCTTTCATTCGCTTCAAAGTCATTTTTAACTTTTTATCGCTAGAATGTAAATTTATGCAGATTTTATATGTAAAGCGCTTTTTAGATTTAATACCTGTGATCGTCAGCTACGACTTTGATATATAGTGAAAAATAATTATTGGTAAAGCTTATTTAATATTGTTACAAAAAGGAACCGTAAAGGACAGCTCAAAGTTCATGAATTTCGGATATTTCGAGGAAATGTTAAAAAAAGATGGACATTCAATCGAAGAGAGTCAGATCTTATAAATTCGAAATTGTCATTATTTCATTGACAATATATTGACCAAAACATATTCGACACCAAAACCAAACTTTTATTACCGGATTGATACTTTCGGTAACGCAAATAGTTATTCTGTTATTTTTAAGTACCTATGACACAGGTAACAACTCAAATTATAATATATTTTATTTGGACCTCCTGTGGCTGACTCCGATGGCTTTCTCGAGCTAAAAATAAACCAAGCAACATGGTCATGTTTACAGAATTTACAAAACAATAAGAGCGGCGAACACATAATACTGCAACACGTGTGCTCTATCCTAGCGACTGTTTCGTATGCACTTATGGTTCAATATAATTTTCATTTAATTATTTCTTGCAGAAATACATGATAATGTTCTACCATTCTTAGCCGATAATGATTAGATTCGGATATTTCTCAACTCATTCAAAATGTTGTTAATCTGCTTTTTGAAAGCAGAGGTTCCGGAAACTTGAACTCAACTGATTTCAGTACTTGTAGAAAATTTGCATTTTTAGAACGCCATTGTGCTCACGGCACAAAATGAAAACCAAACGCAAACATGCTGATGGACATTTACGGCGACCAGGTTCAATAATACTTAACTAGTGTAGGTAGCTTGATTTTCAGATTTGTAGGAAATGATATATTTAGTACACTTTGAACGGTATATTTCGTAGCTTTTGCTGAAAGACACTTCATCGCTTGTCGAATAGACGAGTCATTTGTTAAAAAGCCCTCGGGTAACTTATTGACATTATGTTGTCTATATTTTAGATAAATTTTAACGGAATAAAGTGAATATAAAAATGCTAAAAGATGTTAAGTTTTTTGCACTCATTTCCTAGTTGTCATTTAGTAAAAACATAATATATTTCGAGAAGAATTTTTTTTTTTGCTTGGCAGATTATTTCAGAACTGGAGTTGTTGCGTAAGCAGAAGACTGTCTCCTATGATAATTTGAACGTTTAACTTTCCACTTTCTTGGTGGAGAAAGCTTAAATTTTGATCTTAGAGAAGTTGAGAATTTTGCGATCAAAAACGAATCGGGAATCCTTGCGATGTGTCTCAGTTGCAGACCAAGAGAAGTATGACTGACTGCAAAACTATTAATCTGCTTTCAGAATATACTATTTTACTGAGCTGTTAAACCTTTCAGTGCTGCAAACCTAACTGAAGTGATGCCTCAAATGAGCCCAGTTTCTCCTTACAACTGACGTTCTCTCTTTAATTCATCCCTGAAAAAATTAACATAATGATCTTCAAACACACATCTCGTTGTGCTAGTATGATAATAGATCTTGCACAATATTTTGTGAGACTTTTTGCCAATGGCAATTTAATTGTGACTTACACATACAATGAATTAATCCTGCAATTGCACAATTCTGTTCCTTTCTTTTACGAGTAAGAGCGTCTATTTGAGCAGAATATTTAAGAGGTCAGTTGCAGGTTACAGGTGGCTCCGAAGAGTTGTGAAATTTCGAAATAACATTACCCATTAGTACGAGTCACTTTCAAAAGCATGATCCATCGGTCCAAGGTGCAAGACTGTTTTTTATTTTCAGATACTCTGTTATTTAAAGATAACATTAGCTCTTGCTGTCCATTCCGTTCACCGGTTTCCATAGAAAGTCGATCACTGAAAAGAATTCGAAGTTCACGTTTTAAAATGAAATTGAGTGTAACTCAGCTGAGCAATCACCTCAAAGTCTAAATTTCGACGTGTAACTTATGCAACAGCTAATACACACAAATATTCAAGCCAATCTACTTTTCCGTTACGTGACGAGTTGTCCAAACAGATGGCCATTGCGTGCACAAATGACAAGGCCTGCAAGATGGAAAATGCCATATCTTTTTACTAAAATTGAAAGTTAATACGCTGCGAGTGGCAGAAAGATCAATACGCACTACTGCTGCCTAGTAACTGCAGCTGTTTAGCACGCAAACGAGCATGATCATGACTAGTTCAAGAGAAACTACAAGGGTACTTCAATTTTTTACAAATTCTTGTTTCGCAACAGCTCTATGCTGAATTTAAACTGCGTGGATATCTAAAACGCCATTTGTTTCCTTTTTTGTCGAAAGTGAATTGCTTTCGTATGGTTAAAATAAGCCGTACCCCAGTTAATTAAGTTCCGCTTCGTTTGTTACCGAGCTACCTTCGGCGCTTTACAACGCATAAGTATAGCCGATGGAATTATTGGGGCTTTCAATACCTCTCTAAGGTTTTGCTCAGATGGATAGCCAGTGACCAAGTTAGCAATTCAACTGTTACCAGAACGTAAACAATAATTTAAAGTCGACAATTCTGGCTGAAAAATTGCAAACACTCAGTCTGTGTCGATTTGCATGACTCCCTAGGCAGCAATCAGCCAATCTAGTGAGGACGAACGCCAATAATGGAAAGTTTCTACTTGAGCAGTTCCGGGGGAGTGCCCTTAACTGGAGTCGAACTCCATTCGCAAATTTGTGTTAGCATGGGAGGATGTTAACGTAAACCTTTCAGTTCCGATAGAAAACGAAGAGTCCAGAGCGAAGAATAACTCGCAATGGCATAATAGCAATTTTATTCGATCTGACATCAAATTAATTTGAAAAAAGATTCTACTTACTAAGTGCAATCTCATAATTAATAGATGAACCAGAAAGGCGAAATAAATGCCCTCGAGAACCAAGAGAGGATGTAAGCAAACCAACGTGGTTCTTAAAACAAGCCTAAATACAAACGCTTTAAACCCCATTAGGTAACCGAGAAATCTAATCCTAACTTAACAGTTCAGTAATACTTTTCGGTTCACTTACTTCTATGGCGAGTTTCTTAAATGTCCTTGAATGCGGCATACGTAAATCCGGGCAACAGGTAAGCGGTAAAAGCTCTGATCATTTCAGTACGACTATCAGCAAAAGAACTGCTGAAAACTAAGCTACTCAAATAACTTTTAACAAAGCGTGCACTGTTTGTGACAACTAAACGTAGAGTCCTTAAATAGTTCATTGTCTGCTGTAACACTTTCAATGTCGTAAAGACGAAGGAATCATTCCTGCAGCCGATCTTTATGCACTTAAGCTGATCATAAGATACCGACCAGCTTGATCATCCTATTCTCGTACCTATGCGCTGCTGTCCTTCCTCAATAATCTATTGTAAATGTATTTTCTAGTCGATTCTTTTCTCTTACTTCGCTAAGCCTTTGATCCATGGTTATTTCCTCCAGAAGAAGATTTTCCTCCCCCCCCCCCTTACTCGTTTATAAATCTTAGCTGATCTTAGCTAATTAAGCGTGCAAAGCTATTTTGTTGTTTTACTAATTCAGTGACCTGAAATTATCTAAACGTAGTTTCTAAAGCAATAAGATTCAGAAAAAAAAAATTGGCGTCAAGTTGGTATTACTAAGAGTCTACTCCGCAAAAAATGCCTTATCTTGTAGTTTCCGAAATGGAGCATTTAACGCCAATCACATACAAACCATTCGACTCTTTGTAGAACCAAACGCTCGCACGAACATATGCTTCACAGCCATCGCCAGAGGCGCTCTCCATAATAGAAAGCAGGTTATTCCATTGTGTTTCATATTCAGGTAGTCTTACAAAAGATATTCTCGGCGGCCTGGGTGTCCAAAAATAGAGCTCACAGCTTGATACTGCTTGGCATTGTGAAGGGAAATTATCAGACAGAATAAAATCAAAAGAATCAATGCGCTTCTCATCAGAAAATGATCCTGAAATAACAGTGTTAGAGCCACCTGTGTTCTGGTGCACGCGCAAATGAAACAGATGCTGAGCTTCACGAGAATTGAAGTACTGCTTGCCGCCTAGGCAGCCAGTGCTTGACGCGATATCAAGCTGCACGTGCGCGCAAGGAGCCGTTGCTTTTGTATGTCTCTGCAAAATCTCTCACGCTTAGCTACAGGATCTGCTACGCTTTAAGTAGGGATGGAAAAGGCCATTTGAAAAGTTATCAGGCACTTTGTTTTTCTGTTATATCCTGATCTTGTTTGCTTTTTTCATCTTCTTGCTAGTCTGTATCAGACTCTCAGCAAGCGAAAACGCGCTAAAAAGCAGACCACTGCAAAAAGGAAAAGAAAAGCGTTTGTCAGAGTTAGAAGGTTCATGATATACCGTTCTCTATCCGTTGCAACAGGTCTCTCGAATAACTTGAACCTTACACAGCTACTGTCTTCCAAGCCGTCCGATAGGAAATATAAACTTGATTGTGTTTATAAGGGTTAAGATTTTAATGGATAATCTATTTAACAACATTTAAAGGGCCCTCGTGATAATTTAAAAGTATACATGAACAAAATGACTAAAAACTACAATAAATGTAAAAGACTGATATGGTCGACGTTTAACGTTGAAGAAAATGAACCCCTATTTACAAAAATCACACCAACAAGCGGCATTACGAATGTATTTCCCTTTAGAGCAACTCAGCGCTATTGTTTGGGTTTGCTTTATTACAAAACGATCCTTTCTTTCCCGTTCATTGAATACCATGACTGTTCACATCCGTGTCTGCAGTTGTTCAACCCAGGTAAGCCCCTGGGTAGAAGACCTATCGTCAGGAGGTCTGTCAACTTGTATTTATGGAATGGTTGATATATGTCACCAGTTTACTTAAAAAGTACACACAAAGCCGAATATAGAGAATTTGCATTCGCCTGAAAGTTACGCTTAAGTTCTCTTATAACCATTTACTGTTAATTTAAAAAGAGGCAGTTATCCGATTTGGCGCATGCATCAGCTGTGACATGTTTGGAGCCATGAATAACTTAGTTAATAACAACAGAGTATACATTGAACAAAAAGTAAACGTTTGCTACTGATTAGACTTCCTCAGAGTCCTTTTCTGTAAGTTCGTGCGCACCTCTTTCGCTCGCTCGCTTTATTTTTCGATTTAAGGGGAGTCTCACTATTTGAACGTGTAATCAGATTATCCGATTGAGGGGATAAAGGCTGGATTTGTACCGTTTTCTTAGATGTGGCAATCGATCCTCAGAGAGGGGGAGTAGAGTGAACTGATTTTCCTGCGAGGAAGCCAAATGCAGAGCCACATGAAGCTCGTGATAACTCTCTCTCAGGTTCTTGAAACATGAGCTACTGCTACCAAAAAAATCTTCTTCAGGAAGACGAGCGAATTATTCGAGCTAATGTTCCTACCTTAATCATTCCATTTTCGTGACTACCCACGAAGTATCTTGGTCAAATGAAAGTGCATCTCGCGGCAATTATTTACAAAAACAAAAAACGAAAATTAATCAGAACTTATAGCTTCTCGTGGAAACAGACACTAACTGAAAAAACTACGAAAGGGTTTCTCGCTTCAACTGGCTTACAATGTTGCACAAACAGAACTCTTCTTAGTGCTAGGGGAACCTTGTGTTTCTTGCGAAGTATTTGTTTGATTGGCAGCCGTCTGTTGTGGTTGCTGTTTCGAAATCGTAACTGTTTGTTCTTCTTGCCCGGTGTATTCCTATCAAAAAGAAAGTAATCTTAAAAATAAATAATAGATAAATAGATACAATTAATTAAAGAAAGTTAGAATGGACCAAATCAACCTTACTGTCTACATTGCAGGTTTTTACTTTTAGTCCTTGAAGCAGAAGATGTATTTTCACCCTTTAACCCTTCAGCTTAATATCAGTGTCTATATTCTCCATACTCTTCTTTATACATTTCCTTTGGTACTGACAAGGAGAATTTAATTAACAATCAAGGGCTTCTCTAGTGGGTGATCATTTCCCTTATTCTCGAGGCCTTTATGTCTGATTCAACACTGAGACTGTTAAGAGAAAAAAGATGTTACTCGCTCTCAAGAGGGGTTAAAAGGTTAAAGAAGTGCCCTGTTTCTCATTTTACGAAAAAAAGTACCTCAAATTCTGGCCATCGTGTTGGCATTTCAAATCCCAAGTTAACAGACCACCATGAAATATCTGCCGAGGCATCTGCGGCTTCAAATGCTTTACTGAGACCAGTGTAGATGCTGGACATCCTGCCATCGGAAATATTGCAATTAAACTGAGACGTTCGTCAAAGCGATAATTTAAACTGATTCATTACTTACATTACTTACTCGTTACTTGCGCATCCTGTATTGCGCATAAAAATCACATAATCAGGCTTAACTTTAAAATCCCTTACATGTAATTCCAGCGATCGCAATTGTACTGTGAACCAGTGAAACGGCGCGCGTGATCAGGACCACTACGGGCATAATTGGGGTTAGATTGGCCTATCATAATTATCTCACAAGCAAGCACGGCGACATCGTTTTCATTGTAGTTTTTGAAAAAGACATTGGCAAGGAACATCTAAAAAAAGTTAAAAAAAAATTTTTTTTCTTTTTTTTTTTCTTAGGAATCACCATAATTTATCCCGCTCGCCTCATCAAGATCGATTCCATGCGCAACCAATTGAATATGACGGGAGGTTTACGGTCAACTCGCCAGCTCAACAAACTCACCACCGCTGAGAATTAAAACGCTACCGGTGGTGATTTGACTCGGACGTTCCCTGTAACCTCTTTTACGAAACTTACATCAAATGAAAGCTTAGCTGTAGTAGTATATTGCGAAATTAGAACCGCGGACAAATACAGTTTATGGAACTTAGACTTTTGTGTAGCGTCTTAATTACAAAAAGTTAACCTTTTATATGAAATAAAACATGTTGATAACACGTTGCGTAACGCGAAACCAAAGTGATTTTCACCCTGAGTTTTGCCGATGTTTATGAAATTTGATAAAACTCGCATCAATTATGAAAGGTACGATGTAGTTGTACATTGCGAAATTAAAAGTGGACTTGGCGTCCTAATTTTGCGTTAACCACATAGACTATCGACGTTACCTTTTCGCAATCAAATCTAATGAAAGCTATAACATATGAATGCTGAGATCTGGAATTTTATCTTTTTACCGGTTTTTCTTGGACGAAGATCGTAAACGAGTCAATTCGCTGACGGTGGCGATTTGACTCTCATTGGTGGCGAGTTAACCGGATACGTTCGAACGGTAATTTACATGAACTTGTTATTAGTGGTCTCTAATCATAATTTTGAATGAATTAAATTTCATTTGACCTGCGGATGAAAATCAAGCAAAACAACGGTCCTCGTAGATGAGCTGCAAAACCTTCGCAAGTTTTTCGTGTTTCGCGAAAAAAAGCGCGTCTTGAGTGCGTTTTTGCTTTCGTTTTTTCTACAACTGAGACAATAAGATCGTTTGTACCATAAAAGGTGGGAATTTTTCTCCTACGCGACCATCTCCCTCTGGCGACCACTTTTGTCGGCACTAATGGTGGTTGTTTAAGAAGAGAGTTGAATACATTTTCGAAATCAAGTGTTAAAAAGGCACACACCTGTTGAAATGCGGTGACAGCGACAACTGCTGAGAGTAGTTCAGGAAGGTCTGTTTAAAGAAGTTCTTTCGCTCCTCTTCTGACTGCTGACATTTGTCGAACATGTAGCGCATGTCCTCCACATACTTGGGGTTATAATTTCCAATATCTCTCAGACCATCCTGATATTTGTCTCTTGTGGTCTGAACATCATTTGCAGCTTTATCTGATTTATCCTTCAGCTTCTTCACTTGTTCCTCTGTGACTGTACTTCCCTCCACACAGGCCTCCTTGTAAAGCTTCTCAGACTGATCTCTGACCTTACAGGCCTGGTAGTATGCCCGTTTGCATTTCAACACTGTTAGATAAAAAATCAATTTAAGTCCACAGCATTTTTATCATTTAACTCCCATGAATGACCAAGACAGAATATCTTCTTAAGATATCACTACAATATCAAGAGAAGAGAATAAAGAAAACATAAATTTGGGGATTATTAGTAGATCCAATACCAAATTCTCCAAAGTAACATCATAAGAATTGTATGGCAGATAGTAAGGAGAATTTCTAATGAGATCTTTGGGGTGAAATAGTTAATATTGGAGGGCAGGCAGAGCAAAGGTAATGACAGGTGAGGACAGTAATCGCCTCGGCAGCAAGTAGGTCTCCATGGCAACCTCCTGTCGACACAATTCAGACAAACTGATGCATGAAACAAACACTAAACCAAAAAGTGGAATGCAGGAAGTGAAATGAAGGAAGGAAAATTGCAGAGCTAATTGAGCAAAAGCACATGGCAATATCACTACAAAGTTCTCTACAGCTACCACATTACATTGGTGAAACCTCTTTAATGACTTGGATTTGGCATCACCTTAATAATAATTAACTTAACTTTGTACATGTACATAGCTGAGAATCCAAGTGAGAAGTCAAGGAAAAGCTATAAGCTGTAAGGGATGGGATGTCATGAAATTTTGGTGATAAGACTCAGAGGTCCAATTAACTAGTAAAGAATGAATGTTTTCCATTGTACATGGAATTTTAAAAAATTAATGCTCCAGCCTAAAGATCCATTGTTCACAGTTTGTACTTTTCATGTAGCAACATCATTTGATCAGGTTTATATGTTGTGGTTCAATTTTACCCTTGGTTCAAATTTTCTTTTCTTTTGTTTTTGGATATTTTAATGTATGATAATGAGTTTGAAAAAGGAAAATAAAATTTGAACCAAGGATAAAATTGAACTACGACATATATCTAAGTAAATGAAATATAAATAAGTTTGACAGTCCATTTATGGTCAATTTAATGATTACCTTCATCATTTCTCTTGGCCCAAGGTTTCTGAGCTTTACTAAAACCTTCCTCTGCAGTTTTGGTTTCTTTCCAGCTAAGTAAGGCCTTGTGATAATTTGACGACTTCCATTGTTGTACACCTCCATTAACTTGCCCAACTCTGACTTGAAGTTCATTGTGAATTTCTGCCAACTGATCAGCTTCATTAGTGATGTTCATCCAGGAAACTTTAACTGATCCATATTCTGTACTTTTAGTGATCAAATCTTTCCATTTTTTACTCCAACCTAAATATTGGAGGAAATACTGTAAGGAATACTACATGTGCAATTCCTAAAACAAAAATTTATGTAATAATGCAAAATTTTAGTTGAATTATCAATCTTCTTATTTGATTAAGTGCCCAACCTGGTTTTCAAGCAACCATCTCCAAAAAGCACCCACCATGCAGGTAGGAAAAGTTGATAAGCATCTAACCTTGAAAAATTAGCTCCCTCCCCTTCCCTCTCTCTCATTCCACCCCCCCCTCAAAAAAAAAGAAAGAAAAAAAAACCAACAACAACAACAAACAAACAAGCAAACAAAAAGAAACAAAACAAAAACAAAACAAACAAAAAAACTGAAGTGCACAAGAGGAGTATTGACCATTATTTCTTTACTGGCAAACAATCTCTAAATTCACTGTCTATAGTACTGGTCTTAAAGTTTCGATATCATTTATTGTTTTGTTGCAAGAAAAACTAATACTATTTGCTGAAAACGGTGAGAACTTAATAAGCTCCCAGCCGTGAATAAGTGCCTTCTTTCAAACTGCAAGAATTTAGTAAGTGCATGAGGAGCTTAATCAAATAAACACTGTAGATTATTCCAATTGTTGATAGCTGTTTTAAATATTGTTAACCATCAATTGATAAAAAAGAATTTAAATTGTTGTTGAGAACATAAAATATAAAAAATTACATGAGTACCTCTCTCATGTTCTGGTTTATTGTCACATATGACGATTTGCGTGAGTTGTAGTTTATCACAATAACGGAAACTTTCAACACTTCCAACAGCTTCCAGCTAAAGACAACAAGATCACACTGTGCACCTGCTCACAGAACTATACTGAGTATACATCCCCCGTGTGGGCGGTATTAATGCAAATTTCTAAAGAGAGCCCCTAACTCCTGGTCGCCAACCTTTTAAGACCAGAGGAGCTCATTAAATCATTGTTGATTACTCCCAATGCCTTATTATTCCAACTGTTAAATTCAGGGATTAATGAACTTTCGGTAAAGGTATGCAAAACTTAATTGAAAATATAATGCACCATTTCATCGTCAAATGTATTTAATTATTAATAAACTGTGAATATACAAGACCTTGAACAACGTATTAACAAATTGAATGAAATATTGACCGCAAAATTTTATTCAACGTCTCAGGCCACAACAACCTGAAAAAGGAACACATTTAGGTACTCCACAAAACTGCTCCCAATTTGTCCATTTTCCAATAGTCTGTTGCTATGTTAAGAATCAACGAACTTAAGTTGTTACAGATCGTAAAAAGATACCTTGTAATTTTGAGGCATACAGTCCTTCGATTTCTGCCCTTTCCACCAAAAGTTTCGAAAGATCATCACAAAGTTTGGCACCGTCATCGATTCGCTTCACAGTCCTCTTGTAACTGTTCACATCCCAAAAATTAAAACCAGAAAGTGGCACAGCAGAAGAGTTTGCTCCCACGGAATTTTCATCGACTTTCAGGTTGGTATCTGTACTACGATCTTCGATGTGTTGTATTTGGGGGTACAATTTATCTTCCGTCGTCTCGTTGGGAATATCTGTTCGTGGTAGGATAACTTCTTCATTTCCATCTTCCATTTCGGAACCTTACGATCAAACAGTTATTACTGAAAATATTTGCAGTCGGTTGTCAACATTTAAAGCCTACAATCGAAAACAATTCGGTTTCCAAGGTTCAGAGAGGGAACCAGTTGGAACGTTTATCATCAAAGCTGTCTGAGCCCACGAACACAGCGCTTGGCAGCCTCGCCGAGACACTTCTGAAGCAAGATGGCGGAGAAAGGGGATTTTAGAGGTTATCCATCGGTATAAATTTCAGATCGTTACATAACCCTTAGGCAACAGATGGGTTATCTCACTAAGCCTTTTTGAAAGTATCCGAAAGATTAATTTTTTTCATTAGTTATATTACGTTCTGAAACAGCGACCGAAGGCAAATTCGAATCATTCATCAGATGACGTCACTCGGTGATACATTGCGGATGTTTCCTTACCATGGCGGTAACTACGCTTGATAAGTCAAATATCGAAATATCGTATCATCGAATGTTCAAATAACTGGTATATTATAGTCTTCTAGGGATTTTAGTTTGTAGTATAATCGCAATGAATACCAATATTTTCTTAAATGAAATTGGCACTTGATCAAAGAAGTCAAATTATACCAAATTCACAAAGTCCAAGAAGGAGCCGATCATTCTTAATTTACGTCAAATCCCTTGGCAAACAATGAATACTGAAGAACTGGAACTGCTCTCTGACTCCAAGTACCGTCAATTTATCAATGCTGTCGAAAAGGCACTGAGGAGCTTCGAATATTCGAGCGAGTGGGCAGATCTTATTTCTGCTCTTGGAAAGTTAAACAAGGTACATTTAACCTTTTCACCTCTAGATGCATTATTATTCGCTTTGAAAACAAATGCAGGTTCTCTGTATCATTGTAATTCTTGATTTTAATTTTCCGTGAATATATTTGCAAATTATTGGTTGTTGATACCTGCATGAGAGATTCATGATCAGTGTTGAGTAAATTTTTTCGAAGCATATCAAGAGGAATTTATCACTTTGTTTAAATTTATTAGTAAATCACATTTAATGTTTTAATGTTGTCAACTTTTGCACTAACAAAGCACATCTGCTAGAAGATCTAAGCCCAAATGACAATTATTTTTTTTACTGCCATTTATCATGCAGTAAAATACTAGGAGCAACTGCAGAATACCCGGCCACTCATTAACATGTCATTGAATAAGAATAGTGTCTATTGTGTTACGCCTTGATCTTCAAAGCCTCCCAACACATGTAAGTGAGGTGGGCCAAAGTGGCCGGGTAATCTGCAGTTTAGCCAAATACTATTTAACAGAGTTAACAACAAAGAGCATTAGCATTTTCTAGTAGTCAGGAGTTTTTCGCATATGCGCACATGTTGGAATTTCATGTGCTCTTCATTTGAGGCATTCTTGCATGTGCTTTGAGGGTGAACTTGCTGAGTTGTGAGGAGTGGCAGCTCATCGTCCAGGCAGTTTTCCCTACCCCTCCCCTCCCTCTTTCTACAGTATATTTAATGTGATGGGTGCCTGTTTTCCTTTCCTGTGTGGGGGCTCATGGCTGGGTTGCGAGGATTTGCCAGCCATGGGAGAGGTCTCCATCTAGGAGCTGGCTGCCAATAATGGAAGCTCCTAGATGTTTCAGGCATCCAACCTCCAATTAGCAATGTAGTTGTTAAAATTTTGTATCAAACAGCTAAAATTCCAGTCAAAATAATGGGTGAAATTTATACGATGATACTGACACAGAATGTGACATTTGAATGCCATGTAAATATTTCAGTGGTCTGCTACTTGAAAAATGTCATAATAGACCTAGTTTGTATGTTCTGTTTACCCATTTTTCAGTCTCAAGGGAATTCCCAGCTTTATCTTTAGTAAATTATGCACACATATACATGTGAATAAGTGAACATTTGAAAGGAACAGTTCTCTAGTGTATAATATCACATGACCTGAAATGGGTTTAAAAGACATGCAAGCTAAAGAGGTCTATTGATACAACACTGCATTTGGCTTATTATTAGTCATACAAAAGGTACAGTGTCCAAGAAACTTTGATCACCGAATGTTTAAAACACACATTTTGAATACTACATCATCATGTGAGTTCCATAGTTGCTCTACCCTTTGACCCTTAACCCTTTCCTTACTATCTGCCATACAATTCTTATGATGTTACTTCAGAGAATTTGGTATTGGATCAACTGATAATCCCATAAGTGATAATCTTCTCTATTCTCATCACCTACCTGCTTGATATTGTATTGATATTGTAAGGAGAAATTCTGTTTTGGTCACTTGTGGGAGTGAAAGGGTTAAAAGTGAATAGCATCTAATTTCTTCTTACAATATCACCCCTTAAGGTCACAAAAATAAAGAAAACAATCAACTGGAGAAGCTCCAGATTGTTAAACAAATTCTCCTTATCAGCACCTTTGGAAATGTATAGAGAACAGTATGGAGAATATGCATATTTATAGTAGCGTCAAAGGGTTAAGGCACACGAAATAAAGCACATCTTAATCACTTGTCTTTTATTTAAAACAATAAATCTTGTTTTGTTTTAGGTATTACAAAATCACACAAAATTCAAAGTATTGCCAAGAAAGCTCACCATTGGAAAAAGACTTGCTCAATGCATGCATCCCACTCTACCAAGTGGCGTGCATCTTAAAGCACTGGAAACATATGAACTCATCTTCAAACGCATTGGTCACAAAGGTCTGGCACAAGATTTATTCATTTATAGTGCTGGACTTTTTCCCTTACTGGGAAATGCTGCTATGTCAACTAGGCCGGTTTTGATGAACATGTATGAGAATTACTTCCTTCCTCTTGGTAAAGCCTTGCTTCCAGGACTATCTGGGCTTCTGTTGGGTCTTTTGCCAGGAATTGAAGAAGGATCTGAATATACTGACAGGTTTGTCAATGGATAATCAAGGTTTTAATTAATTTGTTAATGTTCACTGGCCACTTTAAGGAGTTTTTCAAGCTGTTGTCTTGAGCATCAGCCCTCACTTTGCTGTAAGAAATATTTCAGAAACATGTTTAGCCATAATGAAAATTATATCCCCCAGGTTGGAAACTCAGTGATGGTGATGCAAAGTTCGATTAGTTTGCAGTGAATTTCCTTGTTATTGGACATTATGTGTATGTGACCTTAATGGGTACAAAAAATAAACGTATTAAACAGTTTTTCTGGGTTTGATAGAAACATTTGATGTAAACTAATATGCAATATACTGGTTAACTCTTTACATGCTTACATCAGTATGCAAATTTTCCACACAGTTCTTTACACATTTCCCAAGGTGCCAACAAGGATAATTTTTTTGCCAATCAAAATATTCCTTCCCTGGTGACCTTTTATTTTATTCTGGTGACCTTAATGTGTAATACAGGAGTGATATTGTAGTCAGAAATTAGATGTTAGTCACTCTTAGGGTTTAAGGCATTAATCTCTTTTTTTTTTTTCCAACCAGGACTATTTCACTCCTAGGCTCCTTCAGTGAGAACACAGACAAGAATATTTTCTACACTACTCTCTGGGGATGTGTTTATTCATCAGCAAGTATCCGCCTGCCCGCTGTCACTTTTATAATGACGCGACTGAATAAGAAGGGAGCAGGAAAGCAAAAGTATATCTTAGGAAATGATATACCACTCTTGGTAAGTATCTTTCAATGTCAAAGCTGAATTTTTTTTTTTTTTGAATTTATTTTCTCACCTAAGTTAATCAGTGGGCCTCCCAGTATGGGGTGAGTTTGGCACCCTACTTGACTCATGTAAAATAGCCCAGCTGGTATTTTAACCTTGCCTTGATTGTCCAATTTTGAACTTGACCGCCATGCTAAAGGCAGTAAAATTTTATATATTTCATTACATTATTCAGTTGAAAAGTTAAGGCTGGTTACTGGACCCTTTAGACTTTAGCATCAGTATGCATATTCTCCATACAGTCATTTCCTTTGGAATGGAGAATTTGTTTGATAATGCAGTTTTCTAATGTTGGGGACCATTTCCCATATTCTCATGATTTTAAGGAATAATTAACAATATTATGTAAGGAGAAATTAGCTTCTGGTCACTCTTAGGGTTCAAAGTGTCAAACAAAGCCTAGTACATGTAGTTGCTTTGTAAATGTGTGCTTCAACCTGTAACTTAGTCAAACGCTTTCCGTGAATGTTGGTTTTTCGTGAACAGTTTCTTGATAGTTCTGTTAAGAAGTTCTTCGCTTCACTGGTTGTCTAAACTGCGATAGACTTCGTTTAAATAAGTTACTCTGAAATTCATTTTAAAAATACTAATCCTTTCACTGATTCTTTAACACGGCAGGTGCAAGCAGTCAGCGCTGCATTGAGAGACAACAGTCTCCTAGTCCAGCGGAATATGCTTGATTTTCTTCTACTTTTTCTTCCGGTGAACACGACATATCTTTCGTCCAACGAAAAAGTGACGCTTGTGGCTTCCGGTTTAGAGGTGTTGTTACGACGAGACATGTCTTTAAATAGGCGGCTGTACACGTGGCTTTTAGGAACAAACTCAGCCAAGACTGAATCTGCTTCCAGAACTGATAGTGTTTGCAGTAACGATGCGGATCCTGAAGAACCCCAAGATACATTCTTCAGCATGCATTCGAGGCCGCTTGTGATCGAAGGTGTGCGAAAGATTTTCCAAACTCAAACGAGTATCGATAGAGAAGCCACAAATGGAGCTAAAAAATTGCAAAGACTACAAGTGCTGAAACCGTTTCGAATATTAATCAGCCTTTTGGACAAACCTGAAATTGGCGGATCTATCTTAGAGGATGTTTTACTTGATGTTTTTAGAGCGTTGTATAGTCAATGTAAAGTTCTCAAAGAAAATGGCGCTGCATTTGAAGAGACTGATCGAAAAGATTCTTTTGACAATGTAGCTGTTGAAAGTGGCGCGGCTAGAACCGATTCTGCAAAGACAAAGCTTATTGATGAACTGATCAAAACTGCAAACTTACTCTTCAACGCCTTTGAGCCTTACTTTATGTGGGAATATATCGCAAAGTTGCTCTCTGACTGCGACAAATCATCGGAAGCTGGCAGCAAAGACTGCAACGGCAAGGGGTGTGAATTTACTGCAAAAGTATCAGTCACAAGCTGGTCTGAAGTGTTTCGTTTGACGGATTTCATTTTAGATGTTGTTACTCTGGTAAGTTAAATGCTGATTTTGAAAGCGGTATGAATTTATTTTTTATAAACTTTTGCGTAAGGGCCATAACCCAACGGTATTGCTGGGACAAGAAACGAAAACTTTCGTGCCAAATTTCGTCAGAAAGGATGTGAGCCGAAATGAGAAGTTGTAACCTTTCGGTACTTCGTCCCTCGTTAAGTTTTGTCGAGACACCTCGCTCCCCTTTGGATGTCGACTTTTTTCTCAGGCCGTCCAATTTTCTTGTTGCCAACATTGACAATTTTGTTACTATGGTAGATATTTTCCCTTTTGGAACGTTGTCAACTTAAGCACTTTTCACAAGTTGACGCAGTAAACATTTGATTCAGACAGACTTATCACTTCAAACGAAATCGCTAAATTATAAATCTAAAAAAATATGCGATCTCCACGTAGGATGCTTTTAGCTTTGCTGATACAGGACGGTTGTCACATTTGATCAAAGGGGAATTATAAATCGCTGCCTACTTCGCTGTCGCTTGGGAAGTCTGAGGAAAATCTGACTGTAAAGTAAGGATATGACTGATATGTGGGGAATGGATACGAATCCACATGGGGTCTCGCTGTTAATGTGTTACTTCTTCATTTTGTTTATATTTTTTGATCTAGGAGGCAGATGTGGAGATACAAACAGAGCACTGGCCTGAACTTTTGCGCAGGATAACGATGGAAATGACCAAATGCTGTGACACCATGACACTGGGTGACGTCAAAGAAGGAATATCACTGTGCTCCAGACTTCTCTCTAAGGTGATGCCATCTATGAAGACCGTCGAGAAAGAGAGGACTGAGCCTGAACTATCTGTGAACAGTGAAAATCGCAAAAAGGAGTTGGAAAGCTCGTCTGAACATGATATGAACGAGTGGGGTGTTATAGAGTTAAAAGGAACACGAGACAAAAGCAGACGCAGTGACATGCCTTCAGAGACGTCACTGGAAAATTCTCCAGAGGGAGTCGTTAAAGAAGCGCCCGATAGCGAGGTCTTCAAGGAAGGGGGTAACAAAATCGAATCGCTTGTTGCAGCGGGTGAGAAAGAAATGGTAGCTATGGCTGAGCACTATAATGGTGAAGCTGATGCAGCAAATGTTAATGACACTGATACACAAGACGAACTGGACGAATGGAGCGACTTCCAAGAAGGCGAATCTTCGAGTGAGTTAACCGCCACGAATCCGGAAAGCAACGAGGAAGATTCTAGCCGAGAACAAAAATCGACTCTAGCTGACAGATCCGAGGAGAAGAAGCTTTCAAAAGACACAAAGCGCTTGTTTCAACCCTCTCTTATTCAAGCCTGCGTGAAATATTTTCAGAATTTTTACGCCAAGTTTTGTGTGCAGCGAGTGCTAAAACATGTCAGCTCATTCTGCTTTAGCGACGAAATCGTTGGAGGTATTATAAACAAAGAATGCCACACAGCTTTACGTGCTAGTGGAATTGTTAATGATGCCATGTGGAAACAAATCAAAGAAGGAGAAACCAATCTTGTGGATAAATTTGTACGTGACACTTATAAACCACAAACGAACCTGAAAGGAAGAAGTAGCGTTGCCGGACCAACTGCGCTTGTTTCCTCCTTCAGATCGGTACAGTCTTACAAGAGTTGTGCAGAGGCGTTTGCAGCAGCTTGTAAACTGTTGTTGGAGCTCTCTTGTTTTCCAGTCTGGGCTGGCAACGAATCTAAATCAGAGAAATCAGCAACAGATGGCAATGAAGGTTTGTATAAAATGGGTCCCCTTGTACCTGTATCTAGGCTATTTCCTATGACTAGCACATAATTCTGGTGATATCGTAAAACATCAAAATTGGAATAATAACATGCAACTTGAAAAAGGAATGAGGCTAGCCAAGGATGGCAAAGATTAGTGCGGACTGCTAGTAAGAAACTTGCAGATGTATGCTTTTTTGGAGGGAGAGAGAAAGAGGGGGGAATTGACGGGGTGCGTAAGGGGCTGAGGTAGCAGGGACGTCTCTAAAGACCTGAAAGTAGAGACTCATTGGGGATAAGAGTAAATGTGAAGTATGAAAACTAGAAGATTTTTTGCAACATCTTGTTTCTTTAAGAAATCTCTATGATCTTTCGTTACGATTATATTACAATTCTATGCCTATCCCAAACGTCTGTCAGTAGCTTCTATTCTACTAAAGATACCTTTTTTGTGCTGTCTAGACTCAAATCTTCCAGAATGGCTGCAGTCGTTAATCATGTGTTGTTTTGAGGTCAGCGAGTTTGACATCCAGAGTTCGGCTGTTGGTACACTGTTGGATTTAATAAACTTGACATTGTCAGTCAATGCTGGCCACGCCCATGGACTCAAGTCATCTGCTCCGGTAGTTGTCGTCCCTATGATTTCCCAGCAAGCTCTTGGGGTGATAGAGAAGTCCGGTTTGTACGAGGTAAAATTATTTGTTAGTTGTGACTCCTGTTGTTAGCGCTGACGCCTCCAACTGTCGAACTCAACGAGAAATGGATGTTGCATTCATCATCTCTTTAAATTGGTTCCGAAATTCCCCCTCAACCTATAGATAACCGTTGTTTCTGTTAGCTTTTTCCCCTTTTTTATCGATTTCAGGTGATAGCAGAAAGCTTGTGGGATCAGTTGAAAGAAGACACAACACAGTTTCATCAGAGAATCGTCGAATTATTTCTCCAACTTCACAACTTGACCGCATCGCCATCACTTTGTGCAAATGTTATTGGGAACTCTTTGATAGATATCAGCAAGGTAAGTACCATAATTACTTACTTCATCTGGGTGGAAAGATACGTTATTATTTTTCAGCGCTTTCGTGATATTTACGCAGTATTGCGTGTGACATTGGACTGATAAATTTGCTCTTACTTGTTAGGAGGTATCTTTGCAAGGTCATTGGAAATTCGCTGTTTTTTGGCACGTAGCAAGAAATGTCGTCATTCAGGATTCTGGTAGATCATCAAGACTCGGAGAATTTCGAACCCTTGACAGGTTATTCGAGTGATTGCTATGAATTGTCATTTCGAAGTGGCTGTTTTTCTCCCTTTTGGTGTGGAAAATAATTTTTTCTTTAGTTCTTGTTTCTTACACCCTTTTTTCCTTTTACTGTGCTTTCTGATTCGATTTTTTTTAATCGGTCACGAAACGATTTATCAGCTTCTTTCTCTCAAAGGTAATTCTCTGCAGCTGATCCTCGTCCAATTTTTTTTTATGTAATGTCTAGGGCGTTATTTATCATGGTCGATAGTCTGCAAAATGAAGAACCAGAGATAAGGTGAGTTAAATTAAGGCTTGAGTCTAGCTGTATTTATATCGATTCCATCGTTCTGTAGTTTTTTTCACAATCGCGGTTGTAACCTTTCATATGGGACTGTCTGACTGTTATGAAATAATTTTGGTTTGGTGTTGATTTATATCAAAAAGGAAAACAAAACTTGTGCTTGATTCAGAATTTTGTTCTTTTTCCAGGGTTTTGACGCAACACTGGCTCGCACATGCGTTGCAGCACGGGGACCTGGGACGAATCATTGATCCTCTTCTTCTTTTGTTACTCCATCCAGTCACAGCGCGAGTTTCAATTCACTATTTGTATCAACTGTTCGATTCCAGAATGGCCAATATATTGTCAGATACCAAAAGAAAGGAGACAAAAACGTTCAACAACGTAAAAGTACATTCAGTGAAAGAAATTGAAAATAACACATCACTCAAACCGTCCAACGACAGAGTGAAGCAAAAACCGAAGGTAACTTCGGCGAATAATCGGGAATCGGACGAAAGCAAAACAACCAGTCCAAGTGGACCGAGTGAAGCCGAACATTCGACGGATACTGACGGAGATGGAGCCGATGCAGATGACGAAAATGAAGAAAAAGATCCGACGAAAGGTAAATAGTATTAGCCTTGTACCTTTCCGTTCAACCCCGTTCAAAATAGCATACAATATTCCACATGTTTTACACCAGTTTTCTTTGTCTTTTTTGTCTTGCAGATAAACCAAAGGACACCGAACCAGTCAAAGCCCCACAGTCCCCTCCCCCGCGCAGATCACATGTGCACCCTCTTGACCAGCACAAATTACTGTACATCTTACATTACGACTCGCAGTTAACTCTGTACGCCTTTACTACGTTACAGACAATATTAATGCATTCGCCTCACCAGTTTGTATGCGCGTCATCCACGACTAGCATCAGTTCATCGAACACGCCGCACCAGGAGAAGATCAAGGAATTATTAATCAGACACCGACGGTCCTTACTGGGGAAAGGATTTTATGGCGCTCTGTACGAGAGCCCTGTTTCTCCTTCAGGTACTAGGCAATCGCCATGGAATGATTTTATATGACTCTTTGTAACTCGAGTTAAACCTGATCTCGGAAAATGCCCCTTTTTCTCTTTTTGCGGAGCAGTCGTAATTTAAATAGAATAGAACATTAGTAGCGTAATCATGCGTGTCTTTTTTCACCTGTAGCTTTTGGTTCTATCTCAGGACCTGCTCACAGTGCACGACTGTTTGGAGGGCCCTTAATGTATCTCAAGCCCAGCAACAGCAAGTACCTTGAGGTGCTTATCTCTGTAAGTTTGTATTTCATCCGAAGCGAGTATTCCAGTCATTTGCAAGTCCAACCTGAAGATATTGATGGCAATGTACAGGTGCAACTAGCGAGCACTGAACTGCTACTCGGTGTAATGTGGCAACTGGTTGAGGTTGTAAAGGAAAGCGGTGCTGGATTCGGAACATATATCAGTGACTTGTTCTCACGCTGCAAGGTTCAAAAAGCCTTACTTCATTGTCTTCTTTCGACGCTGTACGAGCGAACGGGTGTAAGGACTTCCAGCAAAGCAACCTCGCCTACCCTGACATCCGGTCACTTGCACGTGAGTTCGGAAATTAGCCAATCACAAGCGCGAGCTTTCCAGATCAAACTTATTAAACTTGTCCAAGCGGTTCTGATTCTCGAGTCAAACATCCACACTGCTGTAGCCATCTCTCAAGAGACAGCTGCTGGTCACGGGACTCCACCCCCGAGCAAACCCGAAAGTCCTGCGAAGGTTTCCGACGATGCGAAAGTGACGCAGTCATCCCATCGGTACATCCCCGGGAAATCTTTGGCAGAGCAGGGTATGTTACTGTCATCGGTTCTTCATGGGCTCAGAAATGATGAGCCCGATATGCACTATGAGTGGTTGCAGTTCGTGATAACGTGCTTGTCACACTTGGGAATGCAATTGCGCACGTGGGTGGTGCCTGTCGTCGAACATTTGTGCCGAATTCTGGAGCGACTGACGACTGTTTACGCCAAGGATAAGGGTTCTAGGACTTCTAGAAGAGACGGTAACGATGAATTTGGCAAAAGGTATCTAAAACTTGTTTAAATCTTGTTGATAAGTAAATGTTGGAAGAATAGTGAACGATATTTTGTACGCGCTTAATGTGACAGCTAACAAACTGACAACATGGTGCCTGGTACTTTCACCTGCCTTCGGGGTTGTAATTTGGTAAATTATGCCTTTAGTGGCGCAAATCTACTTTGTTTACCCAAATATTTTGAAACCAGTATCTGTCAATTGACGACGTAACATAATGTGAATCAATCCAATCAGAACGAAAGAAATATATTAAGAGAAAAGAGAATTTTAGATATAAGTTTTGCTCCAAATGCGGAAAATTGCGAGCTACTAAGTCATCGTTAGTTTTATTTTTACATTTGACTCGTCAAGACTACGCGCGGTGAGGAAAGTCAATGCAGCCTCTTTAATTCTGACAGTCACTTTAAATTGTCGTTAACAGTCATCTTTTTGTATTTTCTAACAGACGCCTTGATGCAGATGGCTCTAGTATTCCTCCAGACTATATGGTAACCTTACTGGAAAGCTTAGCATCGATCTGTCACTCCTGTCTGCGCGACAATACGACTCCCCAGACACCAGTCCTCTCTCTGAAGCCTCGGGCAGGTCGGTCTAACTCTTCTCCAAATGTGTCTGCTAATCCTGATCCCAACCAGTCCAGTACGGGCTCGAATCAAATCTTTACCAATCTGCTACACGCGTTTTCGGTCCAGTCAGCGCCCGTTAGTGATGTACCGAGTGTGGAGGTCCCAAAGAACATTTTAGACGCGCGTGAAGGACTCCTGAGTGTCCTTCCCAAGATTCTGTCCTCTCTGTTTACCGTGTGGAGCACTTGGAGCCCGCAGAGAGCTGATTCAACTGGCCAGCGGCTACCATCTGAATGGTCGCTCAACTTGATGGGAAGTCCAAAGGTAGGCGTGGTAACCTTAACGAGTTGAATCACTGCCTTCATTTACAAAACTCATTTACAAATCTTTCGGTCCAGTCAGCGCCCGTTAGTGAGTATAAGTAACTTCTTATACATGCAGTCCTTAAAACAGCCATTGAACTCTACCCTCGTTATTTAAAATTGTGTCTACATCGTTCGTTACATTGACACAAATCGAAATCGTCCTTAGTCAAGATAGGATACGTTTATGTAGGCGTGTTTATTGCTCTTTCTCTACTCAGGCTGTGCGACAACAAATTCTGCAACTGCTGACTCCGATCACCATGAATCATACCATCGTGTTCCTAGCCTCGCTTGCAGATGTTTGGTACCAAAGGCGAAGGCGAGAGGGATCTGGAGTAAAGTCCGTAAGAGCTGTTCCAGTGGCGTCTGAAGATCAGATAATTGTGGTAGATATCGTTTATGCTATCAAGGTAGGATTCCATCTTCTTTGGAAGCCTTAATTTTTTAGTTCGAATTGAAAGTTGTAGATTTCGAAAGTCAAACTGAAAAAGTGCATGTTTCTGTTATCTTGTAGGCGTTGTCTGTCGAAGAAATGATAGACAATGTTAAACAAATCGTGCGTCAAGTTGTCACAAGCAAAGACAAGACTACGCCTACTCAGGCTGGCCTGGAAGTCAACATACTACAGTTTTTGTTCGAGTATTTGCATAAGGCCTCAGAAAGCCATTTAATTCTTGTACGTTCGTCTCTGCTATCTCTCATGAAGGAAGGACTTCAACTCAATTTTCCTCCTGCTCTCTTTCTGTTGTTGATTATTCTTCGATCTTACGTGGAGAATATTCCCTTACAAGAGGATAAGAAGGTCCGAAAGGAGTTACAGGTAACGGAGGAGCTCATTTTGACTTGATATCGGTCCAGTAAATCGAGAGTCTTGCGACGTGATTGATTCATCACCATCATGACTATCGTTTTATTTATTTTCTGATTATTTATTTATTTTTCGAGGCCTTAATTATTTTTTTCCAATCAGGACATAACGCAGCGTCTTGTAGAAGCGTGCAACACGGTGGCGGGATCGTCCCTGGAAAACGCCGCCTGGTTCAGAAGGACTCTGGCTGTCATCCCACAACCGGAAGTCCCTTCAGACCAATCAAGTAACATGGATTCTGAAACTTCCGAAGCTGAGCCTGCGGCACCACCTACAAGTGTGCCGAGTGGTAGCACCGCAAGCAATACTAGCAGCTATAGTACTCAAGCCCTTTACGTATTGGCCGAGGTTCTTGCCCCAGTTTTGGACATGGTGTTTGGAAGCGACGAGAAGGAACGAATGACGAGTTTTCTTACGACTGTGATGTACAATGTGACTCCGTTTCTCAAAAATCACAGGTAGGTTATAGTATAACGTTGCCATGGACGTCTGCTAAAGCTTTGGTGGTCCTTCGTCGCCTTTTCCAGTCTCAGTTTCTGGGTTCGCTTAGGGGGGACCATGTGGCTTCCTTCAGAGGAGCCAATCAGTACAATTTAAAGTAGACATCACACGTAGTCAAGGAAAGTTGAAAGCATAGTATTTGGGGAAGCGTGGTTATAAAAATCAGGGTATAGATAGCCACAGTTTATGTTGCAAGGTCTTGAACCGTGCACAACCTTTTGTTTATGTGTACACACATTGTGATCGAATAATTATTTTGAGGATTCTATACGTCATTTAGTTTCAAGTGAACCGAATGCTATTATACGTTATGTACAGTCAGGTTCAAAAAGCCTAACAGACATCTGTAACAGAGAAATATTTTGGGCTTTGTAACCATTCTATTCTTTTTACTACGCACAAGTAAAACAAGCGAGTTGTCGTAGCCACAGGAAAACGCCATTGACTTTAAGGTTTTAGTTCTACCCAGTGATTAATTTAAACCGAGAGTGGTGCAGGTTCTTTTTGAACAATCAAAGGGCGAATAAAAGAGAGCCATTAAAATCACGGATTACTTTCGCCACTGAATTATATTTTTTGGGCTTCATTCCATTCCAGTCCTCACAACGTACCCAGCTTCCGCGCATGCTGTAACCTCTTAGCTTCCTTAAGTGGGTACCAGTACACTCGACGTGCCTGGAAAAAAGAGGTTATGGAGCTATTACTGGACCCGAGTTTCTTCCAGATGGATATCACGTGTATTGGAAGTTGGCGAACGATTATTGACAACTTGATGACGCAAGACAATACGTCATTTAAAGAGCTGATGGCACGAGTGGCTGGGTTGAGTCAAAGTGCTTCTATTAACATCTTTGCTAACAGGGAACAGGTAATTTAGTTTCTTTAAATTTACTTTTACTTGATATGACTTTTCTGGTCACATCTTTAGGGACTCCCAAAGGCACTCCATTATTAGGCAGCATCTTGAAAGATCAAGGCTAAAGTTTTTCACGTTGAGCATGTGCAGTCAGTCGTAACCTTTTCCATCCTTAGCCATTCTCGTTCTCTCAGGATTTTTCTTTCCTTGTATTTTTCTGTCTTACCTAGCTTCAAGCTAAAGCTAGTTTTGCATGTTTCGAAAAGGTAAATGACCCAAGATTGGGCGAGTGCTTCTTTTGAGTGAATTGTTGATCGTAAAAAGCGTCTGTCAAGGGGATGAAACTGGTGTCTTAGCAACTGCGATTCCAGAGTGACTTTTACTCAAACTTTGAGCTACCTTATGTCTAGCAAGGTTTATCCCCTAACAGAAATTATTTTCTATATCTCTTCGAGTTTAACAAGTTTATATAAAACTGAAAGCCACGGGGATATCGCAAGCGAAATTGTGTTTTGATTAAGTAAGATAACTTGAAACATGTTTGATGAGCTTAGGACAAAGAAATGTGCCGAGTCTCCAGGGAGGATCCAAACCAGATTTCGCGATCTAATGCTCTCTTACTGATATATAGAGCAATCCATCGTTTATGTGGCATTACTCTATAAACTTGGCTACTTATGAGCCATGTGTCAAAACAATGTGCTTTTTAGGCGAAGTTTTGAGGCATTTACCTTGCCAATATTAATTTTGTTTAGTTCTTTTTTTATTCATCTATTTATTTATTTTGTGTGTCTGTGCTACAGGAAATGGAGCAGCGTGCTCAGCTTTTAAAGAAGCTGTCGTTTACAATTTTCTGCAGCGAGGTAGATCAGTACCAGTACGTTCTGCCAGAAATACAGGAACGGCTCGCTGAGAGCCTGAGACTACCTCAGTCTCCAGTCGTACATGAGCAAATCTTCCTGTTTTTCCGTGTGCTTATTTTGCGCATGTCCGCGCAGCATCTGACACCACTGTGGCCGACGATTGTATCAGAAGTTGTACACGTGTTACTTCAAATGGAAAGTGACCTGGGTTCTGACGGTAAGTCACACAAGCAGAGAATGATTATATCCGAATTACTTCTCGGCTCAAATGGGTATGTGAACTACAGTCAGGAAAAGTGGCTTGGGTTGTACCTTGCGGTGTGTAAACTTCTCGATCTGTCCCAGGCTCTGCCTAGTGATTATTTATCACAGTTTCAACTCTATCGCTGGGCGTTTGAAGGGGAAGCATATAACATGACCGCTGGAGAGGAAAAGGTTCCAGTTTTTAAGCCTCATATCGCTCGTTTGGAAAAACTGCTTCAGAAGAGGATAAGAGATCAAGCTGATGTAGAAGAGCTACAGCGTGTACCAGGAGAACCGTTGCTGACCATGTACCAAATCAAATCTTTGGATCAGCTGCTTCCCTTTTTTAAGTGTTTGTCTAGGGACAGGTACTCTGGCTGCAGCGAAATGCGGGGCAAAAATAGCAAGTCTAAATCCTCGCAAAGTAAAAGTTTATTGGAACGCGTTGTGGAAAGGGACTTCCTCGAACCTCTTGTGGTGGACTGAAACCTTCAAATGAAACACTTCACGGTGTGCACACCTTCGTGATATTCTTTATTTAAAATCCGCGATGATCCTCTCCATTCTTATTTTGGTTTACTTCTACATCTTTGGTGTTTGTTTACCCCAGCAAATGATAATCTTAAAGTTTTATACGATTTCAATGCCACTGTATTTGGCGCGTAAATTGATTCGAAGTAATGTGATGAACTGAGCCCCTTAACTAAAATGTCCGTCTCTGCGATCAGTGCGATTTGTTCTGGTAAAGACCACAAGAAAAAAAAAAGAAAAATGAACGAAAGCAAAAAATTGAAAAAAAAGGCAGAAACGTAATTGACAACCAGTTTGGATCGGATTTACGACTATGGCGAGGGTCAGCGGTGGATTATAATCGTGTTTTTTCGGTCAGTGTTTTTGTGAAAACTAACCATAGTTTTTTTAAATTGTATGGATTATTACGTGGAGAAAATTGCCATTGTGATTGAAGCCGCCATTCGCATTTCTTTGACAGCTCATTCGTTTCTATTACATCATGAATTTTCCTCGCTCTCATGGTACAGCAGTCATAGTGTATGTTACCTTGAAATGTCAAGACAGAAACCTCAAATCAGTTGCCTGTCGTATACTTAAAGTCTGTTAACAAAAACAAACAATTCTTTGTAAGCCTTAAGCTTGCGTAGGTATACAGTAAAATGTTTCCATGAAATTTTTGCACGCATATAAACAGTATCGTAAAATGCATGTAAATCATAGTAGAGGAAAGGTCGTCTTCTAAAGACGATGAAAAAATATTTTTGAGCAATCCACTTTAGTGCAAACTATTTAATTGTAGAGGTGGCAAGTATTTAATTTCCAAGGAAGGTATGAAGTGTAACAATGCGAAGATAGCGCATTGCAATGAGAAAAACAAGATGCTCCAAATGGTTTTTTTTTTTTTTGGATAATTTTTTTCTCGTATGATACAGAAGTTGCTGAAAGAAGTGTTGGTGAAATAACAAACTGACCACGTCCAGTGGTTACCGAGTGAAAAGGGCTTTGTAATTATTTAAATTAATTATATGAACACTATTTAATTTTTGTATTGTTAAGTTAGACTCTCATTGGTGTTAAGAAAAGGAATCTACATCGACTCACTAAGTAAATGAATAAATCTCCTCTCAGCAAAATCAACGTGTCGTGTTCAGCACCTTCATGAGGTAATTACAACATTATCCTGTCATTTTCTTTCGATCTCTAAAAGCCTTATGAAAATGAAGCTCGATTACTCTTATTACTTAAAAAAGCTTCAATTTGATAGGACTGTTTTGATGTATCACAAAAGAGGGAACTCTGTTATGAACCATCTTTAAAATGCCTCGAGGAGCTCAAGGTCCTGTCGGCTGCACCTCGAATGGATTTGTCGTGTTCTCTAAATTTCCATGCGCTTCATAGCTCGATGAACAATGCTGAGCCCACTCATGAACCAATGTGTTAGAAAAAGACTTGGTCAGTTAGAAGAAAATATTCGTGGCTTTTAAGATCACAAGGTGAAAATGAAAAGAGCGCGGGTAAAATTGATAGCATTTCCAAAGTTGAGCCCAGTGCATTTTTTAACGGTATCTTTCCATTGTGGTCATCAGAATTTCTTTTTTAATTAACTTTTCTCACGACTTAATTTAACAATTTTTACGCCCAACGCCTAAATTTTTTGGCTGTCTTATGGCTATCGGTTAACCCCTCTGAGGTACTCTTTAAGAGGGCGAAGTTTGCCATCTAAAGACTTGTTCCTTTAAACTTGCGTCCATTTCTTTAACATATGAGTAACTATGACATCTTGTATCTTGCTATCGGCGGTATCAAAACATTGTGAATCTCGCACATTCCACTGAATCATATCTATATTGTCTATTACAAGTTATCAGATACATGACTTGTAAAGTCACTTGAGACTTGTGCAGACGCAGAGAGGGCCATGTAAACCTTTATCTTTGGGACAAAGAGTAGGGCAACTGTCGACGTGGCTGCCACGAACACGATCGATCTTTGAACCAGAGTCTTAAGAGCAGGATAAACCACAAACCCAACCACAATCGCTAAGCAAGAAAACATGAACATGTTGTACACTGCTAAGCCAATGCTCTTCGAATCGTTAAGCGAAGGATAATGTACGTTTCTGGTCTCCCAGGCCAAAAACACACCGAAAATCAACAGTATCCCTTTCAGCCCGCACAAAGACATCACCCAGGTATTATAGTAGTGAGAAGTACACTGACGGGTTAAAAGTTCCTCCACGAGGTCAGGGTCATTATTGTCAACCTGTAACAACGTACAAAAGTCTTGATTACCCCAATTTACTCATTAAGCTAAATGATACACGGTCTTTGATAGGAACCGTAACTCTGCGTTTTCAAAAATAGACTACATGTTGTCGTGGGTTTGTACAGAACTAGATCACAAGAGATGTCAAATTGGTAAGAACATCGGAGACGCACTCAGCTGCACCATGTGTGCCACTTTTGGCGTTCAAATTTTATATAATTTCGTCTCGTGACAAAATCTTCAAGAAAACGAGCTTTAAATATGAGATGCTGTTAGTTCACATAAATATTTGAGTGCTAGTGGAGACCGATAAATCTTTTTAACTTTACTTTGTTCCAAGAAACAACAAATTAAACTGAACAGCAACAGAAACCAGATGATAATGCATGATAAAAACTCCAGAATTGTACTGTATAACGATCCTGGCAAAAAAAAGAGCCTCTTCGTTTATATTGGTTTCCACAATGCATGTTTGAACACTACCCATGATAACTCATGCCAAAAATAACACTATATTTACCGTCTCGGAAATTCTCTCGAATTTCGTCGTCAATGGGTCAACAGATGTCCAAGTTGACAGGAAGATGACGTCTATAGACCAACCGGCCAACAGTATTGCGAGAAGACTGGTACTACTCAAATTGGGGATCTAATTAAAATTTAAAAGAAAAATAAATGGCTGACGCCTGCTTCGAGTCCATCATCAATACAAAGCAGGAATAACCTTTCCTCACCTCCTTTTTCAATTGATAGTTGGTAAATATTTTGTAAACTCTCCAGGTTTTAACAAAAATGCCACCAAAGGCGAAGGTAAAACTGGTGGTCAGAAGCCAGAAAGTAACCTAAAGATGGTAAAAGCCAATCGTTATCCGACAATATTTTAAAACAATCATTACCAGGAACAAAACGCGACAACCTATGCCAACAAATAATTACTTTTAAGAAATGGCACATCTCATACTTCTTGTAAGTTTAGATCGTCAGCTAGTTGGTAACAAGTTCTCATCAAAATTTACTAAAAATTGTTTTGGGATATCATTAAACAACCAAGAAAAACAGCAGGTATTTAAAATCCTCTTGAAGTATCAAAAAACTTATTTTATCAACCTAAAATCGTCAATTATTTAAGTTAAGTTAGTGTCATAAATCACAGTCTTATTGAATAAATATTGCAAAATCCCTTTATTAGTTTATCAAAAGCACAGAAAACTCAAGGGGAAGATGTAATTTCTTTTAAAAAGGAGAGTTTTTCAATCTTGACTTGTTACAAACACTTCTTACATTGCACAGGAAAGCATGGTTCAAGTGTTCCGCTGAGCCAGAGGTACCGCGGGCCAACAAAAATATTTCCAAGTAAGCCAACATACATCCGATGACAGTGATGTTATTGAAATTCGGAGATGACATTCTTATGAAACTGCATGAAGAAAAAAAGTTAAACTCATCATATCATGACTTTACAAACCAAAATTAGGGTGTATACCTCTATCCTTCTAAATGCCTTTCATCTACTAGAGAGGTAAACGTTTGAATACCTTTCCCTCCGCAACCTCTCAGTTTCAATCGATTCAAATAGCCAATATTTTAAATGTAGAATTAAGAGTAGCATTTAACTGTAACATATTGTTCCATGCATCTTACGGTGGACTGAATGACAATAATTTCATGTTAAGTCATACTCTTAACAAAAATAAAAACCAACAATCTAATTGAAAGGCTGTTATGAGGTGGCTCGAGACACTTCACTTTTTATGAACAGTATGCGCAGCACAGTTTTCGATTCCTTTCAGAAAATAGTCCCATCGAAAAAGAGATAATGTTGATTAAACTGTTAGAATTTTTAGGCAAAATGGTTCAAATTCTCTTCAGGACCAAGCCAGTGGTTTCATTCAAAACCTGCCCTTGACGTTCCAATTGATAGAAGCAGGACTATAATAGCATTTTTCTCGAAGTAACTAAAGGGGGAACGCCATTGTTCCAGAAACCGGCTCAAATTGTGCGAAATGCTAGCGGGAATTTTGCTTAATGTCCTTCGAGCTTCAAATTACCTGTGGTTTCGATATTTGAAGTTGAACAGCAGACAGAACAAACAAAGCAGTATACCGGATGAGGCCAAAACGTAGAACGAAACAGTCGTCTTTATACCCTCATGATAAATCTTTTGAGTAATTTTTACACCATCTGCTGGAACACGACCACCTGCGGGTGAAAAGGCAGAGAAGTGATTCAAATGAGCCTATCTGCAGTACAAGTGTCACAATGATAACTGGTGGAAGGAGGCAGTGTAAGCAAGAGTCCGTTTCTATTATCATGCTTTATTCATGGGAAAAAAACTTACAATGGAGGTTGAAATTCTTGAGAAGCGTAACGCAATTTGACTAAACCTGAATTCTCCCCCTCTAACCCTGAAAAATGATGAAGGGTTTCTGTATATATCTTAATTGGCAAAAAGTAGACTTTTGTAATATATTTTGATATAGCACATGTTTTCAAAAGCTATCCCGAAGAGTTTTGATCTCCTTTATAAAAGAAACCGGGGAAAGCCTGAAAATCAAATAGGCCGCTAAAATTCACAAGCTCAACCTCGTATCTTACCTATCGTCAGAGTTCATCATACGAAGAAAGTTCCCAATCTCTGAAATGTATAAAATCAAATTTACATTGAACTACATGCTTGTCTCACCTGCCCATTCAAAACCAACACCATATAGTTGCAGTTTCCCATCACGAACATCCATTGTAGCGACCAATCTCTTACTGTCTCCTGAAGAAATACCGAAACGTTCTAATAAGTATGATTATTTTTTTTCTTAGAGGGCATGGTAACGAATCCTGCAATCTGATTGGTATTGATTCAGTACGGTTCGGATTTTCCTATCTCTGCCCACGGGCACGGTAATCCTTTCGTGAGTCGCTGAGTACATCCCTACCTTCGTTGCCTCCGTATTGAGTACCACCCTCGGTCTACGCCCTCGGGCGGTACTTTGGACCTCGGGCTCAGTTTAGGGACCTCCCGGCGGGTAATAATATACATATCGTCCTATTCATAATCTTTTTAAGGCCGGATTTTTACATAGCTTTTCCGTACACAATTAATACAATTTCAACTGCGAGCTGGTAAAGGTAGAGGCGAACTTGTTTTATTTTATAGGCCGGAGCTTGCAATGAGGTGAAACTTCCAGAAACAAACAAACAAACAAAAATTCCTCTTACCTGTCTTCTGAGTAATTTGCACAACTGTTTGCCTGTCTCCATATCGATCAAACGACACGTGACCCTTAAAAAGGTACAGCAAAACTTATTTCACTATACCATGGTAAAAACCCATAAAACTGTTTACCTGCATTTGAAAAATCAGCGGTAGTTGGATACACTTTTTCTTTCTTTCTCTTTTTTTTAACACTGGTGAAATAGGACAGAGACCCTGAGATCCAAAGAGGAGGAAGAATTGGTTACCCTACCGACATTCCTGTGAAGTTTGTCCGGAACAGAGTATCTTTCATGATCTCAGCTGTTTCTTTATCACCGTATTTAATGGTTTCTAAAGTTTTGTTCTTTTCCCCAAGTAGGGGTATGGATTTGTCCAACATAAGAGCGATGGTCCATACGGCGTCATAAGTGAAACTTGCGTACTCATGAGAGGTAAAATTGGAATGCCGACATCTTTCCTCGTAAGTTGAATTGAGCTGTTGTGCTGTCTGAAAATAGGAGATAAAGAAAGAATTATTGGCGTTTGCTCAATTATCAGCACGTATTTCCTGAATGCTTGAACTAATAGAAGACAAAGATACATTATTTCATTCATAGTAAAAATGATAATTTGTCATTACTTTGAGTTTACATTGCCCCTTCATAACAAAGACCTTTTTATTGGAATAAAAAATGTTCAACGTAAACAAAAAAGTAACCAAGGATTCAGAACATTTCAGGTCCACATGTCTAAATCTTTTGTTTTTGGTACAGAACAGCAGTACATTGTTTTGGACAAGACTGGACCTAAGAAGAAATATACACATTTCTAACCTTGTTCGATATTGTGGGTTGTGGTGAATTACTGAGACGTAATGGAGACGTTAATATCAAGTTACTAGCAGCTTTAAGCAAATTCTCTCCTGTACACTCTTCATCTGTTTTTGTCCACCAGTCCTCCAAGTACCATCCAACTATTATCCAAACATACTTGTTTCCAAAGAGCCCTTGTTTGTAGGCCTGTGAGAAAATATCATGCATTCATTTTAAATGAATGTTACGGAAAGTTATTGTTTTAAGCAGCTGTCTGTTCATTTTTCCAATTGTGGATAACAGGTAATCCTTCCATATGAGATTTAGGAGTTGGCTGCATACCTATTATACCATTAGTTTTGACATGTCTTAAGCTAAGCAAAAATTTAAACGAATTCTAGAGAAGGAAAAGTTCACGCATGCTCTTTACAATTGCACCTTTATGTTGTCTTCGATGTGTGCAAGCAAGAGAAGACAGGTTGTTAAGTTCATAAGGAGTGAGGGAGTGGGTGAGCTCAGGAGGAATATGTATTTGTGAAATCAGTTTGGCCAGACAGTTCTGGACTTCAAGGCTTCAAAACTAACCCTTGACCCCTACCCACAGCACAAAAAGGACGTAGAGAGCCTTAGGATCAGCAGGAACGTTAGCAGTAGTCAGTGGTAGTTGGCAAGATGTTTTATCTCGCCAAGTTCAATACTCACAGTGCACATAGCCTTTTTAAACATGTCCTCGTACATCAATCCAATGATTATTCTGGCATCTTTCTCCTAAATACCAGTAACAACTTGATCACTAATGGAACACGAATCCCATTACGTTCTATGTAATATTTTCAAAATTCATCATCTTGCTAATCAATTAGGTTAAGCGGCTAGTCGGTCCAATTTGACCGAATGTTACTCTACAGACTTTCATCTGGGCCGGGTTTTACGAACACGATGAACCTAACCAGGGGTTTGTGTAAATTTTAATTCAGTTTTATAGCTTTGCAAGGGGATTTTTCTTTTGTTTTCAGCCTCTTTTTCCGTTAGTTTCGAGTCATGTTGAGACCAAACATAACAAAACCTTAGCCTTTATATGTGCTCTTCTAATTGAGAATTTTAAGTCTGGGTTAACTTTTAATCCTAGATTTGCGTTAATCCCCTTTCGAACAACCGGTCTACATAGCCGGGTTGTCTAAACCTGGGATCAGATAATTCATGCAGGGTTAGTGTGAAATCTGATATCAAATCTCAAAGCTTTAAACAAAAATTCAGTATGATTTTTTTTGTCCACAATTTGGTAATTGGACGTTCTAAAAAGAAAAGAGTAAAGTACCCCAAAAAATTTTTTGAATAAAGGAAAAAAGAAGCCTGGACTAAAACTCTACCCTGGCTTAGCGCTATTCGGCCTTTGAAGAACTGGGGTATAACAGTAGCAAGTTGAAAGATAGACTATTAAATTTGAAGTATAGATTTACTCTTTACCTTCAGTAAATTTTTGACTGATGAAGACGGATCCTTTATAAAGGTTTCTTCCGCAATAACGGTGATGTTTGATTCTTTTAACCTCGGAATGAGATCTTCTTTTGTCTGTTAAAAAAATTAAACATTTAAATGCAAGGGTTTGGCGAGTTCTATCGGGTAAGAGAATCACATGTTTAAAGATGACGTACTTTTGTCTGTTGATTGTAGATTTGTGACTTTAATTTAATTATATTAGCTTTTTATTGGAATACTAACTCCATCACGTTTCAGAGATGAACTGACATGTTCATGCATAGTTATAATAATCCGGCAATTCTTACTGTAACAAAAATATCGAAGTTTTCCACAATGAGGGCGACTCTTTTCCACTTAAAATGTTTAAACAGTGCGACTCTAGCCGGGTTTTCCAATGTTTCAGAAGTGGCGGTTCTGAAGTATAAAGGATACTTCTCTTTGTTTGAAAACTGAGGTGATGATGCGCTGTAACCAATCTGAAAAAAAAAAGCAAAACAAAACAAAACAAAACAAAACAAAACAAAACAAAAAAACACCAATCAAACAAAATATATATAGCGAAGAATTTGTCTTCAAGGAAGGTCCAAAATAATATATGCATTCTAGAAAATCAGCCTCGTTCCAAGCCAACAAAGAAATTTTCCAGGCTCTCTTTTGAATTAGTGATGCACCGACAAATCAGGTGTTGATTTGTGAAAAAGCGATCATTAAGGGAAATATTAGAATTTTTCTATAATTTTAGTCATATTAGTAATAATAATAATAATTACAAGAGCAGTACTTCCACAACTTTTTCATATAAATTTAATCAAAATAGATTTCAAGTTCATCAGATAACGTCATTAGTTTATTGTGACGTATCCTTTGACTTTGTTTTTACACGTTACAGAAACATTACGCTGTCAATTTAAATCAAATCACAATATTTGAAATGAGTACAGCTAAAATAGTTTAAGTATATACCCGTAATAAAATCTACACAAATACACAAATAATAATATAGTATAAAATTATTATAATATAATTATTACATAATTATTTTATTATTATTACAAATAATAGCTATAATGGTGATAAGAACATCAACAATAGTAATGGCAGTAATAATGATGATTATAATAATAGTCACTGATATCGTTTTTTTTCTCTGTTTTTTTCTTCTAAGCAGGTCAGGTCCGTCTACGTTAACATAGAGCAAAATATTTGTTTCTCAGTTATACTAAAAATGCGCCATAAATATGTAAATGACAGTAAGTCACCTGCACTGCTTGCCAATACGGCGCGGCCTCAGCAATAGGTTCGGTCGCTAACGAACATCCGGGACCCAAGAATACAATCTTGTGAGGTTGTGTGTTAATTAACTCCAGCATGGCTCGAATCCCAGCGCTACTCTCGCACTTGAAAAAGGATCAAATTTCTGAGTAATAAACTGACTGATAAATTATATGAAATAATTATTTTAGCATTCCAAATCCTCTTCTAGATTTCCAAATCTTAACGAAAACAAAACCTACTTCAAACAAAAATGTGGTGAAAACCCATGTGTTCTGCGGCATTTTGTAATAACGACGCATTTCGTAATATCCTACGCATTTTGTACCTCGTCACTAATTCAATAATACCATTTTTTCTTAATTTTTTGCATGTTTTTGTGACAAAGTTGATATTATTAAAATTTTTGTCAAGGTGTTGTTACAAATTGTGTAGACCGACGATTAGTACAAAGTGCTACAGCCCATATTACCAAAAGCAAAATTAAAGTTATTACAAAATACCGCAAACGTTATCAAACAGGCCCTTACATGGAGGTGGGGGACCCCAGGTAGGTGAGGTAACCCACTTAGGTGGGGTAACCCGCCTTTCCATATAATCTCTCATTTTATCTTGATCACGTTTACATGATAGGTGGGGTGACCCGCCAAGGTGGGTTGCCTGGTCTGCCAGGTGGGATAACCCTGTCAGCCGGGGTGACAATTTGCCATGTAAACGTCTCAAGGTGGGGTAACCCACCTAACCGTGGTCGCCTTCAGGGCAAAAAGCTCAAAAGCTAAACACATGTTTTAATACTTTGTGCATTTCTTAGCCGTCTCATGGCAGAAATCACCAGAAACCGCAACGGACACACAAGGAGTGTAAAATGCTCGCATTTCGGAATATTTAGTGCAGCAAATCGACCAGGGGGGGAGGGTTAAAATTCCTAGAGTTAGGGTAATAATGTGCCATTTTCACGACTGCATTGACTTTTATGGCGTTGCATTTTCAGCTATTTTCAATAGAGTTACTAGAATGGAGTTACACATTTTTGAGATTTTAGGCCTAAGAAAACAGTGACAAGTAAGGATTTATAAACAGGAAGATTCATGGTTAAAAAGTTGTTACCGTTTTTCAATGTTTAATAAACAGCTCTCAATCCATTCCGGTCTTGCCCAAAAGCGGACAAAGATGGGGTCTATGATTGGCCACAACATAGGCTAAAATACGGCAGAGGGGGGGTTCCCATCACATACTCAAGTACTGAAATTTCTATACTTGCTATGGTTCTACTTTCTATCTCTTCGTTAACACCTTAGTTTACTGATAACAACTTTACAAGTATATATCTCTTTAATACTTTATCCACGAGTTGGCCTCAGGCGCCCTTTGATTATAAGATGCATTGATCGAAACTGAAATTATTTGTTTACTTTTCAAAACAGGAAAAAAAACAGTTTTATAACTCTACTCCTGCACTGAGAACATACCCTGGAATCATTCCACACGTATTTCAGCTGATAGTTCACCAATATGCCAGGATCGCTGTTCACGTGTTCTAACGCCATCTCCAGCGCTGGTATGACCCCAGCTGTGCTCCAACTGCCATTTTTGACGTTGACACCAAACAGGCCACCGATGTATAGGTCAATCTTGGTCGTGGAGTTTCTGTGATCAGTTTTGTTCGATATCGTCAATAGAACGTAGGAGAACAAGCACATGAAAAGCTGGTACTGGTTTGCCATTTCCGTGGTCTGTTATCAGATCTGTTTACATTTACAGAGTACACAGAAAGATCAATTTTCATCTCTGTTAATATCGTAACGCCTGCTATATGAAAGGTCCGGGATCGAACTATAGTCGGGGTTTATGTGATATGTTCAAGGTAAGACACTTTGCACTAAAAAAAAAAGGGCTTTAGACTTCGATACGGTTGTGGAGATTATCAAATCTGCCGGTGGCGTCATGCTACGAAATTTGAAATAAGGTCAAACAGTGTGGATAAAAGGTCTCTAATGTATGCACGACTCCGTCAAATTCTTGAACTAGACTACTGTTATTTCATATATAATTTTCTTTGTTTACACTTCACGAAGTCAGTCGCAATGAATTGATGTGGCTGTATAACGCCTCCCGATGAAGAGACAATCACTTGCAAATTTAGGGAACAGAAAGTTTGGTTTTTATTAAGCACACTTCAACGAAAGGTTATTATGTTTCAAGCAAAATTATTTCCTTCCACCAACTTACGTTCTGTTTTTTTTTTAATAAATAGAGTTTATTTTGGATGGTGAAAGGCATGATAACAGTGTTTAAAGTACCTGGAAGATGACTCTTATCCTCTAGAAACTTGCACCAAGCCGAACTTTTCGGTTTAAACGCAATAATGAATATGTGAGAAAAATTCAACGTCATGCAGGTGATGGCAAAATTAAGACATCAGCATAAAAATAGTAATAAAGTTTTCCCCCTTAGATAGATAGTTTCCTTAAACTAAGAGGTTCTATTTGCTTGACAGATAAATGAAGCGCCTTTTGGAAGAGCTTTTTTAATAATATGAAATATCCGCGTCGTGCACTCAAATGGAAAAACATATTTGCCAAAACAAAACCAAGTGGTGTCTTCTTAATTAATTAATTTTCTTCGTCTGAAAGCTTCTGATCAAAATTTTTTTGTTTAAATTAAAAAACGTTGTCCTTGGTTGATCAACCAATAGTTCTCTTGGTCATTCGATCTTTGCTGTAAATGGAGAACGTCCTAGGAAGATTCGGTGCAACTCTATCAGTTAAAGTTTACTTCAAAGCGAAGTAATGTAACTTCGCTTCAATTTTACCGATAAAACAAACACATTAGTATAAGAGCTAGAAACTCTGTAACTGTAAAGGCAGACCGAGGAATTTCTGAATAATACAAAAATATAACAATAAACGACGCACAACTCAAACAACTTTTAATTTTTTTCCACAATGTCTCACGACATAATTATTTCAACCAGACAGCCTATAGCATTGCATGTTTGATGTTAGCTATAATTAAAATGCTAAAAGAAACTGACTGTACGATGCTTGAAATGCTAAAGTCGCGGCAACTGCACAAAACTTCATTTCAGCGTACTTTAATTTGTTTTCTTTAGCGACAGAGCAATAACATATTAAGCCGACGGCCCGGGCGTTCGCTTTACGCCTACAAGTTTGATAAGGGGCTCTTTCTTATTTGATAATGTATATCGATTAACTCTACAATGCAAGGTAACTATAAATGGATTAGCTCCATGGCTTTATGTTACAAAGTAATAGTCTAGTGATTCATAGCCAACTAGAGGCCGGTGATGAAAGGAAGAAAAAGACAACTGTGAACATTACCTTGAAGAATAGTGTTAGCCCCAATCTGTTTCAGCGCATTGTCTGAATACGTCAGAAGGACTAAATGACTGTAAATCATATATGTGAACTGCGGTTAAAGAAACGAATATGGAAGCAATCCTCGCAGTTGATTCCAGAATAAAATTGTTAGTTTTGCCAGCACCTTAGAGAACCTTTTGGCAAATGCCTCGATCACTTAAACTCACTTCCTTATGTGGGCGGCGCATGAGAACCACATGCTCTCTAGTTGACAAGTTCAGCTCAATTAACTCCATTGTCATTTGCTGAATAAGTCTTACGCCCCCACCATTGTCTGACTCAAGAACGCACAAAATTAGGAACCTTTGGCTCGATTACTAAGATACGTTTTGATAGTGATTGGTTTTACCAACAAAATTTTTAAGACAGATATTAAAGGTACTTTAGGAGTTATTTTGAAATACTTAAGCTTTAGAATTTAATACGTGAAAATTTTTTTAAAATTACAATTACGCAATATTTGAAGGCGTTCAAAGTGTTGTATCACGGTTAGCGCGCAAGAATCGGTCCTAACTCTTTCGCGCATGTTCGAACCTCAATTATACCGCCTCATACGAATGGAGCAAGAAATTTACTTTATTTTGGCATATAATTCGTCTACTTTGCGACCGTTTTAGACGGGTCAAATGGCCTCTCAAGTTGGAGCACTCTCACTGGTTTTACTCCCGGTCTTCTGCGGATCCGTAAAAGCTTTGGGAGAAGGATCAGAGGGTCGAAAAACAGGATTTCCCGGCCATTCGTTACCTTCGTTTACATGTAGTATTAACAAGTAAGTTGTCTCATAAATAAATTTAGCGATTTGATTTTTTTTCCTTTCGTTCTCAAAGATACAGAATTTCATATAATACTAACATTTTGTTGCCATTGAGTCTCAAATATGTCTAATACCTGTCGTGTTTATCAATTTTTCAGCTATCTTCTCTACACAATTGCCAAAGAGAATGGAAAGGAAAGTGGCGAATCTATATTCTCTGCAGTTGTGGAAAAAATCATGCAACAAACGGGCATTAGAGGCGTCGTCGTCAACAATCGAAGAACAAATGTCTTAAGGAAAAAGAGTGAGACCATGCGTGCTGAGCTAAAGTGAAAATAGAAGAAAAGTGGAGGTTTCTTCAAGTTACTTCATCACGAGCTTGATAATTACTTTATTGAAAAGGAAAATCAAGAGCTAGAAACTCTGTAATTATAAAGGCAGACCAAGGAATATGTCATTGATACAAAAATATAACAATTAAAGACACACAACTAAAACAACTTTTAATTTTTTCGATAATGTCTCACGACATAATTATTTCAACCAGACAGCGTATAGCATTACATGTTTGACGTTAGTTATAATTAAAATGCTAAAAACAACTGTTACTCGGCAAATACGTCTTTGTGCATCTTACTACAAAAGGACAAAGGCTTGTGAATAAATCTTCCCGAATTTCGTAAATAAAAAGAGAATACATTGATACGATTTCAAACCACCGATCTGATTGTGGCGCACTGCGTCAAGGTAAAACAATCGCTTGACATGCTTTCAGCAAATTTTAAATTCGATGACTTAACCTGGTCAAAAGAAGTGTGCTGTTGTCGCCGATAGACAACAAAGAGATCCGGCAACTTGTCAAGAAACACAGTTAGTCAATTATCCCACATGTTTCTTCCTAAGGTAAAAAAAAAAATCTTGAAATAGACTATTAACAACTTTTTTAATGCACTCTACCTCTCCACCATAAAATCCATCTTTTAGACATGCGTCCAGAATATAGCAACATATTTTAGAGTAGCAAGGAATTTTACGGCCATGGTAGTTATTTTAAATTGCCACTATAAGAACCTTGATAGGGAAATTTGATATCTAATTTCAGCGTCTATAATTAGCTGGCCATCTTCCGTCTTTTGAAGCTAGCATATATATGAATATTCAGTTTCACTCTTAACTTTTCGTTTTGTCGTAATATACGTTTTCTTTTTTCTGACAAGTACGTTTTTGTAGGTTGTGAAGTACCTAATTTCCATGAGCTTTTGACAATTCCGAGCGTTGTAGTGGTATAGCTTTGACTGTACGATGCTTGAAATGCTTAAGTCGTGGCACCTGCACAAAACTTCGTTGCAGCGTACTTTAATTTGTTTTCTGAAGCGACAGAGCAATGACATATTAAGCCGACGCCCCTGGCATTCGCTGTACGCCTACGAGCTTGAGAAAGCGGCTCTTTCTTACTTGATAATGCATATCGATTAACTCTATAATGCTAGGTAACTGGATATGGACTAGCTTCATAGCTTTATGTTACGAAGTAATACTCTAGTGATTCATAGCCAACCAGAAGCCGGTGTTGAAAGGAAGAAAAAGACAACTGTGAACATTACCTTGAAGAACTTGAAGAATGGTGTCAGCCCCAATCAGTTTCAGCGCATCGTCTGATTACATCGGAAAGAATAAATGACTGTAAATATATGAAAATCATATGTGTGAACTGCGGTTGAATAAACGAATATGGAAGCTATCCTCGCAGTTGATTCCAGAATAAAATTGTCCGTTTTGCCAGGACCTCAGAGAACCTTTTGGCAAATGCCTCGATCACTTAAACCCACTTCCTTACGTGGGCGGCACACGAGAAACACATGCTCTCTAGTTGACAAGTTATACCCTTAAATGACAATTTCAGCTCAATTAACTCCATTGTCATTTGCTCAAGTCTTCGGCAGATCTTACCAAATGTCTTCCTTCGCATCGATCTTAATGAAAAGAAAAGTAAGTAGCGAAGCGAAACACTGACTCGCCATTTTTGAACATGGCGCTTGTTAGCCTTAACCAGATCATGTGGAAAAACCATTGTGGTGTGAGAGCTCGTGAAGATCCCACAACTTTCGAATAACTAATTATATGCATTTTAAAGAGATGCCAGCTCAGTTTCACAAAAGTAAATAACACGAATGAATGAATAACTTTACTTAACCACGATAAAATATTCAGCATAGCTGGTGCTATCGTGCATTTGACTGATAATAAATATAAAAGGCTATAAAATTTTTTAAAAAATATTAATATATATATATATGTATAATTCATAAAATGTTTCTCCACTCGATTCGAAAATTTAATGTAAATTGAGCTTTTAATAATGTTCGTAATTGTTATTCTTGTGTTTCAGGACGGCTACAATACATATCAAACTCACTGTAAACAAAAGCCTATATCAAGTCTCGGCGACCACGCCCTCACAACTGTCTGACTCAAGAACGCACAAAATTTGGAACCTTTGGCTCGATTACTAAGAGACGTTTTGATAGTAATTGGTTTTACCAACAAAATTTAAAAGACAGATGTTAAGACTACTTTAGAAGCTATTTTAAAGTTTCAGGATTTAATGGGTCAAAATCCATTTTTTTAAAATTACAATTACGCAATTTTGGAAGGCGTTCAAAGTATCGTATCATCCTAGCTCTTTCGCGCATGTTCGAAGCTCAGTAGTAGCACCACATTCCAATGGAGCAAGAAATTCATGTCTTTGTTTACAAATGTAACTTGCCGAATTGTTCTTTAGTTATTTTTTTACCTGTTTTCTCATCTGGTTGTTTTTAAATATTTTGTAAACTCTCCAGGTTTGGACGAAAATTCCATTAATCTAAGGGTAAAAAAAATTAATCTTAGTGTTGCATCAAAAAAATATTTTTGATCTTAGTTTTTCACCCAATAACTCCCATCATCGTTGGCGCCTAACCCACGGGCTTGCAGCGATCGGCACTCGCTCGCGGCCATTTTTCAGCAGCATCGATTATTGAAACTTTTAAACCATTTTTATTTCAGATACTTTCACCAGTTTTGCTTTTACATAACCTTAGTACTCTGTAATATGATAAGGGCTTTGTGAACTTGATTAAAGTTGTCGATGAACCTAATTCTTCCTTAAGTATTTTGTATTCGAGTTCCAAGTATTGCTGGAAAACTGAGCAGGCTCCAAAGCGTACCTACATAACAGAGTGAAATATCGTGTTCTGCATAATCAGAGTTAGCGTAAGCTGATATGAACATTTCGATGTAGGACAGCAGGCATCCAATGACGGTGATATCGTCAAAGTTTGGAAATGACATTTTAATGAAACAAGGTACATAAACAAAAGCGTTGTAGGGAAAACGAAATTTGAAGCAAAATGTGATCGTGAAAAATGTCGTAAAAGTATCTTCGATTTTAAAATTTTTCTTAAAAAACTTCTATAGAATACATTCAAACAACCTTCTCATTGACGGAATAAGCTTACAATTACACAGAATGAATTCTGTGCAAACGGGAGATTGTAAATCAGTAATAAGCACTGTATTTTACGCCATTTGGTAAAACCAGTGGTTGTTGCTTGAGTTTTAAAAGAGTTTTCAAAGGGAAACACAGAATGAAAGAGGCATCCCCATGAGCTATCACTAAACACAAAATAGGAAGTAGTCAGAAACTGAGAATACAGACAAGAACATTTTCTACACCACTCTCTGGGAATGTGTTTATTCATCAGCAAGTGTCCGCTTGCCTGCTGTCACTTTTATAATGACGCGGCTGAATAAGAAGGGAGCAGGAAAACAAAAATATATCTTAGGAAATGATATACCACTCTCGGTAAGTATCTTACAATGTCAAAGCTGTCATTTTTTTTGGTAATTTATTTTCTCACCAAAGTTAATAATTAGGTCCTCCAGTACGGGCTGAGTTTATTCAGTTGAAAAGTTAAGACTGGTTACTGGGCCCTTTAAACCCTTGCATCAGTATGGATATTCTCCATACATTCATTTCCTTTAGTACTGGAAAGGAGAATTTGTTTAGTAATCCAGTTTTCTAATGTTGGTGACCATTTCTTATATTCTCATAACTTTAATGAATGATTCGCACTATAATGTAGGGAGAAATTAGATTCTGGTCATTCTTAGGGTTTAAAGGGTTAAAATCTGGTAGTTGCTTTGCAAATTTGTGCTTCAACCTGTAACTTAGTCAAACGCTTTTCGTGAATGTTGGTTTTTCGTGAACAGTTTCTTGACAGTTCTGTTAAGACGTTTTTTAGCTTCACTGGTTTTCCAATATGCGATAGACTTTTTTTGAATAACTTGCTGTGAGATTCATCAGTTTCAGAAATTTTAATCCTGTTATTGATTCTTTAACACGGCAGGTGCATGCAGTCAGCGCCGCATTAAGAGACAATAGTCTCCTAGTCCAGCGGAATATGCTTGATTTTCTTCTAGATCAATTTTTTCTCCCCGTGGACACGACATATCTCTCGTCCAAGGAAAAAATGACGCTTGCGGCTTACGGTTTAGAGGTGTTGTTACGACGAGACATGTCTTTAAATAGGCGGCTGTACATGTGGCTTTTAAGGGCGAACTCAGCCAAGACTAAATCTGTTTCCAGAACTGATAGTGTTTGCAATAACGATGCCGATCCTGAAGAACCCCAAGACAAACTGTTGTTGGAACTCTCTTGTTTTCCAGTATGGGCTGGCAAGGAATCCAAATCAGAGAAATCAGCAACGGATGGCAATGAAGGTTTATATAAAATGGGTGACTAGATAAACCACAGCGCATAAGTCATGGTAATATGGTAAAACATCAAAATTGGAATAATAACATGCAACTTGAAGAAGGAACGAGGCTGCTCAAGGATGGCAAAGATTAGAACGGACTGCTAATAAGAATCTTGCAGATGTATGCTTTTTTGGAGGGAGGGGGGGGATTGACGTGGTACGTTAAGGGATAGGTAGGAGGGACGTCTCCAACGACATGACAATAGAGACTCATTGGGAATTAGAGTAATATGAAGTACGAGAACCAGACGATTTTATTATGTGTGTATACATATATATATATATATTAATGTATTACGATTTACTATACTAAAAAGGCTTTTTTTGTGCTGTCTAATGAGCCATGTGTCAAAACAGTGTGCTTTTCAAGTTTTCAGGCATTTACCCTGCCAATATTAACATTGTTGTGTTCTTTTTTACTCATTTATTTATTAATTTTGTGTGTGCTGCAGGAATTTTCTGCAGCGACGTGGATCAGAACCGGTACGTTCTGCCAGAGATACAGGAGCGGCTCGCTGAGAGTCTGAGACTACCTCAGTCACCAGTTGTACACGAGCAAATCTTCCTGTTTTTCCGTGTGCTTACTTTGCGCATGTCGGCGCGGCATTTGACACCATTGTGGCCAACGATTGTATCAGAAGTTGTACACGTGTTACTTCAAATGGAAAGTGACCTGGGTTCTGACGGTAAGTCAGACAAGCAAAGAATGGTTGTATCCGAATTACTTCTCGGCTCAAATGGGTATGTGAACTACAGTCAGGAAAAATGGCTTGGGTTGTACCTTGCGGTGTGTAAACTTCTCGATCTGTCCCAGGCTCTGCCTAGTGATTATTCATAACAGTTTTAACTCTATCGCTGGGCATTTGATGGGGAGGCGTATAACATGACCGCTGGAGAGTAAAGGTTCCAGTTTCCAAGTGTCATATAGTTTGTTGGGACAAACTTCTCCAGAAGAGGATAAGAGATCAAGTTGATGTCGAAGAGCTACAGCGTGCGCCAGGAGAACCGTTGCTGACCATGTGCCAGATCAAATCTTCGGGTCAGCTGCTTCTCTTCTTTAAGTGTTTGTCTAGGGACAGGTACTCTGGCTGCGGCGAGATGCGGGCCAAGAGTAGCAAGTCTAAATCCTCGCAAAGTAGAAGTTGACTGAAACGTGTTGTTGAAAGGGACTTCCTCGAACCTTTTGTGGTGGACTGAAACCTTCAAACGAAACACTTCACGGTGTGCACACCCTCGTGATTTTCTTTATTTACAATCCGTCTTGAACCTCTCCATTCTTATTTTGGTTTACTTCTACATCTTTAGTGTTTGTTTACCTCAGCAAATGATTATCTTAATGTTTCATACGATTTAAAGGCCGCTGTACATGGCGCGTAAATTGATTCGAACTAATGTGATGTACTAGGCTCCTTAGCCAAAATCTCCGTTTCTGCGATCAGTGCGATTTGTTCTGGTAAAGACCACAGGAAATTAAAAAAAAAAAAAAAAGAAAAACGAAAGAAAAATGTTAAGAAAAATGGCGGAAACGTAATTGACAACTAGTTTGGAACGGATTACGACTATGGCGGGGGTCAGCAGTGGATTGTATAGAGAATAATACATGGGCGCGCGTAGATATGGAATTTCTCTTCGAGTGTTTAACTCGATAGCTCACGAGTGAGATGTCGAGTTGAACACGAGAAGAGAAATTCCATATTTACAAGCAACCATGTATTATTTTGTTTATCATATAAACACAATAGCCCTTTTTTGGGAAGAAAAGCCGACTTCATTAATGAATGAAATAAATGAATCGACAATCCTCCAATAACAATCGTAGAGTGCGTTGGCGCTGACTCTTAAGATGGAAAAATGCATTGAATCATGACTGCAAAAACAACAATGGGCGTAATTTTCGATTTACAAAATTCTCATGCAATGACTTTGTCCTTACCGACAGAAGAAGTCTTTCAGGTAAACGGCCAAAATCGGCCGATGGCAAATCTTCCGGTTGTCGATTTTCATTCTCAGCTGAGAGAAATGATAGCTTTTAAGTACGATGAAAATATGTTCTTGAGTAATCCAGTTTAGTACAAACTAAGTAATTGTAGAGGTGGCAAGTATTTAATTTCCAAGAAGGGTATGAAGTATGCGAAGATTGCAATGAGAAAAACAAGATGTTCTAAATCGTTTTTATGTTATTTTTTTTCTCGCATGACGCAGATGTCGCTGAAAGAAGTGTTGGTGAAATAACAAGCTGACCACCTCTAGTGGTTACGAGTGAAAAGGGCTTTGTGATTGTTTGAATTAATTATATGAACACTTTTTAATTTTTGTATTATTAAGTTAGACCCCCATTGGTATTGAGAAAAGGACTCCACATCGACTCACTTAGTGAATTAATAAATCTCCTTTCAGCAAAATCAAGGTATCGTGTTCAGCACCTTCATGAAGTAATTACAACATTATCCTGTCTTTTTCTTTCGATCTCTAAAAGCCTTATGAAAATGAAGCTCGATTACTTATTACTTAAAAAGACTTCTATTTGATAGGGCTGTTTTCATGGATCTCAAAAGAGGGAACTCTCTGATGAACCATCTTTAAAATGTCTCGAGGAGCTCAAGTTCCTGTCGGCTGCGCCTCGAATGGATTTGTCGTGTTCTCTAAATTCCCATGCGCTTCATAGCTCCATGAACGATGCTGGGCCCACTCATGAACCAATGTGTTAGAAAAAGACTTGGTCAGTTAGGAGAAAATGCTCGTGGCTTTTAAGATCACAAGGTGAAAATGAAAAAAGCGCGGGTAAAATTGATGGCATTTTCAAAATTGAGCCCAGTGCATTTTTTAATGGTATCTATCCATTGTGGTCACCAGAATTTCATTTTTGATTAACTTTTCTCACGACTTAATTTAACAGTTTTTACGCCTAACGTCTAAATTTTTTGGCTGTCTTACGGCTATCGGTTAACCCCACTGAGACAATCTTTTAGAGGGCGAAGCTTGCCACCTTAAGACTTCTTCTTTTAAGCTCGTGTCCATTTCTTTAACATATCAGTAACTATGACATCTTGTATCTTACTATCAGCGGTGTCAAAAATTTGTGAATCTCATACATTTCACTGAATCATATCTATATTGTCTATTACAAGTTATCAGTTACATGACTTGTTCAGTCACGTGAGACTTATGCAGACGCAGAGGGGGCCATGTAAACCTTTACCTTTGGGATAAAGAGTAGGGCAACTGTCGACGTGGCTGCCACGAACACGATCGATCTTTGAACCAGAGTCTCAAGGGGAGGATAAACCACAAACCCAACCACAATCGCCAAGCAAGAAAACATGAACATGTTGTACACTGCTAAGCCAATGCTCTTCGAATCGTTGAGCGAAGGATAATGCACGTTTCTGGTTTCCCAGGCCAAAAACACCCCGAAAATTAACAGTATCCCTTTTAGTCCGCACAAAGACATCACCCAGGTATTATAATGGTGAGAAGTACACTGACGGGTTAACAGTTCCTCCACGAGGTCAGGGTCATTATTGTCAACCTGTAACAACGTATAAAAGTCTTGATTACCACAATTTATTCAATAAGCTAAATGATACACGGTTTTTGATAGGTACTGTCTTATAATCTATTGGGGGACAAACACGTAATGATGTTACAATTTCTAACACTTTGCGTTTTTATCGTATTCAAAAATAGATTACATTTTGTCGTGGGTCTGTACAGTACTAGATCACAAGAGGTCAAATTGGTAAGAACATCAGGGAAATACTCAGCTGCACCATTTGTGCCGCTTTTGGCGTTCAAATTTAATACAATTTCGTCTCGTGACAAATGTTCAAATATGAGTTTCTGTTAGTCAACATAAATATTTGAGTGCTAGTGGAGACCGATAAATATTTTTTACTTTACTTTGTTCCCAGAAACAACAAATTAAACTGAACAGCAACAGAAACCAGATGATAGTGCATAATAAAAACTCCAGAATTGCACTTCTTCGTCAATATTACTTCTCACAGCGCATGTGTGAACAATACCCATGACAACTCTTGCGAAAAATAAGACTTTATATAATATTTACTTCTCACTTATGATCTATTGGAGGACAGACGTGTAGATGACGTCATTAAAACTTTTTTTTATTCTTTATTATACAAAACAAATAGATTCTAAGTTGCCGTGCGTCTGTTCAGTAATAGATCACAGATGACGTCAAAATGTGGTAAGAACAAAAAAGTGGCACACGAGGCACGGCCGAGTGTGTCACTAATACTGTTGTTAAATATTTACCGTTTTGAAAATGTTCACGAATTTCGTCGTCAAAGGGTCAATAGATGTCCAAGTTGACAGGAAGATGACGTCTATAAACCAACCGGCCATCAGTACTGCGAGTAGACTAGTACTACTCAAATTGCGGATCTAATTAAAATTTAAAAGAAAAATATTAGCTGACGCCTGCTTCAAGTCTATCCTTATTACAAAACAGGAATAACCTTTCCTCACCTCCTTTTTCAATTGATAGTTGGTAAATATTTTGTAAACTCTCCAGGTTTTAACAAAAATGCCACCAAAGGCGAAGGTAAAACTGGTGGTCAGAAGCCAGGCAGTAACCTAAAGATTAAAAAAGCAAAGCGTTATCCGACAATATTTTTAAAAAATTACTACCAGGAACAAGACACGACAAGCTATGCCAACAAGTAATTACTTTTAAGAAATGGCACATCTCATACTGCTTGTAACTTTAGATCGTCAGCTACTTTGCATTTGGTTACAAGTTCTCATTAAAATTTACTAAAATTGTTTAGGGATATCATCAAACAACCAAGAAAACAGCATGTATTTCAAATCCTCTTGAAGTATCTAAAAAACCTAGATTTATTTTATCAACTTATTATCGTCAATTATTTTAGTTAAGTTAGTGTCATAAAACACAGTCTTATTGAGTAAATACTGGAAAATCCCTTTAATTAGGCTATCAAAGGTACAGAAAACTCAAGGGGAAGATATAATTTCTTAGAAAAAGAAGAGTTTTTCAATCTTGACTTGCTACAAACACTTCTTACATTGCAAAGGAAAGCATGGTTCAAGTGTTCCGCTGAACCAGAACTACCGTGGGCCGATAAAAATACTTCCAAGTAAGCCAACATACATCCAATGACAGTAATGTTGTTGAAATTCGGAGATGACATTCTTATAAAACTGCAGAAAGAAAAAAGTCAAAACTCAACATATTCAGACTTTCCAAACCAAAATTAGGGTGTATACTTTCATCTTTTTAAATGAATTTCATCTACCTGTGAGGTAAACGTTTGAATACCTTTCCCTCTACAACCTCTCAGTTTCAATCGATTCAAATAGCCAATATTTTAAATGTAGAATTTAAAGTAGCATTTAACTGTAACATATTGGTCCATGCATCTTACAGTAGACTGAATGACAATAATTTCATGTTAAGTCATACTCTTAACAAAAATGGAAACCAAAAATCTACTTGAAAGGCTGTTATGAGGTGGCTCGAGACACTTCACTTTTCTATGATCAGTATGCGCAGCACAGTTTTCGATTCCTTTCAGAAAATGGTCCCATCGAAAAAGAGATAATGTTGATTAAACTGTTAGAATTTTTAGGCAAAATGGTTCAAATTCTCTTCAGGACCAAGCCAGTGGTTTCATTCAAAACCCGCCCTTGGCGTTCCAATTGATAGAAGCAGGACTATAAAGGGGGAACGCCATTGTTTCGGTAACCAACTCAAATTGTGCAAAATGCTAGCGGGAATTTCGCTTAATGTCCTTAGAGCTTCAAATTACCTGTGATTTCTATATTTGAAGTTGAACAGCAGACAGAACAAACAAAGCAGTATACCGGATGAGGCCAAAACGTAGAACGAAACAGTCGTCTTTATACCCTCATGATAAATCTTTTGAGTGATTTTTACACCATCTACTGGAACACGACCACCTGCGGGTGAAAAGGCAGAGAAGACTTTGTAAGAGATTTCAAATGAGCCTATCTGCAGTACAAGTGTCACAATGATAACTGGTGGAAGGAGGCAGTGTAAGCGAGAGTCTGTTTCTATTATTATGCTTTATTCATTGGAAAAAAACTTACAATGGAGGTTGAAATTCTTGAGAAGCGTAACGCAATTTGACTAAACCTGAATTCTCCCCCTCTAACCCAGAAAAATGATGAAGGGTTTCTGTATACATCTTAATTGGCAAAGAGTAGTCTCTTGTAATATATTTGGATGTAGGATATGTTTTCAAAAGCTATCCCGAAGAGTTTTGATCTCCTTTATAAAAGAAACCGGTGAAAGCCTGAAAATCAAGTAGGCCGCTAAAATTCACAAGCTCAACCTCGTATCTTACCTATCGTCAGAGTTCATCATACGAAGGAAGTTCCCAATCTCTGAAATGCATAAAATCAAATGTACATTGAACTACATGCTTGTCTCACCTGCCCATTCAAAACCAACACCATATAGTTGCAGTTTCCCATCACGAACATCCATTGTAGCGACCAATCTCTTACTGTCTCCTGAAGAAATACCGAAACGTTCTAATAAGTATGATTATTTTTTTTCTTAGAGGGCATGGTAACGAATCCTGCAATCTGATTGGTATTGATTCAGTACGGTTCGGATTTTCCTATCTCTGCCCACGGGCACGGTAATCCTTTCGTGAGTCGCTGAGTACATCCCTACCTTCCTTGCCTCTGTATTGAGTACCACCCTCGGCTTACGCCCTCGGGCGGTACTTTGGACCTCGGGCTCAGTTTTTCCCTATGGGGACCTCCCGGCGTGTGAATAACATACATATCGTCCTATTCATAATCTTTTTAAGGCCGGATTTTTACATAGCTTTTCCGTATACAATTAATACAATTTCAACTGCGAGCTGGTAAAGGTGGAGGCGAACTTGTTTTATTTTATAGGCCGGAGCTTGCAATGAGGTGAAACTTCCAGAAACAAACAAACAAACAAAAATTCCTCTTACCTGTCTTCTGAGTAATTAGCACAACTGTTTGCCTATCTCCATATCGATCAAACGACACGTGACCCTTAAAAAGGTACAGCAAAACTTATTTCACTATACCATGGTAAAAACCCATAAAACTGTTGACCTGCATTTGAAAAATTAGCGGTAGCTGGATACACTTTTTCTTTCTTTCTCTTTTTTTAACATTGGTGAAAAAGGAAAGAGACTTTGAGGTCCAAAGAGGAAGAAGAATTGGTTACCCTACCGACATTCCCGTGAAGTTTGTCCGGAACAGAATATCTTTCATGATCTCAGCTGTTTCTTTATCACCGTATTTGATGGTTTCAAAAGTTTTGTTCTTTTCCCCAAGTAGGGGTATGGATTTGTCCAACATAAGAGCGATGGTCCATACGGCGTCATAAGTGAAACCTGCGTACTCATGAGAGGTAAAATTGGAATGCCGACATCTTTCCTCGTAAGTTGAATTGAGCTGTTGTGCTGTCTGAAAATAGGAGATAAAGAAAGAATTATTGGCGTTTGCTCAATTATCAGCACGTATTTCCTTAATGCTGGAACTAATAGAAGACAAAGATGCATTATTTCATTCATGCTAAAAATGATAATTTGTCATTACTGTGAGTTTACATCTCTGCCATGGCTGTTCCTTCATAGCAAAGCCTTTTTTATTGGAATAACAAATGTTCAACGTAGGATTCAGAACATTTCAGATCCGCGTGTCTAAATCTTTTTGTTTTTGATACAGAACAGCAGTACATTGTTTTGGACAAGACTGGACCTGAGAAGAAACATAAACATTTCTAACCTTATTCGATATTGTGGGTTGTGGTGAATTACTGAGACGTAATGGAGACGTTAATATCAAGTTACTAGCAGCTTTAAGCAAATTCTCTCCTGTACACTCTTCATCTGTTTTTGTCCACCAGTCCTCCAAGTACCATCCAACTATTATCCAAACATACTTGTTTCCAAAGAGCCCTTGCTTGTAGGCCTGTGAGAAAATATCATGCATTCATTTCAAATGAATGTTACGGAAAGTTATTTTTTTAAGCAGCTGTCTATTTATTTTGCCAATTGTGGATAACAGGTAATCCTTCCATATGAGATTTAGGAGTTGGCTGCATACCTATTATACCATTAGTTTTGACATGTCTTACACAAAAATTTAAACGAATTCTAGAGAAGGAAAAGTTCACACATACTCCTTACAGTTGCACCTTGATGTTGTCTTCGATGTGTGCAAGCAAGAGAAGACAGGTTGTTAAGTTCATAAGGAGTGAGGGAGTGGGTGAGCTCAGGAGGAATATGTATTTGTGAAATCAGTTTGGCCAGACAGTTCTGGACTTCAAGGCTTCAACACTAACCCTTGACCACTACGTGGCACAAAAAGGACGTAGAGAGCCTTAGGATCAGCAGGAACGTTAGCAGTAGTCAGTGGTAGTTGGAAAAATGTTTAATCTCGCCAAATTCAATACTCACAGTGCACATAGCCTTTTTAAACATGTCCTCGTACATCAATCCAATGATTATTCTGGCATCTTTCCCCTAGATACCAGTAATAACTTGATCACTAATGGAACATCATTCCCATTACTTTCTATGTAATATTTTCAAAATTCATCATCTCGCTGATCAATTATGTTTAGCGGCTAGTCGGTCCAATTGACCGAATGTTACTCTATGAACTTTCATCTGGGTCGGGTTGTACAAACACAATGAACCTAACCAGGGGTTTGTATAAATTTTAATTCAGTTTTATAGCTTTGCAAGGGGATTTTTCTTTTGTTTTTAGCTTCTTTTTCCGTTAGTTTCGAGTCGTGTTGAGACCAAACATAACAAAACCTTAGCCTTTGTACGTGCTCTTCTAATTGAGAATTTAAAGTCTGGGTTAACTTTTAATCCTACATTTGCGTTAATCCCCTTTCGAACAACCGGTCTACATAGCCGAGTTGTTTAATCCTGGATTCAGATAATTCATGCAGGGTTAGTGTGAAATCTGATATCAGATCTCAAAGCTTTAAAAGAAAATTCAGTATAATTTTTTTTGTCCACAATTTGGTAATTGGATGTTCGAAAAAGAAAAAGTAAACTATCCCACTAAAGTTTTTTAATAAAGGAAAAAAAATCCCGGATTAAAGCCCTACCCTGGCTTAGCGCTATTCGGCGTTTGAAGAACTTGGGTATAACAGTAGCAAGTTGAAAGATAGACAATTAAATGTGAAGTATAGATTTACTCTTTACCTTCAGTAAATTTTTGACTGATGAAGACGGGTCCTCTATGAAGGTTTCTGCCGCAATAACGGTGATGTTTGATTCCTCTAACATGGGAATGAGATGTTCTTTTGTCTATTAAAAAATTAATATTTTAATGCAAGGGTTTGGCGAGTTCTATCGGGTAAGAGAATCACATGTTTAAAGATGACGTACTTTTGTCTGTTGATTGTAGATTTGTGACTTTAATTTAATTGTATTAGCTTTTTGTTGGAATATTAACTCCATCACGTTTCAGAGATGAACTGACATGTTCATGCATAGTTATAATAATCCGGCAATTCTTACTGTAGCAAAAATATCGAAGTTTTCCACAAGGAGGGCGACTCTTTTCCACTTAAAATGTTTTAACAGCGCGACTCTAGCTGGGTTTTCCATTGTTTCAGAAGTGGCGGTTCTGAAGTATAAAGGATACTTCTCTTTGTTTGAAAACTGAGGTGATGATGCGCTGTAACCAATCTAAAAAACAAACAAAACAAAACAGAACAAAACCAATCAAACAAAGTATATATAGCAAAGAAGTCGTCAATAATAGTAATAGCAGTAATAATGATGATAATGATAATAGTCACTAATATTGTTATTATCGTATTTTTTTTCATTAAGCAAGTCAGGTCCGTCTACATCAGCTTAGAGCAAAATATTTGGTTCCTGACTTTGCTTAAAAAAAAGCGTCATAAATATGTAAATGACAGTAAGTCACCTGCACTGCTTGCCAATACAGCGCGGCCTCTGCAATAGGTTCGGTCGCTAACGAACATCCGGGACCCAAGAATACAATCTTGTGAGGCTGTGTGTTAATTAACCCCAGCATCGCTCGAATTCCGGCGCCACTTTCGCACTTGAAAAAGGATCAAATTTCTGAATTAAACTTACTGATCAATTGAATGAAATAATTCTAATAGAATTCCAAATCTTCTTATAGCTTTCTAATCTTAACGAAAGCAAAACCAACTTCAAACAAAAATGTGATGAAAACCCATGTGTTCCGCGGCATTTGTAATAACGACGCATTTTGTAATAACCTACCCATTTTGTGCCTCGTCACTGATTCAGTGATACCATTTTTTCTTATTTGTTTGCATGTTTTTGTGACAAAGTTGATATCACTGAAATTTGTGTCAACTTGACGCATCACCGGGTGATGTTAAAATTTGTGTACACAGACGATTATTACAAAATGCTCCAGCCCTTATTACGAAAAGCGTAGGTCGCCTTCATGATAAACTGCTGCAATATTTAGTACAAAATGCGCAAGTTATTTCAAAATGCCACAACCCGGCGTTATCACAAAAACAGCGGTCTACGTGCCAGTCTCTCAACTTTTATGTCCACGTTAGTGCACAGTTCCTTTAAACGAATGATCTCGTCTTAAAATTTGAGGCGATTGCTTGGCTGGTCGGTCTAGCCAAGGAAGATTCAGAGACAAAATGTCCGTTTTCCAGTCTACTTAATTTTTTTTTTTTCAAATGAACAAACAAGCACCCTGTCCTTAATAAGCGCCCAGTTTCTAATGAGTGCCCTCTCTTGAGGTACAAAAAGTAACTTGAAGAAGCGCCCCGTGCGCTGAATCGAACCAGAGTGGTAGTCTCTAATTTAAGATTCATATGTAGCAATTACACAACAGAGAGAAGCCAAAACATTTCTGTTTCGTTACTTTCTTTCTTTCGTCTTTTTATCTTGTTTTCCTTTCTATAAGATGCATTAATCGATTCTGAAATTATCTGTTTACTTTTCAAAAAAAAAATAAACAGTTTTATAACTCTACTCCTGCACTGAGAACATACCCTGGAATCATTCCACACGTATTTCAACTGATAGTTCACCAATATGCCAGGATCGCTGTTCACATGTTCTAACGCCATCTCCAAAGCTGGAATGACCCCAGCTGTACTCCAACCGCCATTTTTGACGTTGACACCAAACAGGCCACCGATGTATAGGTCAATCTTGGTCATGGAGTTACCGTGATCAGTTTTGTTCGCTATCGTCAATAGAACGTAGGAGAACAAGCACATGAAAAGCTGGTACTGGTTTGCCATTTCCGTGGTCTGTTATCAGATCTGTTTACATTTACAGAGTACACAGAAAGATCAATTTTCATCTCTGATAATATCGTAACGCCTGCTATCTGAAAGGTCCGGAATCGAACTATAGTCGGGGTTTATGTGATATGTTCAAGGCAAGACACTTTGCACTCACATAAAAAGGCTTTAGGCTTCAATCCGGTTGTGGAGATTATCAAATCTGCCTGAGGCGTCATGCTACGAAAATGTATGCATGACTCCGTCAAATTCTTAAATTATACTGTTGCTATTTCATTTATAATTTTATTTGTTTACACTTCACGAAGTGAGTCGCAAAACATTGATGTGGTTGTATAACGCCTCTCGATGAAGAGACAATCACTTGCCAAATTAGAGAACAGAAAGTTTGGTTTTTATAAGTAATACGTAGACTTCTGTTTTTCAACGAAAGGCTATCATGTTTCGAGCAAAATTATTTCCTCCCACCAACTCACTTTCTGTTTTTTAAACAAATAGAGTATATTTTGGACGGTTAGATTTCTGCACAGCCCCAGACTACTGTAAAACAAATCTGTTTTCTCAATGGCAATGTATTGTTCTTGTCATTGTTTTCTCTATCCAAGAACTGAGTGCATGATGCAGGATGCGGTTGTGCGGAAATCTTGCCTTTTAGACGGTGAAAAATTTCAACGGCACGATAAGTGTTTGAAGTATTTGGAAGATGGCTGTTATCCTCTCAAAACTTGCGCCGAGTCGAACGTTTCAGTTTCAACGCAATAAATAAATGTGGAGACAAATTCAACGTCATGCAGGTGATAGAAAAATTAAGATATCAGCATAAAGATTGTAATAAGGTTTTCTCCTTAAATAGATAGTTTCCTCAAAAAAAGAGGTTTTATTCGCTTGATAGATAAATGAGGATTAGCGTTTTAAAGTGCCTTTTGGAAGAGCTTTTTTAATAATATGAGATATCCGCATAGTGCACTCAAATGGAAAAACATATTTGCCAAAACAAAACCAAGTGGTGTCTTCTCAATGAATTAATTTTCTTCATCTGAAAGATTCTAATTAAAATTCGTTGTTTGACTTAAAAACGTTGTCCTTGGTTGATAAACCAATTGTTCTCTTGGTCATTTTATCTTTGCTGTAAATGGAAAATGTCCTATGAAGATTCGATGCAACATTATCACTTCAAAGTTCACTTTAAAGTTCACTCCAAAGCGAAGTGATGCAAATTCACTTCAATTAATTTTACCGATAAAACAAACACATTAGTGTAAGAGCTAGAAACTCTGTAACTGTAAAGGCAGACCGAGGAATATCTGAATAATACAAGAATATAACAATTAACGACACACAATTCAAGCAACATTTAATTTTTTCCATGTCTCACGACATAATTATTTCAACCAGACAGCGTATAACATTACATGTTTGACGTTAGTTATAATTAGAATACAAAAACAATTGTTAATCTTCAAATACGTCTAGGAGCATCTTATTACAATAGGAAAGCTTCGTGAATAAACCTTCCTGAATTTCGTTAGTCAAAATAAAATTGTACGGAATACATGGATACGATTTCAAACCATCGATCTGATTGTGGCGCATTGCGTCAAGGTACAACTATTGCTTGAAATGCCTTCCGCAAATTTTAAATTTGATGACTTTACTTGATAAAAACAGGCGTGTTGTTGTAGCCGATAGACAACAAAAAGATCCGACAGTTTGTCAAAAACACAGTTAGTCAATTTAGCCCACTTATTTCTTCCTAAGGTGATAAATAAAAGAAGCTTGAAATAGACTATTAACAACTTTTTTAATGGACTCTACCTCTCAGCCATAACATCCATCTTAGCCTTTAGACATGAGTCCAGAATATAGCAACATATTTTAGAGTAGCAAGAATTTTTATGGCCATAAAATACATCAACGTTTAACGGACCATCTTCTGTCTTTTGAAGCTGGCATACATATGAATATTCAATTTCACTCTTAGTAACATTTCGTTTTGTCGTAATATACGTTTTCTTTTTTCTGACAAGTACGTTTTTTGTAGGTTGTGAAGTTTCTAATTTCCAAGAGCTTTTGACAATTCCGATCGTTGTTTTGGTATATATAGCTTTGACTGCACGATACTTGAAATGCTAAAGTCGTGGCACTTACAGCGCACTTTAATTTGTTCCCTCAAGCGAAAACGACAGAGCAATAACATATTGAGCCGTTGGCCCTGGCTTTCGCTGTACGCCTACAAGTTTAAGAAAGTGGCTCTTTCTTGTTTGGTAATGTATATTGATTAACTCTGGAGTAACTGGATATAGATTAGCTCCATAGCTTTATGTTACAAAGTAATAGTCAAATGTTTCATAGCCAACTAGAAGCCGGTATTGAAAGGAAAGAAAAGAAAACTGTGAACATTACCTTGAAGAATATTGTCAGCCCCAATCAGTTTCAGCACATTGTCTGAATATATCTGTATTGTAATGTAATAACTGTAAATATATGAAAATCATATATGTGAACTGCGGTAGAAGAAACGAATATGGAAGTGATCCTCGCAGTTATTAACACTGCTCATTTTCACTACCACTTAAGTAGTGTTCATAACTGCGAGTATTGCTTCCATATTTACATCAGAAAGACCTTTAACCCCCAAACAGTGTTGTCATATAAATAAGAAAAGGAAATTATTGTATTTTTTTATCTTATATCGACTTGTGTACCACCAAGCTTAAAGCAGATAGCTTGTTAGCACAGTTTGATTCCAGGATAAAGCTGTCAGTTTTGCCAGTACCACCGAGAACCTTTTGGAAAATACCTCGATCACTAAGACACAATTACTTATGTGGGCGGCACACGAGAACCATCTGCTTTCTGGTTGACAAGTTTTACCTTTAAATAACGATTTCGGCTCAATTAACCCCGTCGTCGTTTCCTTAACTTTTCGGCAGATCTTACCAATTGTCTTCCTTCGCATCGATCTTAAGGAAGAGAAAAGTAAATAGCGAAGCGAAACACTAACTCGCCATTTTTACATATGGCGCTTGTTAGCCTTAACCAGATCATGTGGAAAAACCATTGTGGTGTAAGAGCTCGTGAAGATCCCACAACTTTCGAATAGTTAATCATATGCATTTTAAAAAGATGCCGGCTCATTTTCACAAAAAATAAATAACATGAATGAATGAATAACTTTTTTCAACCACGATAAAATATTCAGCATAGCTGGTGGTGTCGTGCATTTAACTAATCATAACCATAAAAGGCTATAAAAATTTTCACTACTTGGTTTGATGATTTAAATTTAAATTAGTTTTGAATAATATTCGTAACTGTTGTCCTTGTGTTTAATGACGGCTACAATACTGGCGTCAAAATTTATTTTGTTAACGTCAAATTTATTTTGTTAATGTCAAATTTATTTAATATCCGCTTGAATTCATTTAGGTTTTATGCTGCTGATTCCTTGCTAGATAAGACTTTAGGCAACTGCGTGGGTTCCTGAGGACAATTTTATTTTTCTGTACTGTGGTGACATATTACAGTCAGGCGGTCTGCTTATTCTTGGTGGAAGGTTATAAATCTCTAGACGACTTAATAAGTAATGATATTAGAGCACGAACGTCTCATGTCTCCATAGCAACTACATGTTCATATCTTAGCCAGGCACCCTCGTGTGTGTTAAGGGTCTTTTGTCAATGGCAATTTCTCTTGATTTTGTGAGCTGGGAGCATTCCCTCTTTCATAGCGTAATCTGTAACGTGTACTAGCAAAATGGACTGCTTCGTCACTATTGCCTTAGAACCTATGGTTTCACCTTCCCCTGCGACAAACGGCCACACTTGTCCGTTAGTTTCGAAGCTTAACTGCGATGGGTATAACCTCCCATCCGGCCTAGATTTAACCTGGAACTAATTCATAGGGTGTCTATCTGGTAGTCCGTTTAGCATCCAATAAAACTTGCTTTATACGTGGGACTTTGCAGTTCAATTCCTCCACAGTAGGATTTCACTAAAACTGGTCCATAAACTCAAACCAGGCAACTTCCATTAGGTTTTGCATTTGAACACTCGATTAAAAGCTTTGGTTGATAATTAATGGTCTGCAACGGCCTTCTTAAAGGTCGGCTTATTTCATTCCAACTCGCTTTTGATCCTTTAGGTTTGATGCTTGCTTCGATAAACCTATGTCTCCGGAAATTACCGTAGCATTAGTTTGCACAAGTTTTTAAATATTTGGCTTTTTCTACAGAGTTCGATGTATTCGTCACTCCTTGATTTTCTAATGCCACATTGTTTGTCTCCAGGACGGCGGCCGTGGAAACTGCCGTATTTTTCCTCAGGTAAAGTACCTGTCAGATGGAATTTCATGAATGAATAAATAAATGTTTCTATCATTCAAAAAGCGAAATTCAAGGGAGAGAACCCATTCCGGTGACCAATGATACATTTTTAATTGTGAACGTATTTTTCGTTTCTAGCTCCCATAACAGCGCTCAGCAATGACTAACATCACATGTCGTTACATTTTCCTACGTTAAAGCTATAAAATTAATTAAATCTCATTCCTCCAATTATGTTACTTTGAGTTCTCATTGGTTAATGCTCATGTCAACTTTGTAATTTTTTTGATTTTGGTTTTTCAAGACTTAGTTGTAAACTGATGTAAATGTGACCTAATCGACGTTAACTGTATCATTATTAATCATCTCTTATTGTCAGATTAAGTCTCGAGGGAGTAAAAATTGCTGTAACGGAATTACAAGTCAGAGAAAGTTGCTTTACGTCTTGTCACGAGCGTGAGACAAAGAAAAAAATAATTCTGAGTCTCCATGAGGAACCGAACCGCAGACCTTCGGATTCCGAGTTCCTATGCTCTACCACTAAGCCACAGAGACTCCACGGTGAGCAAGAGTTAGGTCTGTTACGAAGTTCATTTTCCTTGTCTCACGCTCGTGACAAGACGAAAAACATCTCTCTCTATTTCTTTACCGAGCTCAAAACTTACAATCTCTGTTATTTCTATTTACAAAGAACTATAAGTTATTTCTGACCTTTGGTACAAATAGCAGGGCAATTGTCGAAGTGGTCGCCACGAACACGATCGATCTTTGAACTAGAGTCTTAAGGGGAGGAAAAACCACGAACTCGGCCACAATTGCTAAGCAAGAAAACATGAACACGTTATACACTGCTAAGCCAATGTTCTTGGAATCGTTCAGCGAAGGATAATGCACGTTTCTTGTTTCCCAGGCCAAAAACACACCGAAAATCAACATGATCCCCTTCAGCCCGCTCATTGAAATCAACCAGGTCATATAGTGAGAAGAGGTGCACTGATGGAACACAAGCTGCTCTTTGAAGTCGGAGTCATCATTTGGAACCTTTATTAGAGAGTAGAGAAGTTTTCTGATGAGTGTGCAAATGTGAAAGTCATATTATTTTGGATCTATAGATCTGCTACTGACCTAGAGTGTAAGAGTTTCGCGTCGATTAACAATTGCAAGATTTCAAACCGATTACTAATTAATATTTTTTTGAATAGCAAAGAGCTTTTTGATCATAATGGAAATCTTGGCTTTATCAAATATCATCACGGCCGGTTATCTAAAAGCATAACAACGACCATGAGAGTGTAAACAAAAACAAAAAGTTGCCGTTAATATTTACCTTATTATCGATTTTCACAGTTTCCATGGTCATTGGATCAATAGCTGTCCAAGTTGATAAAAAAATGAAGTCTACAAACAAAGCAACACATAGCCTCAACAAGAGGCTAGTGCTACTTAAGTTTCCAAGCTGAAGAGGAAATAGAAAGCATTTCAGTAAAAAGCATTAAATGATGAGCGCGATGTTGTACGATAACATTGAAGCTCACATAAATGGTCACAAGGAGCCAATAAGAACCCCATTCTTATTGACCGAGCGGTAGACGGCCAAAAGCGTGCAAAGCGACCCTATATCAAAGCAAGTAGATAGATAGAAAGATAGTTTATTTATCCACATAACGCCTAAGAGCATTCAGTATACTCGTTTACAATGCGCACATGCAGTTACAAAATACTGAAAATAATGAAAATTACATTAGTATAAAAGACTACAAACAATCATGTGCAAGGCACAGTAACAAATTCCTGTTATGGTGCCTAACGATAAATAAACGGTACAAGGTTTAATTTGTCTATTATACTGCCAAAAGTATTCACATTTACCAGCAATGCTAGCAAAGCATAGTAAAGCATTCAAGGGAATCAAGGCGCCACTTGTTATTAAAAGAATTTTGCTCAAAAGAATTGACCAAGTCGGGATTGGTTTAAGTTTTGAAAATGATCGGGATGGCGCGAGTTTTCCAAACCAATCACAGACGTACTAACGCAAATCAAAGGCAATACTGGTTCGCTTTTGACAATTATTTAAAAATTGCCTTGACTGATGACACCGCTATGACAATGATGATGAGCCGAGTTGTCCTTTAGTTATTTCTTTACCTCTTTCCTCATCTGGTTGTTTGTAAATATTTTGTAAACTCTCCAGGTTTTGACGAAAATCCCACCAAATGCCAAAGTGAAACCGGTAGAGAGCAGCCAGATTCTAATCTAAGGGTGAAAAAAAATTAATCTTAGTGTTGCATCGAAAAAATATTTTTCATCTCAGTTTTTCACCCAGTAATTTCCATCACCGTTGGTGTTTAACCCACGGGCTTGCAGCGATCAGCACTCGCTCGCGGCCATTTTTCAGCAGCAACGATTATTGAAACTTTTAAACCTTCGTTTTTATTTTAGACACTTTCACCAATTTTGCTTTTACATAACCTTAGTACTCTGTAATATGATAAGGGCTTTGTGAACTTGATTAAAGTTGTCGATGAACCTAATTCTTCCTTAAGTATGTTGTATTCGAGTTCCAAGGCTGTATACCTGGAAAACTGAACAGGCTCCAAAGCATAATAATTTATAATTTAATAATTTATTTACTTATATAGCGCCCTTTAACATTTATGGGATGTGCATACTTACATAGCAGAGTGAGATGTCGTGTTCTGTATAATCAGAGTTAGCGTAAGCTGATAAGAACATTTCGATGTAGGACAGCAGGCATCCAATGACGGTGATATCGTTAAACTTTGGAGATGACATTTTAATGAACCTAGGTACATAAACAAAAGCATTATAGGGAAAAAGAAGTTTGAAGCAATTACAGAATGAAATTCTGTGCAAACGGGAGATGTAAATCAGAGACAAGCAGTAATAAGCACTATATTTTACGCCATTTGGTAAAACCAGTGGTTATTGCTTGATTTTCCAAAGCGTTTTCAGAGGGAAAGACAGCATGAAAGAGGCATCTTCACGAACCATCACTAAACCCAAAATAGGAAGTACTCAGAAACTACATCTCTCAAAGTAGTTGTGCTTGTTTCTGATAATCATACATAGAGGGTTTACTTCCCGTATACTTGATTTAATAGTATTTACAAATATTTATTTTCATTTGCTGTAACAATATAGGACCTTTCTTTCTCGTTTAAGATGATTTCATGCGTTAAAACTGATTTAAACAAGTTCCTTCGCTTTCAGAAAGCACTGGAACCTTTTGAAAATGCTGGTCTTAAAACTTGAGGGTATGCTATATGAGTCAAAGTTTGTTACTTACTGATGCTTTCGATATGTGACATTAAAAAGTAAACTAAAGAAACAGAGCAGTACTCCAATAAATGCCAACAGGAAGAACATCAACGTTAAGCTGAAACTTTCTTTAAACTGCTTTTCATTGATTCTGACACCGTCCAGTGGAACTTTCCCCTCTGTAGGGAAAAAATGAAAGAAACTTTTTCAAATTGAAATTTTAGTGATGAAGCAAATATTCTAACATTCGCTAGGTGAGATCAGAAAACAGACAAAATTTCAAGTGTTCTAACCCACCTATTAATTTGTTCGCGTTTCTATTGGCTAATTTTACGTCACGTGGTACAAAAAACTGAATAGTTATCGCGCACTAAACCCCACGTCTACGTCTATATTTGTCCTCTGATTATTTCCGTCGAAAAGAGACAGTGCTTACGACAAAAAAGAGAAAGCTCAAGGTTTCACTTTTCATCTTTATTATCCTTCAGTGTTTTGTGCTTAACTTAAATCTGAGTGATTTTTAACGTACACCGTTCTTGAAGGAGTGGATATTTCAATTAAAATTACTGTTGGCCTAATTCAAATTTTGATCAAAATACTCGATCCCTGAATTTTATTCCATTGTATTCCAGTCCTTTTACCTCAAGACAATGTCTCTCATAACTAGATCACAACGTATGGTGGCTGGAAATTAAGATGTCGGTGAAAACCCATGATTTCAGTCGTGCAATTTTGCCATACCATCAAATTCCATCTTACCTTCCCACTCAAACTTATCTTTGTATTGACTCAGATTCCTACCAAGGGAATCCACCGTGGCCACAATTTTCTTTTTACCACCTGAAATGAAAAAAAAAAAAAACAATGCTTCCATCAAGAAAACAGAGTTGCCGGTCAAAACATCAGCCATCATACTGATGTAACTATAATGCAATGCAGTGCTACTCTACCGCGTTGACCGCAATCCTAATTCAGGGATTTATAAATCCCTTCTACAGATATACTTTTGCACAATTTCCTCCAAGTTTTCTTTCGCCAGCAAAACTTAAAAATCAATCACTTCTTATTTCAGTGGCAGCTCTCAGGGCAATAGCGGATAAATCTGTTTCATTTACTCCTAATGAGATGTACTTACTTCTACTTATTTATCGCGAAAGTTTTTTAATATACAATAATTTTTCACTTACGTTTATTTTGAAAAATTTCTACAAGAGTGTCTCTGTTTCCATCTTCATCAAACTTCATGCGACCCTGAAAGAATTGCAGGACAAGGTTTTTGTCGTAAGAGCTGTAGTATATCGGTCTAAGAATAAGGGCAGTTGTCAGAATTATATTTGTCTTAAACCGGATTTGCTAGTGACAATGATATGAAGTTTGCCATCAGAGAGGGAACCCGCGTTTAAGGCTTGGAAGTTTCCTTTTCCTTATCCTTTTTCTTCTACCATTTTGCCAATTTTTTTGAGGTAAACAAAAAAGGGGTCTTTTTCAGGCATCGAGCTAACGACCCTCTCACTTTGGTATGCGAATTTCATTGAGACATTTCGAGTCACCCAATAAATCTTTTGTTCTGTTTTTTTTTCTTTAAGTTCTCGTATATTCGACAAATTGAAAAGGAAAATCCATAAAAAAGTGAAGTGTTATTGAGGCTTAAACAAGGACTACTTTACATACTGACATTCCCCAGAAGTCTGTACGGAACAAAATATCCGTCATGATCTCAGCTACTTCTTTATCACCATATTTGACGGTTTCCAGTGTTTTATTTTTTGCTCGTAACCGAGGTATGGATTTGTTCAACGTAACAGCGATGCTCCATGCTGCATCATACGTGAAGCCTGCGTACATGTGATAAGTGTAGTTGAGGCGCCGTCGTCTTTCATCATATTCAGCTTGCAACTGCTGTGCAGTCTGAAAAGGGATGGTAAAGAAGAGCAAAACGATTTTTACATATGCTCTGTAAAAGCTCAGGCAGTAACTTGGTCTTTACCTTTTGAGACTATTCCGGTTTAAACTATACAAGAGGGTGGGTGGACTAATCATTATTGCGCTGGCTTACGGATACTGGTGCATAGTCAGGGAAGACTAATAAACTACAGGGGGTAACCTTGCGAGGGACCGCCATCCTATTCAGGGGAGAGTTGAGTAATATTATTTTCTGTGGGCAACGACTAATCCCCACTCCGTCCCCCCTGAAAATCATGTAACCCCACCCCCGGCGATTAATACCGACTAGAACCTTACCCTATTCGATATCGTGGGTCTTGTTGATCTACTCAGTTGAAGAGGAAAAGTCTCAATCAAATTAGCTGCAGCCTCCAAGAGCTGTTCTCCCCTGCAATCCATGCCCACTTCTGTTGTTTTTGTCCACCAGTCTTCCAAGTACCATCCAACTATTATCCAAACATACTTCTTTCCAAAGAGTCCATCTTTGTAGGCCTGTTAGGAATTGAGATTATAGCAGGATATCAGTTAAAGGTGTTCAGTGCCTCCCGTCATACTTTGAATTTGCAATGTAAAACCCAGAGTCGGTGAAGATTACCAGCTACATACAATTATTAGTTTGATATAAAACTCTCCGCCACAGAGCATTAAAAACGACATATTTTAAGCAGGAGGTTTCCGGTAAAAAACTCTTAATATTTACTTAACTTAACTTAACTTACCCCCTTTTTTTCATTTCTCTTAATTGTTGGTTATAATTTGTCAGTACACTCACAGCGCACATAGCTTTTCTGAACATGTCCTCGTACATCAGTCCAATGATAATCCTTGCATCTTTATCCTTGTAAGAAAGAATTTTTGAGGTACTTCACTAACATACACAAACATCCGCTTGTCAGCGAAATGCCAAATGATACTCTTGGGCGAAGAGTTAAAATTTCAGTCTCACGCTCATTAGAACTTCAATTTCAATTTTATTCAAACAGTGTTTTGTTTCTTCCCTTATTACTGATCTAAAGAGAAGGCAAATTTCCAAGGAGGACCAAGAAAAAGAAGTCTGGCGGTAAAAATAGGCCACAGGGATTTCAATCTAGAAACGTAAACCAACACCAAAGTTATCGGGGGCCAATCACAATAAAGAAGTACTTTATGAGAAGCCACAAAGAGCTTAAGGTGGTTAAAGCAAACTGACTGGAGCGCAGAAAAACATGGGTAACCAAACGGTGATTACTTTTAGTTTAGTTTATGGTTGGTTCAGAAAGTGGCGCCAGCTTACTAGACCAATCACAAGCGAAGTAAAACAAGAGGGTGGCTTAAAGGTTTGTACTTGACACGTGGTTAAGACCAAACTTTTTTACAGAAAGGCAAGCGTGATTCGTGAATTTAAGAACCAGCGTGAGGCGTGATTTTCTCCGAAAATAGACGTGACACGTGAAAACCTCAAGATTTCCCTGAAACCTTTTTTTGCATGACGCGTTAATTTCTTTTAAAATTCGGAATAAGAAACCCTCCTTATCCTCATAGAAAAGCAACGCAACCTCGGATAATTATTCGACGCTCAATTGTACACATTCGGCTATTGTAATGGCTGTTACAGTAGTATCTATCATATCAGCCAGGGGTCTTTTCCGTTTTGTCTCTCTGTTACACCAGCAAGATCTTGTAATCCACGAAAACACACTTAATGCACACTAAGCTCAGCGCTATGAACTTTGAATGGATGGTGCGTATCTAACCTTGATTAAGTACTTGACCGATGAGGATGGATCATATTTGAAGCTTTCTGTTGCAATGATGGAGATGTTCGACTTGTTTAACAATGGAATGAGGTCTTCTTTTGTCTATTGATATAGAAATGATAACAAAGAAAATCAAACCATCGGTATTTAACATTTTTTTTTATGACCTCTTCGTTGGAATATTTTGTCGTTGTTACTGCTTTTGTTGTCTGAAATCAGAGTCCATTGATTGTATTTCTTGATTAAGTTCATCTGATTCATGTAGTGCCTTTAAAGAAACTTTCTTTCTATATATACTATAATAACTGCCTTACTAGCAGTATTGAGCCTCTTACCCATACAAAAATATCCAAGTTTTGCACAAGTAGGGCGACCTTTTTCCAATTGAATTGCTCTAAAAGTGCTACTCTGGTCGGGTTTTCCATTGTTTCTGAGGTACTAGTTCTAAAGTACAGAGGGAACTTTTCCTTGTCTGAGAACTGTGGCGACGATGTACTGTATCCAATCTAAGAAGAGTGAAAAGACAGCATTTCTTTGCGTCGATGTCATAAAAATGCGGAAAAACGAATAGAAGAACCTGCAGCTGAGAGGAAATTGACGCACGTAGTTATGCAATGAGGTCAAGCAAGCCATTAAACTGTTGCAAAATAATCTTATCTACGACATACAGTTCTTATCGTTCACGTAAACAAAATAATATCACAAAGCTATCATTGCAAATTATCGATGATATTAAATTGCAAGCTCACAAATAAGTAAAATTTATAATATTTTGACCTTTGGTTGATTACAAATGGCAAAGTGATCCCTGTAAGTCATTTGCCGTCAAACAATTGACAGAGACGAAATTGCCAAATTTTAAAAGGAAATTGCAAGCTGAAGCAATATACCAAAGGCCCACGAGATTGCAAACCTCCAAAGAGAATAGAATCACGGGCTTCAGACTGAGCGTAGTCATTATAAAAACCCCACATACTGTGAAATTTACCTGCACTGCCTGCCAATACGGAGCGGCTTCTGCAACAGGTACTGTTGCTACAGAACATCCGGGACCCAGGAAAACAATCTTGTGTGGTGGAGTGTCGATCATCGTAAGCATAGCTTTGATACCGGATCCACTTTCACACTTAAGCAATGGAAGCAAGAAAATAACAGATAAATATTAACTGTATTTTTAATTTTTGTACTAGTCATATACGCTGAACAAACCTTAGAATCATTCCACACATATTTCAGTTGATAGTCCACCAAAATGTTTGGGTCGTTGTTCACATGCTCCAGTGCCATTTCTAGAGATGGAATGACTTCAGCTGTGCTCCAAGCCCCTTCTTGAATGTTTACCCCGAAAAATCCACCAATGTATAAAGCGATTTTGGACGTAGTGTTGTCACATTTGATAAAAGAAGTCAGGACGATGCAGTAGAGTAAGCAGGTGACGTGAAAAAATCCGCTGGACATGGTATTCGGTTTCTTTGGAACAGTAACGCAGAGCTGCAGTCATGGAAAAATTTCATGAATATCTTATGCACATCTGAATTACAAAGAGGTTTTTGAAATTTACGCGTTAAATCAACGCAATGAAAGAATGCCAAAGCCAAAACGACGGAGACTGTCCCACGCTTAATCTTATCGGCCTTTTCAGACGTGTGTCCAGTCTCTGTTTTGAAACAATAGTGATAACTTTAAACATGAACATAAATTTTTATTATTGAAGACAAAACTCATTATCAAAAAAAAACATTATTTTCACTGTCTGCTTTTGACAGGAACGGTTTTTGTAATTCGGAAATGTTACATTATGTTACTTTCATGATCTCCAATAAGTACTTGGAGAACTTCAGAAAAATCATTCATAAATTCAGCCTGTCTTCCTGCGCAAAAAGTTATTTTCTGAAGTGAGGCGGGCGGGCTTGTGATGTAAACAAGGCTTTATGAGGATTATTTGCTGGTGGACATGGAACTCACCAGCCCCGGCTTCACAGAAAATGACTCGTGCGGTGAGTCGCAAACTGCAGTTTTTCTCGTTTTGATTGAAAATCCGTCGAAAGAAGAGAAAAGAAAATTATCTGCCCACTGCCGACCTTCGCGTAACAGTGTAAATTAGCGGTGACAGGTGCCCATTATGGTATGATTGAAATACCCTAAATTTCCTCTGAAAAGCCCTAGGCTTATACAACTTCGTAAGGGGTTTTAGGAGAGCTTGTAAATGGAAGGGTGTACATCCGAGAGGGCTATAACCAGAATGAAAAGAGTGCTTCGAAACAAGATGTAAAAGTGCTGATCACAGAGGGTTTTCTATTGAGCTTCGAAACGTCATTAGCGGCAATTTGCGGTATTACTAAAAATGAAATATTTTAAGGCTCCGAGGCGCATTAAAGTGAGTTAATCTGAAAAGAGGAATCTTATAAAGTTTAATTGGCAGTTACTTTCAGAAAAATATTCGACTGAAAGTGTTTGATGAACCTTTTGAACCATAAATAATGAAAACAACAACGAGATTTATTAAATCCATTTTGAAATCTCTGGTGATACTTGCAATCTGATTGGCTCTCATCGTTGCGATTTATTCACGAATCGTTTGATTTTTTGCTCTAAATCGCATCTTTTTCCCAGCCAATGAGGAACACCACCAAAACACAACAACCAATCAAATCTCAAGGCTTGTTTAAAGAAACCAATCAAATTAGAGGAAGATAAAAGACAGCTTTTGCACAGCTCAGTACTAGATCAGTAAAACATTTGTACAGACAAAAAAATCCTGTATTTAACCGACTGAATTTTGCTGTTTAAAAATGGATGCAATAAAGTGATAATTGAACTTAGTGCTAAGCAGTTTTGGTCGATCTGAAATCGTACATGTGATTTCAAATCAAACTCGCGCTGCGTGCCCATTCGTTTTTTTAAATCACTCGTATGATTTCAGACCAAAATTGCACTCCACTCAGTTCAATTAGCATTATATGTCATGGTTTTAAAAAAGATATCTTCACTCTAAACATGCTACATATACCTTTAGACAGTTTTCGTGTTGCAATGGCAAAGAAGAAATTATAATATGGCGCTTATCACTTTGCCAAAGTGCTTAAAATTCAAATAAAAATTTATTTGACGTAGATTGTCAATTTCTTCAATTGATATCGTTTATCTTCAATTGAATATGCGACCAGTATTTATGGAGTAAGAGAAACGTTGCCTGTCTCCTTAGGGTACGAGCTTCGTTTTATTCGCTCACGCATCAAATATACCATCCGCACTCAAAGTTAAAATTTTTATCGATAGTCCGCCAGGAGTTTATAGACAATCTTATAAAAGCGTTCAATTAAAAGCTTAGTAGAACGTTTTTTCAAATAATATCATTAATCGTCATAGTAAAGTAAGTTTACTTACCAGAAAGCAGTTGATGGTTTAGTTCCGCAGTTGCAGATGTGTTTGCGAGTGTGACTCAAAGCTGCGTTTCGTTCAGTCAAATTCAGCCTCAGTGTTTCACTGAATCCTTTTGATCATTAACTTTTTAAAATCCTGATATACTGTTGTCTCCTCCAAATCGATCTAATTCATAGGAAAGTAAAAAGAAAGACATCAGGTCTCGATAATTTACCGTGATATTTTTTTAAAAAAATTCATATTTTTCAACCTTTTTAACGCAACCTTCCATTAAACACGCCCCTAGTGGAGAGCCTTTTGTTATTTAATTTTTCCTAAACCAGGCAGAAGCTTTGAAAAGTGAAAGGCTTATCGTGGCATCAGTAGAATGTCGTCGAGGCTCTCTCGGGCACCAAACGTGAGTGGCCAAAAAACATTTTCCGACGGGAATTCCGGTCGGGCGGTTTTGATAAGAAAATACAGTTGAAGTATGATGTATTTTGACTTATGTTGCAATGATATTGCAAATAAAAGAAAGTTAACAATCAAATGGTGGGATTATATAATACATTTCTTGGCGAATAAATATTTAATCTTGTCGCTGAGGACTTTGCAAAAGCTGACATTCACAATGACATTTGCACATAATTATGCTCTTAGTGCCTAGAAATAAACTAGCTTCGGTTCAATCGGGTTTCTCTCACAAAACTGACCGGTTCTTGAAATAATTTCTTCTGAAACATACGCTTTTGGATTTGCAACAACTGGTGAACAATCACATAAGGCATGCTTTCAGAGATTTTCATTATTCGTGACCTGTATCACAAATGAATTTTTAAGAATATTTTTGTTATTTGAGCTTATTATAGCTCCCCATCTGATAAATCCTAAAAGCATTTTTCATTTTGCCGATAAATAATCAGTACGAGTACTGTTTATGTCCGAAAACACCAGATTTTGCGAAAAGAAAATAGGCACTATCATATAAAGAGAAATCAAACTGAATATCCATGATATTTGTATTTTGTACGAATATGAGTCGCCCTTTATTTAACTCGTGACTTTATCTTTTCATCGAACTACTCTCTCCCAAAACTGTTAGTACAGAAGAATACGGCATGGCCAATAGGCCAATAGGATGATGATATTTTCGCATCAGTGGAAAAGAAAATCTTCGCCATGTCTCGTATAGCGTTCGAGGCATAACGTGTAGAGACAGCTTATTGTTGATTGTGTAGTTTACACAGCACGATAAATTTTCAGTGTTTTCTCTCCCGCAGCTACATTAACAAGCAAGAATTTAGTTCTGTCTTTGAATGAGCAAGAACAAGACCACTTTGAATATGATTTTGAAGGCACTCACCTTTTGGAAAGCGAGGCTTGATTATTTGAGAAATGGTTTCGGAGATATTCCATTAATACGAAGCCTATTCATATGCTCAAGTGTGATAGAGAGTTTTTAATCATTTTGACAGCTGCAGACAGAACACAATGTTTTAATTGTTTATTGCGATTGGCAAAATACCCAGATGCAGACTTATAGAATTATCTGCAAGAAAGTTCTCTCGGAATATGGCTTAAACACACACAACTAATGGACTTTACATCTCATGAAAATTTGTTTTGTGAACATTTGTTTAACGGTCGAAATTTCAAGACTATAGTCGAAATTAGTTTTCTTAGATCATTGTTTTTTTACACAGATTTAATATATCAAAGGCATAAGACCTTGAACTCTTATTCGAACGCATTATTTAAATTCTGAAAAATGTCCAAATAATTTTTACCGCAGATTTAAATTCGGTTTCATATGCGCGACATCGAATCCAAAGCCAGTCCAAATTTTAAGTCTATGTTCTGAAGAAAAGCTATTGTCAAATAAACAAACTCACGCTAAATCGTTACACTTCTGTGCACCGGTGGTGACATCCTTTTTTCATTAAAAATGTTTCGTCGAATCTAAAGTAATCTATGTCTACTTTTTCATGTGTATTCGATTAAAGGAGACTTTTGTAGTATCAAACATGATTGATTCGGTGTCCAAACAATATGAAAGTATTATGTGTAAAGGTTTATTTGAATTAATTCTCATATGTGGATGTTTATTTTATATAGTGGAACTAAATTAGAAATTACCCACAGGGTCGGTGTCAGTTTTTGTCACACTAAGGCAATATGCATATTCAGTGGCCCTGACCGTACGATAAACTAGTCATAATGACCGCTGTACACGGGTGGGCTTATCCAGACAAAAGCAATCTCCGATGAATTTTGGCTCTGTTAATTTTTTTCAGCGGACTCTCCAGTCAGATAAGATGTTTTTCTTCTCACTTTGACGATAGGGATGCTCGAATAAGAGTTAATCTAAACAAATTCTTATTGGCGTCAGAAACACGGGAAAATAGCGGAGATAACTTGAAGACCATCCTCAGAAAAAAAAAAAAACTGAAATTTATAGATATAACTCGCACTAATAACTCAGCTATTAAAAATCCCTAGAAGCTTTGTTTATACCCTTACTTTGAATACTTAATGACTACTCAAACATTTTCATTCATTCTTGCTCTCGACAATGGGATCACTTGAAAAATGGTCCAACAGAACTAGAAAGACGAGATTGGTTGGTTCAAAACACGCTTAAGCCAACCGAGGGTTGATGCAAATATTCACCTTTGTGACTTTAAAGACAATTCTGTGTGTTGATTTTCTGTGCTTCTTTGTTGTCAGATATCAAGATTAAGCTTCTCAAAACTATAACCCTGAGAGAGGTTTTCGCGCAAAACAAATGAAAACCAAATAGATGTTATAATCGTGCATCAGTTTTTCAAAGACTGTGTGCAACGTTTTTCACAAATAACATTGTCTGACAAAGCACTATGGTGGCTCATTTTCTTAAGGTAAATATTATTGATCTGTTTCTTCCATGTAGGTACTTGATTTTAAGTATAACATTAAACCTTACTATCACCTGCTTTTTCCTTCTGTAATGATTCGGTGAATATTTGTCAATTCTAGGTGGTAATTACTTGAGGTGTTGAGTTCTCATACTCTTTGAGAGGTAATCTCTCTCTTGTTCGCGATTGTTAAGACTCTGAAAACACTTCAAACAGCCTAATGTTTGTTTTGTTTCGCTGAATCACAGGAATCGGGTAGCAAGTCCTTGAAAAGGTTATATCTTTCATATTCAATGCTGCTATGACGATGGTTTCGTTTCATAAAAATGACCTCGAGTTGTTTTTGACTTACATAAGGTTTACCTATTTGTGATTGGCTCATGCAATCCAATCATCCTCATGTCAATGTGTGGGTTTGAAACTCTAATCAATACGGATAAATATCAAGTGAGGATCAGTTTGTCTTGGCCTAAAATTCAAACAGATTTGATTTTTTTTTGGCCTATGTTTTTACACTGACAATCTCCCTCTCATTCCAAATAAAAAAGGAAAAATAATAAAGAGTTATACACTTTGTGCTAATCAAAATAATGTCAACAACACGGAACTACAAGGGTAAAGGTGTAATTATGTTTCCTTCTTGTTATAAGCTATCATTGTTCCCCACACAAGTATGGCCAATTTTCTCTCAGTATGTGTTTTCCTCAAACATTTGGAATATATCTAGCAAAGGAGATTTTGGAAAGAAACTGAAGCACGATTTGTAGCAATAACCATATCTTAATCGTGACGAGTTTTTGTTTCCCTAACGTGCATTATGTGTAATGAATAATTATGGTAGATTCCCTTTTTATTTACGAATTACATACCACCAACCAAAGCCCCCGTACAGTACAGTATTCAACGATCCACGTTAAAAGAAAATTATTGGAAATTTTTTGCTGGTGAAAAAATCTTTTTTTTCTTTTTATGACAGTATCACTTCCTTAGTTAACGTCATCTCCTTTCGGATTTGAGACAATTGGTTTGAGGTTTTCTTCGTTCATTTGTAATATTACTTTCATCGACTTCCGAAGCGCACAAACCTTTTTGAATCAATCCAGAAATATTGGGCTTCATTTTTAAGAAGCATAAATACAACTGTGAGCATATTTTTCACCCATTAACAATCATATGTACACGATAAAAATTATAAAAAAGATTAGTTAGATCTCGACAAATGTTCATATTTTGTTCCTAAACATAACTTACCCACAGTATAGTAGCAGGCCATAAAGTCCGCTCTCAAATTGATTGTTATTTGGAAATTAGACATGAGGAATCATGAGTTTTTTTCGTTTGAAAAGCTACAGTAAGGCACCTGCAAGTGGCAAGCGCAAACATTGCATTAAATTTGTGCGTCATAATAATTGATATTTACATGTAATGCGCACCTTATGCTCTCCATAACCATGGCCACTTGGTTTGCGGCTTCCTGCTTTCATTTGAAGCTCAGAATAGCATGTTAAAGCCTTCCGTCGTCTGTCGTTTTTGAATTTACAATTTACTTATTATTCTGGTTGTTTAGTTTTCAAAATGGTAATAATGATCAAGAATACAGGCCAAAATTTTCCTTACTTCCTGTTGAAGGAAATATGGTCGAGGTTCTATCGTGTCGTGACTAGTTTTGCTACCGCGAAAAGCTAAAAATTTTCCCAAGTACACTCCGCTTTACCTACCTTTACTTGTAGACTGTACGAATTACTTCTATATTATTTGAAATCTCACTGGTGCATTTACATCCTAGATGTCATAAAATAAATGTGGTTAATCCGAAGACTCTCTCAGGCTATTTTTCATTTCGTATCTAACGGAGAGATAGTCTCACTTTTTATCTTGTGGTTTGACTATTAAGAAGAAAAGGAAAAGTCCTGAAAAAATTTGAAATTATTCCAAGGCCAGTGACTGACAGTTTTACACCCTGAGCAGAAGTCATTATTTGCTTCTGATAATGATTTCCGCTCAGGATGTCAAAATATCAGTTGCTACTACCGAAGATGAATTGTTCAGGAACTCTCGCACCCGGAAGAGAAGACAACTCGGTCAGCTGGTACTCCTAGGTCAGTTTAAACAGTTTTTCAAAAAGTTGCCTTTAACTTGAATTCACTGATGAGTAGCTTCTGCGTAAATTTCACTTATTTTCAAAGCATAGCAAATATGAGTTTCTACACAGCTTAATTGCTTCTTAAGGAGTTAAAACTTTCGAACGTTTCATATAAAAGAGAAACTGCTAGTAGGTGTTCGCTCCTATTATTTACGAAGTGACATGTGCTTTTCTTCGAAAACACCCATTACATCTGGACTTTTATCTTTATAAAATGACAGCAAAGTGTAGGCTAAAAATAGCATCCAAAGTGTTTTTGCTAACGGACATGGCAGGCAGGACTCACTAACTATATTTTTAATTAAAAAAATTGTTATTGTTTTGGCAAATGAAGACCAGCCTAACTATCAGGGATTTTTTCATTCCAAATTTTGGTAACAAGAACGACACAATTGAGGAAATACTCGAAATGAAATAGGCAGCTTTGATGCTTGAATTTGGCATCTTTCAATGATGAATATTTACATATCTATGTGCAACCATTTCAAGCTCACGTTTCGGCCTAAAAGTTCTGAGTTTCCTTGACTTCCCCTAATTGTTTTAAAATTTTTAAAAAGGAATTAATACTTAATATAACTTGGTTTTTAGTATCTACTAATTCTTAAAATGGAGAAGTTTCTGATGCGATAAGCCGGATATGCATTAATCCCCGTTCTACATGTCACGAAACCATAACTGCACCGAGCAACGAGCGGCCCACCCTAAAAACAGCTTGCTTTCACACAGAGAAGAAAAAGCTCAGAATTTTGACACGTCCGAGAATTAGCGAAGTTTAGATTTCTCCAGAATAACCTTCTTTTCCCTGTTTCAACCAGCCTTAGCAATGAATCATCACTAAAACTGAATATTTATGTCAACCATATTTACTTTCGTTTGCTTGTCTTATCGAAAAGATTTTCCTGCGATTTAGCCTAAGGGATTTGAAGCTTCTAGGATCGATTTTGATGGAAGAAAATAAGCAGGAGTCAGTGTTGTCGAAGTCTTTGTAAAGTCAAAATACTTTTATTGGAACAAAGATTGTGGGTAAATATAGGGTCAAATCATTCGTTTTTAACGCTTAAAAATTGTAGAAAATAATACAATTATTAAAATGAAAGAAGTACCTGATTTTCACTTCCTTGGAAACAGTTAAAAGAAGACAATTTTCCTTGAGAGAAGGACGGTTGTTTTTTCCTTTGAAATGGCAAACTGGAACAACTACAAATGACACAACTACAAATGACGATGTATGCCTCTAAACTAACTTAGCAATTGAAATTCTTGCTTTTGCATAATGCAACTAGCTGGAGAGAGCACTTATTAAAAGTGTTGAGTGATTTGATGAGTTTTTCGCCCACTCCCCTCGAATTAGCGGAAACTGTTCTTGATTCAGCGAGCAACTAACTGAGGGCCAAATATTTTCCTATCTGGCCCATCTGACTCTTCTTTCAGCTCGCATCTTGCGGGGCTACATGGCTTTTTACCTTCTTATCCGTAAACTGTCAGTCGCGCTTCAAAGTTGGATATTCTTTCATAAGATCCTGACTCTTCATTTTCCTTCTTATTGGTGTGGTCTTCACACGAAAACACCTAAGCAGAAAAACATGTCCAAAGTACCTAGTAAAGGTCCTTGGATTCACTGTTTTGTTACATATAACGTAACGAATAGAATCGAATAGAATAGGCTTAGAATAAAAGGAAAATCCCTGCTTGAAATTTGCGAATTTGCCTGCTTTGTGTAAAATGTATCAGAACTATACAACACTAGTTGAGCCATTGCAACTTAAAAGTCGAGAAAACGCGTTTCGGAATAAAATATTATATTTATGAAACTGTGTAAAGGCCTGATTCGGAATGTCATATTAGTTCTTGTCCTTTTGGTTTATTTGGTTCCGAATGTGCTGTCTGTCTTCATCTGTAACGCACGAAACATCACAATGAATTTTCCAACAACTTGACATCACGTTAAACGATGATCCGGCGGACTTTAGCATAATAAAGACATAGATTATCTCCAAATAACACACGCCTGAAAAAATTATTATTTGGTAATTTTGATCGCCAACTGTGGATAGGAGGCGGGGTTACCTACATCATTAATTTTATGTCTGCGTTTATTTGGTAAATTTTCTCAAGATTTGAAGGAATAGTCAAATTCACAATCAAACAAGGATGAAACTTTGTTTTCGTTTAAATATTGTCCGCACAAATTTGAAAACTCTCAACGAAATTTGTTAAGTCGAACATTAATATGATTTTGAGGGGAATAGTAGTTCATTGGAACTGTCTCTGAGCCGGTAACTAACTTAAACATGGAACCAGAAAATCGACGGTTCACGCAAAAACGGTCCTGAATCGACAGAGCCGAAGGACAAACCTTTGCGTCTTTAAACAAACAGTGGAAATACAAATCACGACAAACACGTTTCTGCTGAAGTAGCTGTATACTTCTAAACTACAGCAATAATTAATCCTCTAGGTAACAAATTGCGATGGGAAGCAGTCTTGCTCAGGAAAACACGTTCAGAAAAATACGTTTCCGCTGAGGTAACTGTTCTTCTGCTGAACTACAGTAATAATACATCCTTTCCATGACAAATTGTGAAGCAGTCTTGTTCAGGATGTATCGATAAACAACAGTGTTATTACATTACGTATTGGTTATTCTGGTGTTATTTGTTGCGTAATTACGGTCTTCCTTTTAGATCCAATTCGAAACGGAAGGGTTTAGATCTGCAGTATAGATGTTTATGAAGCGAAATTTTGCCAGCTTTAGAGAATCTAGAAAACGATACGTAATGAAGATCCCGAGGATGTTGTGGAATATTGTGGAAGAGTGTTATGTCAGCCTTAAAACCTTGGTAAAATTCTAAAAACAAAAACATGAAGAACGAGAAGGCAAAACATCCAACTACTCAATACTCACCTAATAATTGTGAAAAGCAAAGGACAAACTACCCAAATTGATGAGAAAGGCAGGATTTTTTTCTTCAACTGCGGTGAGGAGTCAACTAAATCCGACTTATCTTAATGAAGATCAACGCTTCTTTGCAAATTTTAGTGGTTGCCAATACTTATTTCACTCCGAAGTTGAATGAACAGCTCAAGGTGATAAGGACTCTAGCCCACGCTCTCAACTGGTAAATTAAATTTGACGTGTCCAACAGGCAGGACAGATTGTCAATCAAACTTTTTAAATTCTTCTTGAGTTCCTCCTGACTGTCGCCTTTAGATTGGTCAATTAATTTCATCCGAACGTTTTTAATTAAAAGAAGTCAAGACGTGGTAAGTAAAGCTTCAAGTGTCAATTTCATATCTATTGGTTAGTCGATAAATTACTTGTAATATAGCTCAGCTATCTGCCGTCACATGGCCCGGCATAAAGTCATTATATTCAGTTGTCAAGTTAAATTGGTCTTGAATTGAGATTAATATGAAAAGCATACTAGCTGAATTATGAACGAGAAATTCGATTACAGCAAAAAAACGTATCTTAGTGGCAGTTTAAATCAACTAGGGTTAGTTATAGAATCAGTAAGTTCTCTTCATTCACAAAGCAACTATTTCTTAAAAACTGAAGTAAAAGCAAAAGTATCAGCCTGAAAAAAAAAAACAAGTGATAGAATAGATGATTGTCGATACAAAATAAAGAAGCAGCTGCGGCCGTTCATGGGGGAAATATCTCTATTTGCATTTGCAATTTGTAATCTATAAAGTTCCAATGATTATTCCGATTAACTGTAGGATACGATATTGGATGTCACAAAAAACCTTAGTTGTGAGGCTACCAATAAGGATTTCCCAACAGTCACGTTTGTTGTGTTAAAGGATCCTGTTCAAATTTAGCTCATTGCTGCGTGCATGCGCCGTGGAATCAGCTGCATGTCATCTTTTTTTCTACAAGCGGTGATCTTCGTGCATCCTTTCAGATGTAATTGCCTTTTAATAGAATAAGAGTTTAATAATAAAAATTGTTATATGTTTATTGATTTTTATGTATATTTTTATATGATTTTGTTGAAGATGATGTTGTTATCGTAAAATTTGCACAGTGCATACAAATTATACATTTAGGAAAATTCTTGTACAGAATTAAAAAATTGAGATGGTGAGAATTACTGAAAAATCAGCCCTAGGCAAAAAGGAATGCATCAGTGTGGGTAGAGTCAGATGTAGAGACGGAGTGATGTCTGGTAGCGGCTCTCGAAATTTTTCCTGCTTTAAAATTGAAAGATCCCGATTATTTTCATGAAAGAGCTCATTTGAAACTCTACCATCAACATCGAAATTGCTTATCAACTTCGTTTCGTATGTCTTATCTTCAGCTGAGAAGAGGTGATGTCTGAGCAGTTGTTCTTACTACACGAAGATAACTGTTAAATATTTTCAAATTATCCTCAGCCTTGCTCGATGACATTCAGTTCGGATGCCGAACTTTTCATGAGACGAAGGTTATTCGAATTTGGACCAACTCAAGCTCGAAAAGAAGTGCTTTGACTTGCTGATTCAAGCGTCGAATTTGATCGGTCGGCGCAGCTGTTCTCGTTATTGATCCTGGAGAACTTCTTTCAAATAGTGTAGATTGATTTTTTAATTTGGTTCGACACAAGTGAGGCGGGAAGAGCTGTCGAACCATTCCTGAATGAAGAAACCGTTCTTGATCCATTTAGACGTCGAACATTTTATATACTTAATTTAAGTTTTCAAGTTTGGCTCATGAAAATTGCACTTTAACCATCCACTGATGATTTCCCTTCGTCGGAGATCTTTAGGAGTCCTTTAGGAGATCTAGCGCGAGATCTAGCTTTTGCTCTTGTACGTCTCTATTCGCATTTCAGAATTAGTCGCCCCGCGTGTTTCAAACTCACTCCGGCTTGGTTCTGTGACAGACATTGAATCTATCTGATTTTTTTCCCTAAGCGTAGAATCTGTGAAAACATAAAACAACAACAACGACAATTTAATCGCATGATAAGAGCCTGTCTATCGTTTTAACATATTTTCAGTCTTATATCCGTTCTTTGTTCAGTCCCAATTCTCTAGTGGGTTTGATTTTCAGAATGCCGATGGTGTTTGCAAAACATCCTATACAAAATCGCCAGATGTCATTTTACAGTCCGTAAAAGAACACAAAATCTTTCACTGGACACCCAACAAACAAAATAGTTTCAAGTCACTGCAAATCGATTTGGTATCACTTTTAATTTTCGTCATACCTTGGATTTAATTGTTTCAAGGCACCCTGGGTTACATTCAAAATGCCCCTTTAGAGCATCAACAGTGAGGATAATTTCGAGCATGATTCCACCTCGCCTGAAGATTGGAGCATATTCCTCCTTGCAGGATGTAGTCAAGACCATTTATCGTTCTTTTTGATGTAGATGAAGATGTTTTCATGCACTTTTCTTGAACAGTTCGCTAACCCCTCTATCTCCCAGACAACATCTCACAAATAAAATCGATTCATTATGATAAGAGATTTAACTCTGAGACTTAATTTACGATAAAGCAAACTGAGAATAGGATTGTAAAAAAATAAGTCAAACTCTTACTTTTGGAACAAATAACAAAGAAATTGTCGACGTGGTCCCAACGAAGACGATACATCTTACAACCAAAATTTGAAGAGGTGGATAGGTCACCACGAATTCAGTCACAATAGCTAAGCACGAAAACATGAATACATTGTAGACTGCTAAACCGATGTTCTTGGAGTCGTTCAGTGAAGGATAGGTAACATTTCTTGTCTCCCAGGCCAGGAAAACACCAAAAATCAATAGAATCCCTTTGAATCCGCAGATCGACATCATCCACGTCACGTAATGCTTAGAAGTGCATTGATGAATCAGCAGCTCCTCCGTAACATCATCGTCATTATCTTCAGCCTGTGGAAGAAAGTGTAGAAGCTTTAGATTAATAAATGGACCAGAGCCCTTTCCACGAGCGATCAAGAGAAAAAAAATGCTCTTGTGAAAGAGATAGACAGAAAGATAAATGCAAAAATTACGTATCTACCTCCTCGTCGATCATCTTGAGTTGTTTCGTAAGTGGATCAATAGCTGCCCAAGTTGACAAAATTATAACGTCTATAAACCAACAAGCACATAACCTCAAGAAAAGACTGATGTTACTAAGCTTTCCAAGCTGTAGAGAAGATAAGATTGAAAAAAAAATGACCAATAACATTGAAAATGTGACTTAACTAGGCGTTCTACATTTAAGTGAGGTTCTCATGAAGCGAACAAACCGGAGCTCTGTGATTCACTTTGGATGTGACATTTCAAGTGCCTCTTCTCTTCACCTATTATCAGTTATTCGATATTGAAACGCAAATGGCAATCCAAAGGCCATCCACCTGGTCAAAGTTCCTCCCTTAAGATCTCTCATCTTCACAATCAGCATTACAATTGCTTTTCTTGCTGTTAATTAGGTTTTCCTTGTTTATTAATTACAAAATTGAGGAGATAGGTTAGCTATTCTTTCATAGCAGGGCCCAAGTGGATATCAGAATTGCTGCTGAGAAAATGGATGGGGCGAAACTGGTTAGACGGAATAGAAAATGGTGAGATATAAATTGCTCGCTACATTTCAAATGTGCAATTTTTACTTACCTCTCTTTTCATCTGGTTGTTTGTAAATATTTTGTAAACTCTCCAAGTCTTGACAAAGATTCCCCCAAATGCCAGGGTGAAACCAGTAGAGAGTAGCCAAGCATTTATCTAAACAGAGACGATCAAGTAAGGTTCATCTCATTGATTAAATGTGAAAATCGAAAGTAGAAATCGAAGGCGACGTACATGTAAAAGAACATTTTTAGAACTATCAAAGAAATGAATTATGACGTGGTATATTAATTTTTACCGGTTAAAGCCATTTTTGCCCGAAACAGAATGTATAAATTTCCATAATGGAAATGATGGAGTGCAAAATGAAAAGCTGGACATGGTCATATTTTGTTACAGTATCGCTTCCTGGATTAGGTTTCAAAATTGATGTGAATTCGGAGAGGAAGTTAAGCTTCCAATGTAACTTTTGTTTTGCGGTAAAACTCTTCTCAGACTATCGATTAAGGAGTTTTAGAATGTTTTATTGCGAAGTAACTGCAACAAACTCGGTACCATTTTCAGACTTTACCTTTTACTGCTTACCCTTAAACATCTAGACAGTGAAAAGCACAAGGCTCTTTAAGAATTGTTAATGAGCATTGATAAGTTTTAAAACAAAGAAAACCGAAGTATTCTTACGTAGCATAGTGAGGTATTGTATTCTGCCGATGAAGAGTTACTGTAAGCTGATAAAAACACTTCAGTATATGACAATAGACATCCAACGACAGTGATATTGTTGAACTTTGGAGATGACATTTTTATGAACCTGACAAAGATAACCAACAACAGATAACGTTTTAAGAACATGACTCATAATGCCAAGGATACTATCAAAGCAAACAAAAAATAATAACAAAGAATACCGTGTTTCCATTAGTACCTATGCTTTCGATAAACGAAGTTAAGTAGTAAACAAAGCAAACAGAACAGTATTCCAGCACAAGCCAACACGTAAAAGGTCACTGTTGTCCCGGGTCTTTCTTGGAACACTTTTTGGATAACTGTGACACCATCTCCTGGTATTCGGCCGCCTTTGAACAAAAAAAAAACATGTATATAATCAAGTCAAGCAATGATACTCGTAACTGAGCTGCAATTTAAGCAATTACAGGAAAGAGACCTGAAAAAGTTCAGGCCCGGACGGATTTCCGACCCGTGCTGAGGCTGGACGCTTTAACCAACTGAGTTACGAAGCCACACGTTGGGACTGGGGCACATTTTTGAGGGTTTTTCTTTCCCATGGAGGAATCTGATCATAATTTTTAACTAAAACTGATGAATATGTATACACAAGGCTTATCGCTATTCTCATCTTATAAGGCTGACCATCAGCTAATGCTAATTTTATGCTATGTGGCAGACCAGTCTTCTGTTGGATGAAAAAGGATTTACCTATCAAGGCGCAGTTATCGAGAGAAGTTGGAGAAAGAAGTCTATTCCGTCAATTTGAAAACCTCCCGAATAGAGCGAGTACATTTGGAAACGAAATAATATGCTCCTTTTGACATTTGGCGCTTATTAAATGGCCACTTGTACCAGATCTGTTAAGACCGTCTATCGACAGGTTTCGTGACTGAATTTTCTTAGATAGTCAAGCTACACCTGTTAGTTCCTTGGTAAACTTACCTTCCCATTCAAAACTGTCGTTAAGGAGAATTAATGATCCGTTACGGATATCCAACATGGCAACACTTTTCCTTTTTCCCCCTGTGCATCACATAGATATTATTAGTATTTATCCCACTTTATAGTCTTATTTTTCCTTATCAACCCTATCGCGCGCTGAAGTTAAGCGAGAAATTTCCAAATACGCTGTAGCACTCATTCGTGGCTACGTTAACGAGCGTTTTGAGAGGCTGTAGTCTGTGTCCTCCAACGACTTGGCAAGGAGAACGGGCTCAACGGCTGCGTCACCTTGCTACGGGCAAGAAAGGAGGGCCTACAGCTGAAAATCGAACATCTAGAAATTAAAGGTCTAACTTTGGCAATGTTTGTAATAAACGCAACGCATGTTCCCATTAAAATACCCAAATATGCCTACATGTCTTTCTTTCAAGGTGAAAAATAGTTCCATTTATTCATGAGTTCACCCAAAACACTGAGACCGAAAGAGTATCCAAATGAAAGTTGTAATCGGGTGAGCTATAAGGCAAGCATTCGAAAAAATGTGAAATAAACGAGGCTTTGAGTAAATTTTCAGCTCACGACGTCATCATGAGCTCTTCTCTCGTAGTCCAGAGCTTTCTAAAGCTTGGCGTATCACGACCGCCAACAGGCTTCTTAGGGAAGAGAAATTCAATTTCAATTTTTAACGACGGCGACTAAAAAAAAAGAAGGTCACAATTTAGGGATCAGCATATCATATCGCTTTGAGACCTCAAGTAATCATGACCCAATCAATGTCTGAGTTGAAAAAGCTAGTTGGAAATACGCCAGTCCGATTTAAAGTTTAACCTCAGGTTATTTCAATGAAAATGTCCTTATTAGTTGAATTAATTATGCTGTAGATTAACCATCATTTTTTTCCAACTTACGTATATTTTGAGAAATTTGCACCACCGTCTCTCTGTCATACTTTCGGTCGAACGTCACATGACCCTGGAAAGGTGTAATGTAATGCAAATCGGCCCTGCCAGAATTGTGGAAGCTTTTGCATTGTAATGCTTAACTATTTGATAATGATTTCCTTTCTCCCTACTCACTAAATTCTGAAGTTTAGAAGACTGGTTGTGAGATGTTTTCCATGCAAATCGTCCTTGGGCAAATTTCCTAAAAACCTATTAATTTTCATTTATAAGGAACTAAACTCCTAAATGGGAATGAGAGTAGGCACAACTTGTTTACTCCGGCTAGAGATTTTCTCGAAACCCCTTCACGAAAATCCAGATTCCACCGGGAATATTGAGAAGGAATAAGAGTGCAACACAGACGTAAAAACTCAGACTCCGTTTGAATATCTACGTTTATGGTTCTTTGTAAATCTTTTTCTTCTGCCTCATCGGTCGAGAGCCCTACGCATGATCTATAAACAGTGATCGTGCATTCGTAATTCTTTTTACTTTGGTTAGCTGAGAATGCCATTTTTTTTATGGCCAATCGCTACATTTTCCTCAATCTCATACGGTTATTATTAAATGTTAACAACATAGTTTATGGAATAAAGCGATAGCAGGACTTAGAGTACGCACCGACATTCCCCAGAAGTCTGTACGGAACAGAAGATCTCTCATGATCTCAGCTGCTTCTTTATCGCCATATTTCAGCGTTTCCAAGGTTTTGTTCTTTTCTCGAAGCAGAGGAATGGACTTATTCAACATAAGGGCAATACTCCAAGCGGCGTCATACGTAAAGGCTGCATACATGTTGTAAGTGAAGTTAAGCTTTTTAAGTCTGTCCTCGTAATCTGTTTTCAGTTCAGCAGCAGTCTGAAAGAAGCAAAAGAAATTTGAAACTTTTTTTTCTCAGATACAAACCTTTGGATAGTTTAAGATCGAAGAAAGATGTTCTTCGTCTTATCACGAGCGTGGAACAAAGAAAAAATTCTGAGTCCCCATGAGGAATCGAACCTCAGACCTTCGCATTCCGCGCTCCGATGCTCTACCACTGAGCCACAGAGACTCCACGGTGAGCGAGGTCTATTACAAAGTTCATATGACACGCGTCCTGCATACTGCTAGGATTAGCAATGTCGATAGCGTAATGTTTGTAGATAGAAATAAGAGAGATGGTAAGTTTTGAGCTCGGTTTGTTCTCTGTTCCACGCTCGTGAAAAGACGAAAAACATCTTTCTTCATTTCTTTATCGAGCTCAAAACTTACGACATCTCTTATTTCTATCTAGTTTAGGATTTTCTCTGATAAGCTTAGACAGTTTTGCCGGGACACATCATAAAGGGAAAGTACTTACAATTAGCCTCTGCTTAAAACGCTTTGACGATAACTTCAACGATATTGTTTTTACCCTGAGGTCTATAGGTTCATTTTTTAGGCTTTGTATAATTCTCTTTGATATTTATGAATAAATTAAGGAGTTCTTGTTTTGTTTACGTCGTCACTTGGTGGAAAGTACATCGAAAGCAGTTATAGTAATGGTCTGATTTTTCTCAAAAAAAAATTGCAAAAACGCTTAACTCATTTTTTTCAATAATATTGCTATCTGATTTAATGAAGTTTTGGCTGTTAGCTTCCTATCTATCATTAAGTGCATTAAAAACTCAAATTGAAAGGGTTCAAAGGAGGGCCACAAGGTGGATCCTCAAACAACGTGTAGGCATGATGTCATACAGAGACAGACTTTTAACTTTGAAACCTCTTCCTCTGACATTTGACCGCGAACTCAAAGATCTTTTTTTTTTTTTACAAATGTCGGAAAGGTTTTACTGATCTCAATGTTTATGATTTTGTTTCTCCTGTTTCTCACGGCCGAACCAGACTAAGTAATTCTTATAATCTTAAAACTCCTGTATGTAAAACTAGCACTTTTCAGGCCTCTTACTTTAATCGTATTGTTAAGCTCTGGAACTATATCTGTAAATTTTCACCCCTACCAGTTTTTCAACTACTGCTTCCTTCCGCAACTTTGTTACTGAGCACATTTTTCACCTTTTGCACAATCACTTTGACATATCCTATCCCTGTACCTGGTCAATTGTACGATCCTGCCCCTGCCATCCCTAGTTTTTTAGCGTCTTTTAAATTTGGCGTCTTTTGGTCGATCGTGTTTTAATTATTATTTGTACCATGGGAGGTGCCTTGCATGGGTCCTTGCGTCCCGTTCGCACCTTCCCTTTTGACCTTATCACTTTAAATCACTTTGCACATATATTTCATTTTTTTTTCTTGGCTGTTTAATTTGCTGTATGTAACATGTGTAATGGTCAATAAAGCTGTTAAAAAAAATAAAAAAAATAAGTGGTTGTGACTCAAAAGCATTTCCAACCAACATACCCTGTTTGATATTGTGGGTTCTTGTGAAGCACTAATAGATAAGGGTAGAGTTTCTATCAAACTACCCGCAGCCTCTAACATCTGTTCCCCTTCGCATTCCACGTCTGTTTTTGTCCACCAGTCCTCGTTGTACCAGCCAACTATGATCCACACGTATTTTCTGCCATATACTTCTTCCTTGTAGGCCTTGGAAATTTTAAAAATAAATCATGAAATAAAAGCATTCGAAAAGAATCTTTTGATGTCCCCTGCAGAGCAAAGGCAATGATGTTACCGCTGAAAAAGTGAAACGTACGTTATGCGACGGATTCATTTAAGGTAGAAGTTTTGAAATCTAAGTCAGGTGCCTTTTTTATTTTGATTTTCGCGCCTATTTAGGGCTTTCTACTCAAAATATTTCAAAAGAACACGTGAGGCGTTTTAAAGTGATAAAAGCAAGGAAAATTATTTAATTTAGTGTTTGTAACTTACCGTGCACATAGCTTTCCTGAACATGTCCTCGTACATCAGACCAATTATGATTCTCGCATCTCTCTCCTAAACTCAACATGAATTCAACTAATGAGTGGGAGATTAGATTCATTATCATGGCGAGAGCAAGCACAATAGCTGAACTCGCCTACAATGCGACACAGGATTCTCTTTTGTTGTTGCGATATCAACCTTCCACCCCTCGACGTCAACCCTTTCTTAAAGGAGAGATGCTCTTTGAGCTCTGCGTGAACCGTGACAATTTCGGTTCTATTTTACCTTGAGTAAATACTTGACTGCTGAAGATGGATCATTTTTGAAGCTCTCTGCTGCGATTATGGTAATGTTTGATTCCTCCAACATTGGAAGAAGTGCCTCTTTGGTCTGTTAAGTAATGAAAATAACCACCAATGAATAATTTTAACAAAGAAAATCGATAAGTAGTTCTTATCATTCTGTACATTTGGTGAATAAAGCCCTTCGGGCACTTGGTACGTCAGCTGATAATATCCGTGGCTGAGAGACTGTCTGAAAAATGTAAATTTGGCCGAGAAGTTAAGCTCCCAGGGCAAATGTGAAATTTTGCTTAAATTCGAAGGAAATAACCGAAGAACACGCAAAAAAGGGGGTTATTGTGTGATAACTGTCTTGATTGTGATTTTGCAACACGTAACGTAAAGTACCAGTAACATAAGCAAACATGAATAGGTGGGTTGTAAGGAAGGATTAGTTATTTAAAGCTATTTGCAAATTGTGAAATGGCTACGTATTAACGTCCATTAAAGAGTTAAAGAAATATTGGTACTACATATGTCTCACCAGTACGTAAATATCCAAGTTTTGTACTATGAGGCCGACTTTTTTCCACTTAAAATGTCTTAAAAGTGCAACTCTAGACGGGTTTTCCATTGTTTCAGAGGTGCTCGTTCTAAAGTACAAAGGAAACTTCTCCTTGTCTGAAAATTGTGGCGATGACGTGCTGTACCCAATCTGAGAAAAAAACAAATTTAAAATAATTTCTGGTTTGCTAATGCACATCCTCAATACAACTCTAGATCCTATTTTATTTAATCACCTTTCTTCCATTTACGAAGAAAGGTTGATATAGAATTAAATCTATATGTATTGAAAAATTTAATGAAGTTGAGTAGTTATTTAGTGAATATTTTGGAGGCGTGAACTGTATTTCTCTTTCTTCCCAAGTTAAATAATGGTAAATGAAGGGAAATTTTTCTACGGGTTGTATTAGCCAACGAAAAAAAACACATTACTACTATTTACCTGCACTGCCTGCCAATAAGGGGCGGCTTCTGCAACAGGTACTGTTGCTACAGAACATCCGGGACCCAGGAAAACAATCTTGTGTGGAGGAGTGTCAATCATTCGCAGCATTGCTCTTATGCCTGATCCACTCTCACACTACGAAAATTACGCTAATCGTTAAATGTGAGATTAAAAATTGGTGCCGTATCGCAACAAGTGTCTACTTCTTGGTTCTTCTTAAGGTTGAAAGATTTCGAACCCTTCGAGAGGTTTGTTTCCGCAATTTTCATGAGAAAAACGTTTTTACTGCTATTTTACGACTGGCAAGCACTTTTTGTTGAACAAAAATTAATGAGCAAATAATCAAATTGAAAAAAAAACAGTCTCCGATTTTCCGCGGTTTTAGTCTAAATTGTGTATGTTTCTTTTGAGCTCTACACAACTTATTATTCAGCTTTCACAATGTTAAACTCCTGGACATAACATAGAGATAATATGGCCAAGTGTTTTTGAATTTTCAACGGGTAACTAAGTCTATACCAAATTTTACCAGATTGTAAATATTTTACATTCGAACTTTTGTCCCTTTTTTATCCCTACATACCTTGGAATCGTTCCACACATATTTCAGCTGATAGCCCACTAAAATGCGTGGGTCGTTATTCACGTGCTCCAGTGCCATTTCTAAGATTGGAATAAGGGCGGCTGAACTCCAAGCGCCTTTTTTAATATTGACACCAAAAAATCCCCCGATGTAGAGATCGGTCGTGTTAGTAGAGTAACTGCATCTGATTGTCCAAAACAGCAAAGTAAAGGTGACGAAGAAAAGCGACTTGTTCGCCATAACTGGCAGCCGTCCGTGATTCACTTCATTGCTGCAACCAAGAGGAAACAATATGACATTTGGAGAGGAAGTCTTAAAAATTTTACATAATCCTTTTGGATCGAAAGGAAGCTAGCTGCCAACATGACCGTTTCCAGAATAATCCTCCGGAGACTGTTTATTTTAAGTTAGATATATGTCGGGGCGAACTATTTATTTTAATCGATAGAGTATGGCAGTTTACAGCTTGAGATTCCCCGAATCACTCAAAGAAGATGGTTAACCTTATAATTCTCAGTAGGGCAACACTCTCGTGCTATAGTATTTATATATCCTTGTCTTTAGATAAAAGACCATTTTTTTGGCTGTCTCACTAATGTAGACACGTCTGACACAAAATGTATCACAGCAATAGAGACATCACAACTTAAGTGGCAGCGTATTTTTTCTGTTAAAATCTCATACTATCGCTTTCCGCTTAAGGTTCAATTTAGAATCGAAAAAGGCAGATCGTTTGACAAAACTCGCTATTAACTGCGAACAATGCCCAGAAAAACATTTTCGTGGGCGATTGCATTCAGTCTTAGCGTTTCAATTTTCTTAGAAACTCATTTTCATGTAAAACAAAGACAACTTTAACAACGGCAAAATAGATTGCGTGAATCTACCATCAACAATTTAAGCAAAATTTACGGGATGAAATTTTTGATCGAACTTTTACCTTTCAAGAACTGAAGTGATGCATTTTAAAAAAAGACTTTCGCGTTTCAGACTTGTCTTTGTTCTCGTGATACTTTCTTTTCTTTGGCGATAATGGTTATAAACAAAAAAAAACGATCACAGCAGAAGACCAAAAATACTGTATATTATGCATAATAGTTGAAATATTTAAAAGAGCTCCGCTGTCAGCGCAGTAAATACATTAGCCGACTACGTAGAGCCTTTCTATTTCGTGTAACCATAGATTGTTAGCATTTCGATCAACCTAACACATTCATAAAGGACTTTACTGGTTGTATTGTTTCCGATACTTGATGATCTACATTGGTGTTATGTACCAAGAGAAAATAATGGTTCCATTAATTTCTTTTGTGTGTATGTACTTATCTCTTAAAACAAAACTGCGTCAGAAGTGTAGCAATCATACACGCACGTACTCACTTTAGTTTTCCTCCACAAATCTGAAAACATTTTAATTTTTGTTATAGACACAAGTCTTTTCCCGGTTGTTTTTAATAAACCAGACCTACGATAATTCGATTATTGCAATAGTTGAAACAAAAACAAAACGGGTTTCCTCTCAATACAATGTTCAGGGAATTCACTGTTCCCGAAAAGCTTGGAAATGGAATTTCTGAAGCCCTTAATACTACAAGGTCTGTAGCAGTGGCGTCGATTTTCCTTTCGTCAATGCGTGCCTCACAAAAAATACACGGCTACGTGATATAGAAATATCCTCTTTTTCACTGTTTATATTTAAACTTAACTCACAGCTTTTATTGAACAAATCCTTGTTCACCCCGAAATAACTTTACATACAAATATATTTTTATGTCTATTTCTTTGTGAAGATATATCGCTTTCGGGAAGACAAGGTGACAGAAAACCTCCTCTGAATAATACAAAATGGAAGATAAAGGCTATGTTTGGAAGAAACAAAAGATTGTACACCATGCGAACAAACAGATGAATTAAACTCTCATTGTGCATATTTTGATGACCATGATGCCCACGTCATTGATTCCAATTTAAAGTTAATATTTCTCAGCGGGATTAAATTTACGGCAATTGGCTTTAAAAAGTTTAGCTGCTGAGCCCATATTTGAAACACAATATTGAACATCTGCGACCGAGCGTTTATCTTTTAAGCCTGTTGTCACTGAAAAAAAATCGAGTTTTATACGTAAACTTCCTTGCAATATTTTGAACTCAAGTTGCAGACGATGACTTGTTTGAACTTGCGTTCTTACACCGTTCTAATTATTCAGTCACTAGCCGTAAACATTTCGCCATGGCATAGTGGTCATAAATGTTACTAGTCCAACAGCGGGTTATGATTATTCTTAGATCGCCAAAAAAATTCGTGACACATGGAAGTGGGCATGAAGAAAGAAAATCTCTTTGAAAAGAATAAATAAAAAAAAGATCACAAAAATGTATATATTGAGTTCGGTCTTAAAAGAGTAAAAAATATGTGATTCGTTTCGGTGATGATCGGAATAAAAACGTGAGGCCCCCCACATGAAATTAATCGAACCTCTGAACTTTCTTCCCCCGATGAATAATACTGAGCCGCGTGAGGGTCAGTGTTTGGCTTCGCCATACTGTTTAACGCACGTTTCAAGAGTCGTGCATAATGTTAAAATATAGACTTGCGTAGAAACGCGTTGTTTGTGACCTTTTAGAGGTATGTAAAGTCGCAGGAGGTTCATATGCTTTCGCTGTCTTACGGTCGTGAAAGACTAACATGATCTTTTTTTCATAAATGAAAACATTTATTGCCGTTTTATTTAACAGCCTCCGGCCCTATCTGACACAAGTCTACATTAAATACTGATTCAACAGTCGGAATGTTCCGAGAGGATTCGTCAAAGTTAGATAAGCTTCTTCGTAAAAGAAAGAAGGGATACTTTTGAAGTGACAAAATCGAAACCTGTATAAAAGTAATAATTTAATTTCTCTTTTGTCCTCCACAGAAAAACGTGATCTTGTCCATATTAATCACAGAGGGAATATTACCGTTTCAGGAGATTTCACATTTCATATAATCCAGAGACAATGGACAAACAAATTAAAATGCAAAATTTTCTATTTGCCTTGTTTCGTGCAGAATTATTGATGGCAATATTGAGGGCCTTACATCTTAAACCATTGATACATTATGTAAAAGTTCCTTGATTCACTCTCTCTCTCTTTCTCTCTTTCTCTCTTTCTCTCTTTCTCTCTTTCCATGAATGAAAATAATGCTCGAGGTATGCAGTATTTACAAGGACTTTAAAGTGCTCAGTCTTTTCTTTCATTTTTTTCTTGAAGTTTGCAAGTCAACTAGGCAGGCAAAATCTACATCTTGCAGGTGGCATTTCCAATTAGTTCACAGCTAATTTGCTTTTGTTTCTTTTCACTCGAATTCTTTTTATTTTGCTCCGTTTCGGGGTCTAATAACAGTTGGTGGTTTTATGTTTGGATTAGAAGGTTTGCATTAGCGATTAGCGCCAGTTGACCCCTTAAACTTAAACTTTCTTCACACTATTTTTAAGCATGCTCCCCTAATAATTAACAGATCGTCGGAATTGTCACGAAAACAAGAACTATCGAGACCACCGGGCGATTTTAGGAAAACCGTCTGTGCATAAGGAGATTAGCACACCTTGATCGAGCACTGCATAACTGAAGAAGCTACTTTGTCATTTGATAATCAATTTGCAATTTTATACCGATTCAGGAACCCCTTCCAGGCACCCATGGGTGACCCCTACTGGATCCATCTATCGCCAGGCTAAATGGAAAAACTACATTGACTAGGTACGGCTTCTGTAGCGCGTGATTTAAGAATTTTTATGACCACTTTATGTTTGACATGGAAGGGAATCAAAACTTGCCAAAAACCAAAGAAATGTTTTCAATGAATACGCTACCTGAAAATCATTTTGAAAACCATATAGCACCTCCTTAGGTATAGAGAAATTAGACAGCAGTTGATAATTACTTTACAGGTTAGTCAAGAGCCGTTAGCAATGAATTTTCATTTCCTGAATGGCCGGAACTCGAAGTTCATTGAAAGTCACCTTTCCGCACTGTTGTTTGCATAGGAAAAAGTTTGAATTTCATGGTTTAGGCATGTTAACAATATCCCCTTCGATATTACACTTTTACGTTTTAACGGCTCTTGTATCCGAGCGATTAAAAGTGAACGTGTTCTTCATGACTGTTTCTAGTTTTAGTATACAATCAGAGATCAAAGTATGTTTTTAAATATACAGTGGCATTGTAAAGAAGTTTAATCAAATTATTTTAGCCGAAGTTTGAAAAAGTAAAACTAAACGCTCATTTTGCTTAGTGAAATTTCGGTAAATGATGAACATCAAATGTCAAATATCATATAAAATTAAAATAGCATCAAAACCCCTGAAAATTCTGGCTTGCATCTCTGAGGACTCCGGCACGAGCCATTTCGAGCAAGCGCTTAAAACTCGATGCTGTAGTTTCAAATGGGTCTCCCATTGTCGGTTTCATTACGTACGCAACGACATCTCCTCCAATATCAAAAGTCAAGAGTATAGGGAAATGATTATGTTGTCGCCTGCGATTCAAACCATCTGATTATTGCAATTGTTATTATCATTTTTCTTGGCTACTAGACCTTATTAGTAGATGTTGCGAGATATACATCGCGGTAGATTTCGAAAAACGACAAGTTCTCTAAGCGCAATAACCATATAAATTAACTATGCCATCAACAACTGTAAGACAGTGCAGTGATGAAGGTGTTCCAATAGTTAAAGTGCTTACTTGATCTTCAAGGGCCATTTTGTCAACGTACCGCTCGTTGTCGACCGCATCCTGCACCTTTTGAGAGACTTTATCGGAGATATCGTAGGCAATCAAAGTCATAACTGTACGGATCCGAAACTGAGTTCGTTGTCTGATAAGAAGCATCGCATATACAAACAAAGATCATTGTCATAAGCTCACAAATCTGACATTTTTGAAGACAGGTCATTATTAAAATTTCCTCTTAGCTTTAGTAACTAAACCAGCGTCAAGCTCTGACATCAAAATTCGAATTTCAGCAGTGACCCGGCTTGATCCAAAATGCCCCATTGAAAAATAGTATGTTAATAAGATCATTAACCGTAGAGGAAATACTTTTGGAACGAGAGGATGCCAAATAACCTTGCTAAATGAAGAGATTTACTAATTCATCGTCCAAGTATGCAATTTCCACTTCTTTTGTCAAAAATTAAACAAATCAGTTCACTGATTCGTTCCGAACCATTATTAGCATATAAATGTAATATTAT